GTGGTGGTGGAGGTGGAGGAGAGAAGTGGAAACGAAGAAAAAGGAAATGTGATGGATCCCTGAAGCGACTAGGATGGGATTGGACTCAGATTGGGCCTGGGTTGGGAACTGGGTTGGATCGGAAGGAGTGCTCTGTTGAGAGGTCTGGACGGAATGAGGTCAATATGGGGGGGCCCACAAGAGGACCTTCAGTTTGGATCCAACAGGGGTTTCAAGTCTCTGTGCCCGTCCCTCTGTCTCTTGTCTTTTTGTGGTGTTGCCGACGCCGTTGACGACAACGACAACAACGACGACGACAACGGGTGTATTACTGTGCTGTACCACATGGCTTTCATCTCTTTTCTCTTGCTGTCCCGCTCCCCAGATCACCTCAAGTGTCTCTGTTTGACGGGATGGAAGCACCAGGAGATCGGACGAAGGCATCGACACCACAAGTTATAAAAACGACAAGGAGATTTCAGTTTGACAGTCCAGTGTAGTGAGTGTACTGTACACTGGCCTGCAATGCCAATCACTGCGTGCAATGTCAAAACGCCAGGCCAACGGAGGCAAAGCGCCGTGGTGGTTGATGTCCTGCACAATGCACACACGCACTCTTGCTTGCTGCATCTCCAATGGCCTGCAGCATGCACTCCGGGCTGCAGCCAGGCGGATTTGATGGAAGGAGGCCCATCTGGGAAACAAGCGAGAAGAGACGTGGGAGAGCCGATGGTCTTGTCGAAGCAAAAGACGCAAAAAGACTGGGGCTCGGGAAATAAAGGTGGAGGACCAATGGCACCCCAGGCCCAATGACCTACCCCCCAAATGCCACCTCAATGGACAATCTGACGGAAGGAACTCATCCAGGCCCCTTCAGGGCAACGCTAGCGGCATGTTCGCTGCTGCACCACTGCTGCAGGAATTGTTGTGCGTACACTTCTGCCGGGATTCAGAAAGTTAGCGCAGTGAATGACAAAGTGGCGGCTGCTTCATTCTGTGTACAAAAGATAGACGGTATTTTGGCTGTCTGGCTCCTAAATACTGTATGGTGGAAGTACCATGCTAACCTTTTATGTTCTGGCAAAGGCGTACCTGCCATGTCCCTGCATCTCTTAGGGGAGCCCGTTAGGGGTATCATCTGAGTCTCTCTGGGCTTGTCCGAGACAATTCCAGCTTCCCGCCGGGGTATCCTATACTTAGGGGCCGCTTGTAAGCATTGGCAATTATCAGAGGCCGGGGAGGTATCCGAGACACCAACCGCAAGACAACCATCTCATTGACCATCTCTGCCCGGGATCACGGAAAAATACATTCCATCCTTTCCCTGATGGGACATTCACGATCCATCATTCTAACCTCTTGTCTCTCTTTTCCCTTTCCTTTCCTCGGTCAGAGTGTGGCCCCTCTCAAGCCCCTCTTCTTCCCCTCCACCTCACCTTTTCGACGCTTGCTGGCGGGCCCCCCTCTTCGTTTGATTCAAGGCATATCGGGTGGGAAGTTGCAGTGAAGTTGGATCAAGCATTTGGTTGCCTTTTCACAGAGAGACGGCGGCAACATGGCAAGACTCCACCATCGCCTAATTCCAGACTAGATAAAAACAAACCAACAGCTCGCCGCCTTGCCACGTTTTCCGATAGGCAGTGGCGCTTCACTTTCGCTCAAATTTTCAAGTGAGTCGTTTGCAATTTGGAAGAGGTAGTGATCGTCACTCGCCCCCCCATGGCCATTCGAGTCCATTGTCCCACCCACCACAGAGGCCATTCCCACAAGCCCATGGCTCGCGATGCTACCCTTTTCGAGAATCCATCATCGGTGCTTTGCCTATGCTGAGCCAGTGCGCCGGGTCCCTGAGAGGATCGCTATGCATATCGTTTCCACTCTTTTCGATATATCCGTCCCCGCAGTGTTCTCTAGTGCTATCTTGAAGAAAAACGAGAGCCGGCGATGCTTGTCCACGATCGATGAGCTCCTCGGCAGGTTCAGGCAGGATCGTATCCATGTAGTGTAAAAGCAAATCCAGTGGGTAGTGGGTGTGCTCGTGTGTTGGTTGTTCGACTTCAGCCTGTACCACGCCTACAGTATCACGGCGTCCAATCTATACGGCCACTTGTTTCATGGCGTGAAGCGGTGAACTTGGATAGCTGACAGAGGCCTCTAATATAAGCTTCGGCTGAAACAAGCCACAACGAAGAGAGTCGGACAATTGGTCCTTTTAGTGTACCCAGCTGCAGCTGAAGGCACAACTCCCAGACCGTGGGTGGGATCTCGCCGGAATCTCATCGTCCGTGTGGCCGTCTCAAAGGCCCGAACGATACACCGATACACAGGTGATGGGCCTCTGTTTGTTCGCATGGACGACAGAGATGGCGTTTGATAGGGTAAGGTATAGTGTCGGAGATGAGTCCCGTGCCCTCCAGCTTTTCTTCTTGACTGCTAGCTGCCGCTCGGCATGACAATCACAATCGCGACATGGCGACACCACCACAGCCGACCCTTGTTCTTTCGGTCCAAAGAGAGCCGATAAGAGTTGGGTTACACTTTTCAACAACCTACCGTCAAAGCGTGGTGATACTGGCGGCTACTATAGGTGAGGGGTCTGCTATCGGACCACACTTGACAAAGGAGCCTCCAATATCGCCCTTCTGATATCCCGAAATGCCCCCAACGGTTGATGCCACTTGGTTGATTGAGCCGAGTACACGCCCATCCAGACCGAACGGAGAGCAGGAGAGGGCTTCAACCAACCAACCAAACCCGCCTCCAACCCACATGGCGCACAGCATGCCGACTTTAAGTAAGTAGACGCCACTACAAACGGCCGAGGAGGAAAGAGACGATGTCTTCGAACGGTCGATGGAAAGAAATCACTCACCAAAAACTACGACAACGAGACCATTCCAAAAACACACCTCGGTCGGCATATTCGGCTGAATACTGTTCCCCTCCTCCGGTCGCCTTGAGAGAGAAAGAGAAAAAAAAAATTGAAAATCAAATGCAGATTGCGCGATCCACACTGGCGGACAAGACCCGATCAACCCTCCCGAGATTGAAATGAATACCCCTGGCTAGTCCTCATTCGGACAAGCCGTTGCATTCGCTTGTCCGCCCGCCAGCAGTGTGATGAGTGGATGACATCCAAGCCAACCATCCATTCATCACCCACCACGTTGGTCGGTTGGTGCGGGGGAATTAGTGAGTAGTGACCCGAGTAGTCCGAGTCGCACAATGAGGCAGCTCCGACTCTCCGAGACCTTGAGATTTGCGACGTCGATTCGATTAGAGGTGAAAGTTTGCATTGACTTGGGCGTTCGTATACACTATATGACAGCTTTGAAACCTCCAGCCATACGAAAGCCTCAAAAGGCTATCAAGCCAAATGCTATGTGGGGACTGTGAAGAGGTGAGCTCTCCCCACATTTTGTTTTGGATTCGGAGGCAAGACAATCCCGTCCTCACTCGATGATAGTCTAGCGTACAATGGAAACAATGGGTGACCCGTGGTCCAGAGGAGGCATTTCAGTCGCTGCAGTGGATGGATGATGCCAGTGCAATAATTCCCCAGTGGTTCCCGCACCCGAACACAGCACGCAGCGGGACGGGAGCTAAAGGCGGAGACTTCCGGGCAGCTTTTGGCCACTCAGGCTGAAGCAAGTCTGTTATCGATAAGAGAAATGTCCGACCAAAAAATCCGCCGCGATAAGCTTGGGCGACGGTTATCGAGCTTTGCGACCTTCAATCGCTACATCATCACTCAACACTCAGTTCTCATCATCAGTACACTATTTACTATCCTCGATTTCAGTCTCGATCGACACATTGTGGCATTGTGAATTGCTCAGCATAACCAGTCAATCCTCCTCTTTACCTCTACACAACCATCTCTAGTCACCATGGCCGACTCGGTGCTCAGCACCCTCTGCGGAATCTGTCACGCCGAACCACCCAAATACAAATGCCCGCGCTGTCTCGCCCGAACGTGCTCATTAGCATGTACTCAGAAGCACAAAATTAGAGCTGACTGCTCTGGCGTCCGCGACCCTACCGCCTTTGTCCCCGCCACCCGTCTTCGTACCACCGCCGGCATCGACCACGACTACAACTTCATCTCGTCTATCGAGCGCGCCTGCAAGCGCAACGAGCAAGAGATCGTCGAAGTCCGCAAAATCCTCAGCGACAAGGATATACATCCCCAAAACGAGGACAAGGCTTTCGTCAAGGAGTGGCACGGCGACGAGTTGCGCCATGTCCCCGTCGGAACACTGCCACCACCGAGCTGGAAACAGCACAAGATGCAAGAGGAAGGCGCATGGATATCCGGTTTCAGCAGACTAGTACGCCAGAGGCTGAGGAAACTCAACATCGAGGCCGTGTCCATGCCCAAGGGCATGACAAGACAGCGCGAAAACGAGACCTCGTGGAACCGAAACAACCAATGCGTTAACTGGCAAGTCGAATGGCTTCTTTTCAACGTCCCCGGTCTCCCTACGACTGGCCAACAACAACAACCACACCGAATCCTCCACAAAGCGCTCGAAAGCAAGCCTCTCAACCGCGCCTTAGCCGAAACCCTCGCCTGGTACCGCAGACGCCTGTCTCGACAAGCTCAAGAAACCGAAACTCTCCCCGATCCCTTCGACCCCGCCGGCGAAGACCAGCTAGACGCCGACGGCCGTCCCCTCAAGCGCCGCAAACTCGAATCCGGCTTCGCTCCAACGAAATCCAAGAAAATCACCGAAATCATCGCCTCTCCTTACCTCTCCTCCCCACCGCAGAACCCGCTCACCTCGGCCTGGTCCACCGACTCGCCCTATACCATGCAATACCCCCTCACCGGCGCCTGGTCGCAAACCGCCTGCGACGGCTTTGCTTCAATTCCCAAAACCGACGACGAGGAAATCATTGACCAATCCCGCTTGTTGGCGGAATGGCGTTTCTTCTTGCACAAAACCTGGGCTCCTACTTCCTCTGCTTCTTCTCAATCCGGGCAGACGAAACCCAACGGCAAACTGCTGATCCCGCTCAACGCGACCAAGAATTTCTCACATGCTCTGCGCGGTAGGACGGTGGTCGAGTTCCCGACTGTTTACGTCTTACCGCCTGGTGGGGACTTGCCGGAGGGATTTGGGTATGCGGATACGAAGAGGAGGAAGGAGAGAGTTGCGAAGATTGTCAAAACCGAGGCGGGCGAGGAGGGAGAGTCTGCAAGCAGTTCGTCGTCGTCTGACTCTGACGCAAGCGACTCTGATTCTTATTTAAATGAGTCGTCGGATGAGGGCGAAGTAGAGGAGATTTCTTCTAATAATCCTAATGGAAGGAAGAGGCAGTTTGGATCGCAACAAGCTGCGTTCCGAAGGGATCAGCGCGATCAACGCGGTGGCAGTCGAGGTGGAGGGAAGTGGGAGCGGGGTGGCCGTGGCGGTCGGGGCGGCCGCGGAGGGAGAGGTGGTGGTGGTGGAGGGAAGAATGTCCGCTTTGAGACTACTGAAGACCAGGGGCAGACTGAAGAGGGTGAAGTGGGAGGAGGAGAGGTGGACACGGTAGCGCTAGAAGCAGCTGTCAGGCAGGCTGCTTCTGGTGACTTTGACGTCATCTTGAACCGCCGTCCGACCCGGGAGGCAGCGGAGGACGGCGAAATCAATAGCGACGGTGACGAAGTGATGGCCGATGCTGATACCGGGTACCGCGGGGGTCGCGGAGGGCGCGGCGGACGCGGTCGTGGCCGTGGTGGATCCCGTGGTGGAAGAGGTGGTCGCGGTAATTTTCAGCAGCGAGGCGGTGGCAGAGGCGGCCAGGGACATGGAGGTCGTGGAGGATTTGGAGGCGGCCAACAGCAGCAGCAGCAGAGGATCAAACAGGAGACTGAAGCACCTACCCATATGGGCGTGAATATGGAACTTGACGCTCCAAGGCAAGAACAACAGCGTATGGCGGAGGAACCACCACAGCAGAAGAAGCCTGACACAGGCAACAAGGGCGGTGGCGGTGGACTCGGTGGACTTGTCAACTACGGGTCCGATTCCGAGTAGTATTTTGGACTTGGACTCGGATCGAACAGCAGAAGAATCTTCTTTAGGTAGATCTATCTACCTGGCTTTGTGGGGTGGACAGCGAATATATATGGATGGATCGATGGATGTATGTCTTGATAGCTCCAGAAAAGAAGAGGAATCGTATAGGTAGATGCCAGTAGCGGAACTCATGGCTTTGCGTGTAGAAACATAGTGTAATGGACTTGTTATCAGCTTATGTCTACCTACCTCACTCATCTTCTGCCTTTGAAGTGTATGGGGAAGCAAAAAAAAAAGTAAGAAAAAAAGTACTAGAAAGTATGAGGACAGAAAGTAGCCCAAGCATAACCTACCTGTCTGAACTGTCTTCACAGAAGATGAGTAAAAACTAGACAACAAACAAGATCGGTAAACCACGCAACAGAAATTGCATACACATCAACACGGACATAAACTAGTATGGACGTTGATGCTTTCATTTCGAGTGATACTTCATATGGATCAACTTCACTGAATATCCGAAGCCTAGGTCAATCCAATAAAGAAACAACATCGCAAAGAAACAACTCTACATACTCAAGCTGCCTTCACAGTGTCATTGGCAGAAACTGGACAACCAAGACACGATTAGGATTGGAAGTGGTTGACTTGGACATTGACCAAATGCACTTCATGCCAGAAGGGATATCAAAAGGATCAAGGGAGAAGTAGCTGCGACTTCATTCAATAACGTATGATGCTATGTCTTGGAAAAGGCGACAAATATGTACCCAGTAACGATATGGTATCATATTCTTGCATCATGAACAGGGCAAATTGATTGCACGAGTTGGTGAGGTAGGGAGGGTTTGATGGCTTTGATTATCCCGACGCAACAAAGGCGTCCTTCAAGTCAACCTGATGGCCATGTCCTCCAAGTTCATCGGTTTTCATGTGTCTGTAGGGCAGCAGCTTAGCTTGCCTCTGTCTGTCCAATGCCAGTCCCGCTGCGCTTCCATCTCAAGGGCAAAGAACCCTTCCCATACAGACCATGCTGTTATGGATCTGTGTGCATAATAAAATACCAGTCAACCCAGATGATGCCCCTGGTCGCATCTATCCAGTGATTATCATCCTCCATGCTGTGATGGCTGGAGGGTAAAAGACGTTGCGCGCTGTTTAGCGACGATGGCCGTACTGCGGCCAGTCTCAGCGAGAGTGCTGCTCACTCCTCCGCTATCACCTTGATTAGATCTGGAAAATCACTCTCGCTATATGGCCTGCCCTGGATCGTCCCAATTCATAGCATCATGCCACAACTCCCAATGAAACTCCGGGCTACAAGCCTTTGCCTCCGTTCAATAAAATCATGCTCAGTCCCAAACCTAGAGGCTTCGAAAAAGGAAAACGTTCGTTCACAACGCCACAGAGCCCATCAAATATTGGGCAAGTCACGAAAAGCGAAATTACTGTGCAGCGGTCGGCGCATCACGGCGAGGGAAGCCATTGCTCGCACCTCGTCCACCACGGAAGCCACGGCCGCGACCACCGCGACCACGGCCTCTGCCACCGCGAAAGCCACGGTAGCCACCATCAACACTGCCTTGACCGAAGGTCTCGATGTTCCTGCGTTGTTCCTCTCCGCGCCACTCACGACCACCCGGCTTTTGGCCATTGTTCTCAGCTCTATCCTTGGCCTCACTTGAGATGTTGTCAAAGAATGACTTGCTCTTGTTGTAGGCTTGCTGAGCAACACCAGAGACATCGGCAACAGCTTCCGGAGCAGCCGCTTCGATTGCCGGCTCCTCACCAAGCGGAGAACCAGCGATGGCCTCCTTAACAATATCTTGCTTGTTGAACTTGGCATTAGAGGACTCGAAGTCAAAGTCAGAGTCAGGGACTTCAACCTTGGCCGGACGGGGACCACGCGCACGACCACCGCGGTTCGCAGCGGCGGCGTTATAGCTCAAGGGGGCGCGAGAGGCGGTAGCCGTCGCAGCGGCGTTAACGTTCATTTCGTTAACCCGCTTGGTAAGATTGTCAACAGCGGCGGCGGTCACTTGCTGCTGTGTAGCGACTTGGCCATCCAGCTTAACCATGTTAGCCATGGCAACAGCGACGGCCGCTCTAGCCTGTTGAGTCGCGTCACGCAACTGGGCCGCGCTCATCGGTCCGCTTCCAATTTCACCGGCTGGCTTGGCAGATCCAGCCGCCGGCTGAATGGGTCTCGCAGTAAGGGCAGCGGGAAGGGGAACAGCAGGAAGAATCTGCGAGGGACGAGTGGTGCTGCCCTTGGGACCAGTAGGGATGGTCTTCTGTTGGGGAGAAGGACCAGCAGGAGCAGTATTGTTTAGAGACGCAGCAGTGGCCTTGACCTCTTCGACAGTGGGCTTTGAATCGTTTGGCAAGGAGGGGGCGCCGGAAGCAGGCTGCTGACCAAAAGACTTGGGTACTTCGGCAGACAGCTCATGCTGCTGGGGTTGCTGCTGAGGCTGAGAAGGCGTAGACGGCTTCTTGTCACCCGCGGGACCAATGGGCGCAGGCTTCGGGCCAGGACCCTGATTGCTTGGGGTCTGGTTCGCAGACTGGCGACCTCCCTGGCCCGGAACGCCAGCCGGAGCGACACCAGGACCAGGCGGGTAGGGATAGTTGTTCCACGGACCAGGACCGTGGCCCATGGGGAACTCCTGACCAGGGGGGAACCATCCGGGAGGGGGAGGATACGGCATGCCGCCGAACGCATTAGGAGGAGCACCAGCGCGGCCCCAGCCACCCATATGAGGAGGATAGTAACCGAAGCCAGGGGCGCCTGGAGGCGGCGGCGGGCCTTGGTGGCCGGGAGCACCGATGGGACCGGGGGGTACAGGACCGGGTGGGCCCGGGGGTCCAGGAGGGCCAGGAGGGCCAGGAGCAACATTGGCCTGACGAGGACGAGCCTAAGCATTCCATGTTAGCGACTGTGGAAGCCAGTATAATGAGGATGAAAAAGGGTATGGTTGAACCACAGATCAGAAGGAAGGCAACGGAAATCTCAACATTGTTTTTGCGCTTTTCAGACAAAAGTAAAATTTTACATCCGAGAATATTTCATCATGGTGTGGGCTGGGTAGGTGGAGTGACTGGCAGGAATGGAGACTTACGCCGAGGATTGCGGGATCATCAGGCATCGGAGGCTTGTTCTCCTTGGGAGGCGCAGGCCCCTCCTCTATGCGAAGGTCTTTCACATCGCTGCCGCGGAAAACGATATACTCGTAAACCTGGTCTGAGGCGGGCACTTCCTCATCGGGATTGTGCTTGCGGCCCTCCGTTCCAAATGACCGGACATTCTCTAGGGAGACGGTAGACTCCTCCGAGTTGATGTTGTGCAAGGTACCGACATAGCTGAAATGACGGTCAGCGGGGCTGCCAAGCCTAGCAGGATGCAGAGGCTAGAGCCTACCGGATGTCGCTCCTCGATATCAAGGATATCCGAGAGCTAATTATCGCGCGAAACGTTAGCAAAGGAGGCATTGTCGGGGACAAGAGGAGGGTGAGGGAAGGCATCTAACACCATCAGGTGATGGCGCGGGGAAGAAGTGGCCAACATACCCAAGGAATTCAGACATTGAACAAAGCGCGCTGGCTGCAACAGCGTTAAATGCAGTATGCGCGTGTGTATGATGTGCGGTGAATAAAAAGAAGCAGAAGGCGAAACGGTTTTAATCGAGCCGGAAATGAAGAAAAAATAGAATTAAAGATCGCGGATCTTAGACGTGGAAAGGGAGTAAAAGACAACGACAGGAAAGTGTGCGCAGTGTTAGGTTGTCATGGCGGGGGTTTCATAGTTTGCATGGAGGAAGGAGGAAGAGGAAAGAAAGGGAAGGATTGGCGGGAGGGAACGAGGTAAAAAGGCAGCCAACCAGCGAAAACTCACCGAGTTCAGCCTCCTTGTTTCGTGGTGTTGTGACCCCACATTGCGCCCGTTGTCACCACTCTGGGCACCTTTCGGCGTATGTTGTCCCGGCATCCGTGCACCGCCACGGTGGAGGGCGGGAGGCTGAAATCGATAGCGGGGGCCGACCGACGGCAAGGTTCCATTCTGTCGGTCGGTGTTATGATGTACTCAGTTCGAGTTGGTGGCGAGTTGAGTGATTACCTCGATATACCACAGTAGCTCTCGTCAGTGTCAATGCCAGCTAGTCCTGTCAGCTTAACATTTGTTGCAATATGTCTGTTTCACGGCCATCGAATAACGACTCGAGACAGTGGTGGCACGCCGATGAAGCTAGTATTGTTTATTTGCGCTAGCTGTCGTGGTTTGTGATCTCGAGACTACGAGCTCTGTATGATATCATGACATATATATAGGATTCTAGACATAATATATTCGGTAGAAATCGACTGTACAATAACATCCCAACCATGCGGTATGCATTCGAAACCTTGTTGCAGCACTCCGGAACCTGCACGCTACCTTCTTGTTTATAACCTACGTACAACCTGCCATCTGCTATGTGTGACCTGGCCTTCAGTTGTTACTTGTTGGAACAAACATGTCCATCGCTCAGAGCTTCCAAATGGCAATCAATGCGGTCGAGTGAAACCACTTGTTATGCACAAGTAGGAAAGCCCAAGACTTTGTTTAAAAAAATAACAAGCAAGCTAGGTCATGAACAGCTGTCCACTTGATAATTGATCGATCCAGCTCTGTACATATGTATCATATATGATCTTTAGGTACCTAAGTAGGTCCCGTCTGTACTGCAGTGCTGGAAGCTCCGTCATGCAAACAAAGCCGAGGAGAGCATCCGTTGCCCCTGCCGTCGGTGTTTCGTCGACATCATGGGCTTGGCAGGTCCACTTTTATTATGCTCGGGAAGGTGACTCCATCGGCCACTCCAACTTCCGTTCCTTGACAAAGTTTCTGAAAAGGCAAGAAGCAGCGAGCAACTTGATTACACCAGCGAATTCAGTGAAGCTTAGCCGCTTGACAGAACCCAGGTGTTGCTCACCTTACACCATAGTTTAAGGCGTGCCGACCAAGTCACTCACCCAGGCAGTCGCATCATTAAGATCTTTCTCGGCTGGTGGGGTTATAAAGCCTTCGATTTGCCCCGCGGCCACAGTCCAGCAACATCGTCATTTCATTTATGAAAAGCATTCTCATATTCCAGCATGGCGACACGGCAAATGCGAAAGCTGCAGAAGCAGCAGGAGCTTCTCAGACTGCAGAATGAAGCAGAACGAGAAGATGACGAATCCGAGGACGAGCCCATTGTTACGAAGCCCAAGCCCAATGCTTTTGCAGGATTTGCCGCTCTTGGAGGGGGAGACGATGACGACGACGATCAGGACACCGAGGAGGAAACCAGAGAAGCCGAGGACGTCCCAGAACCGGTAGCCCCCGCCAAGAAGAGTAAAAAGTCCAAGAAGAAGAAGAAGAAGGGCAAGAAGACCGAATCACCTGCCGCGGAAAAGGAGGAAGAAGATGATCTGGATGAGATCGATCGCGTTCTTGAGGAGCTTAAGCTCAAGGACAACAAGAATCCTGTCTCGGACATCGCCACTTCTAATACTGCCAATTCGACCAGTCAAATCAACGAGCTCTTGCGCGTCAACTTTCAGCATCTCAAGGCTATCAACGAGATGCGCAAGCTGTTTGGCAGTGCCATTGAAGCAGCGCGAGCGGAACAGGCTGCTGAGGCTAACAGCCGTCAACAGCAAAGAGGAGCTGCTCGGCAGAACGTTGACCTCGAAACCTTCCTTTCGGTCCCGCCAGCAGTTCAGCAGCAGCTAGGAAAGAGGAGCATGTTTGAGACAGTGTTGCGCACGAATCCCTTTATCGAGGGCAAGAAGACGTGGCCTAGAGACTCTACTCGCGGTCTTAAGATGGTGCGTGTCACCGAGTCCTTCAACGGTGAGCCTGGTGTCGCCGAGTTTGCTTTTGCGCATGACAAGACATACGACGCCCTCGAGGGCAACTTCTATGGTCTCGTTCAGATGTACGATCCCATGCAACTCGTCTACTTCTTATCCAGGTACCCTTACCACGTCTCGTCGCTCATCCAAGTGAGCAAGGTTGCCCACCAAGACCAGAACTCGTACCTAGCCCACGACCTCATCGAGAGAGCCCTATTCACTTTTGGCAGGGTCAGTCTGAGTGACTTTCGCAAGCGGTTGGGAGATGGCACCGCAAGACTGGACTTCAACCGACCCGAAAACAGGCAGTTCTTCTTGGCTGGCTATAACCAGATCAAGAACCTGGTCCTCAAGGGAACCTACCGCACGGCTCTGGAATGGGCCAAATTCGTCCTCAGTGTCAACCATGATGACCCCTATGGCGTGCTGAACTGGATCCACATTCTAGCTATCCGCGCATACGAGGCCAAGTGGTTCATTGAATTGTGCAACTCACCCCTGATTGCCAATTTGGGCACCGGTCGCTACGTCAAGGCTACCCTCCCCTTGGCCAAGCTTCAGCTGAAGGATAACGCCGGAGCACGCGCTGCTGCCATCGAAAGCATCGAGGAACTCCCCTGGCTTTTCTGCGCCCTCTTCAGCGCTCTCAACATCGATACCCCACGCTCCGTTTGGGGTGTCCAGCCCCGGGATGACGAGGAAGCGCTACACACCAAGCTCTACGTCCACCTAGCCAAGGACATCTGGAACAATCCGGCCGCGATTTCCCTCCTGACCGAGGCCGCCAACGCTGCTCGTAAGGTGGACTTCTTTGGCCTGCCTCCCAGCCCGGTCGTCTCGCTCGCTACAGCCCGCTTCGTGTACTTGGACAACACACCCGAGCTCATGTCGGCCGTTCCGCGCAAGATGTTGCACACGGCGTCTCCCAATTTTGACTTTGACCCTCTCCCACCCCCAAAGGAGGACAACATCTTTTCCAGCCCGACTCAGAAGATGCCATGGAGCATTGCCGAGGGCGACGGCGAACATAGACAGACGAGGCTGCATGAACAGGCGCAAGCTGCGCTGCAGATGGCTAGAGCCCGCATGAACGAAGACCAGCTCCGCGCCGTGGTGGATGATGCTCGTGCGAGAATCGACGATCCTGAAGCCGACGAGGAGCAGCGCGGGGTGTGGCGGAGGATCGTGGATGTTTTGACGGGTCAAGGATGGACAGGCGGAGCAGGAGGCGTCGCGGAAGGAGGTGAAGGTAATCAGAGAGGTGATGTCATGCCTGGGGGCTGGGAAGATGATTTCGATGATGGATGGGGTGATGATGACTTTGAAGACGAGGATCACTGGTATGAGGATCAGCTTGATCCTGAGCTCGAATTGGAGTTTGGACCGGGTGGCACACCCAACAGGAGGGCGACGGTTGAGGATGCGGAGGATAGCGACGAGGAGGAGACTGCTCGGAGGTAGATGTTCCTCCGGAGAGTATCATTAGGGGAAAAGGGAAATAGATTACTGGAAGACTGCCATTTTGGACAGTAGTGTAGTAGCGAATTAGCTAAAGCGAAATGGCTGTCTCTATGAGGCAAATGCTGATAGAACCATCGGCTATTTCCATTCAGTGCAGGATCATATCAAAACATATCGTGAAGCACAGGCTATGTACCTGTTTCGCACGGTGTTAGACCGAAACCCCTAACAAACTTCTGAGCCTTCAATATTCCACAACGCATAAACAGCGACGGGCAACCCAAGGAGCAGCACAGGTATACCTAGGTAGTGTATGTGTCTTCACGTTCGGTTTGAGCCGATCAAGAATGTCCGGGATCACAAGACATGAGACAGTCTCGGTGAGCAAGTTTCAAGCTCAGGGCAGACCGTCGCTTAGTACACCGACCGAGGGTCCGTTGCTAGTGTAAACGCGGGTGGAGACACGAGTGTTACAGTCTGCGCGGCACTGTAAAAGCTTCGTTTGATGTGGCATTTGCAGCAAGAACAGAACAGTGTGAAAGCGGACTGACGCCATCGCGCGACGTCTCACGCACCTCTGCAACGACGGAAGCAACATGAATCCCTCCTTGGGAGATCTGCGGTTGACACGGAGTCCCCTGATACACCATCGCGAGATCATCTGAGAGGGGAACAGAGCGGCGTACCTGACAGTAAGTAAGCACCACGCAATGAGCAAATTATTAAGCTTGTCCTCCATCTTTCCTTCCGTATCAGTAATGCGTCTCTATTGCAATCTGTCAGGTTCGCTTTTTCGCCCGTATCCCCTGAAGCTATTTCGTTGTCTGTAGTTGTTCCAAGTTCCGCTCCTCCCATTTTGGCTCATTGCTATCCCAGTCGCGGAGCTTATTTAAAGTGCTGCCCCTCCCAACTCCAAGTCCGCGCTCCCTCCCCCCCCCCATTCCCGCGATCCACGAACACCTCACTTACTACTATTGTTGCACGTTTCCACACAACTGCCCCGCATCGCATCGCATTCCATTGTCGCAACTTGCACTTCGATAAACTGTCATCTGAGCACTGATATTACCAACCCAACAAACCCGTCAAAAATGTCCGGCTCCTACACCTACAAGTTCGATGTTACCATGACCTGCGGGGGCTGCTCCGGCGCCGTTGACCGCGTCCTCAAGAGACTTAAAGGTCCGTTGTCTCTGTCCATAGCTCCCCAAGGTTTCCTTCTTTAAATACATTCTGATTGCCGTGTCCGCCGCTCGGTACCAAAGAAGCATGCATAACTGACAATGACCAGAGAACGAATCAAACATTGTATCCTACACAGTCCTCCTCGATGAAAAGAGCGCCAACGTCACCGTCGATGACGAGTCCCCTGCCCTTTACGAAAAGATCCTCCGAACAATCAAGAAGACTGGCAAGGGTGTCAACTCCTGTGTGGAATTGGACAGCAATGGGAACAAGATTCGTGACGTGGATGTTGTGCTTAAGGACGAGTAAGGGCATACAGGCGAGAACAATAGACACGCATGGGGAAGACATTGGGAGCAACTTCACGCCCAATATGGTGGTCGGAAGAATAGAGAATCGATATGAATTAGAACAAGGGAAAGCAAGCGGTAGAGGAATTGTATATGGCATACGAATGAAATCGGGCTGCTGGGCTGCGCATGGCTTGGCTTGGAATATACCTTTTTAGATTTACAATAAAGCTGTTTGTTTTAACGGATAACTACTGAGATTTGTCCATCTCGAGTGGTTATGTTGTGGTCAAGCTCGATGTTCCCATTTGAAGCCTCGCCGAAGTGCTCTATTCTTCCAGCTAACCCTACTCTTCCATATCCAACTTTATAACAAACAAAAAAAGCAAACTGGTATCTCAACTCCCCGTTTCCCCCCCTTTAGTGCCTCATCGACTTTCCGATCTCGCTCCTCCACCCCTGCGCCCTCTCAAACCCATTCGAATGCGTCTGGTAATCCACAAAAGCCTGGTACACCTCCTCCTGACTGTTCAGCACAAACGGGCCATACTGCACCACCTTCTGATCGAGCGGTGTTCCCGCAACCAAAACAAACCTCGCTGGCTTCTCCGCGCCCGCATCCACCTCGGCATGAACCGCCTCACCCTGCGGCTCAAACACCACATTGTGGAATTGCTCCACCGTCCTCTTCTCCCCGTCCTTGCCCGAGCTGAAAATGGCGGTGCCCTCCAAAGTATACGCAAACGCGTTCCACCCCTCCGGCACCTCCTGCACCACCTTGCCACCGGGCTTCACCTCCACATCCAAGATCCACACGGGCGTGTACGCCAGGTCCTTGACGCTGTCCACCCCGTGACTCTTGCCGCTGATCACCTTGATCTTGACGCGTCCCTCGTCCGTCTCGACCGTGGGGATCTCCTGCGCCTTGAGATCCCGGTACCGCGGCTCGCACGACTTGAGCTCCTTCGGCAGGTCCACCCAAAGCTGCAATCCCACGTTGGCGCTCCCGTCCGGGTTCTGGCGCGGCATCTCGGCGTGCATGATGCCCCTGCCCGCCGTCATGAACTGCAGGTCGCCCGCCTCAATGGTGCCCTTGTTGCCGGCAAAGTCCTCGTGGTCGACGCCGCCGGAAAGCAAGTAGGTGATGGTTTCTTGACCGCGGTGGGGGTGGTCGGGAAAGCCGGAACCGGGACGGATGGTGAAGTGGTCGAGCATGAGGAAGGGAGAGAAGTTGCGGAGCTGAGGGGTGCCGATGGAGCGACGGACGCGGGCGCCGGCGCCTTCGGCCTGTTCGGTGGCGAGGAAGATTTTGCGGATGAGGCGCGGGACGGACATGTTTGCGGCGGTGGGGGTTGTTGTGATGATTATGGTTGGGTTTGATGAAGAAGTAGAAGAAGAAATATCTTCTAAGGGTTGAATTGCGAAGTAGGTGTTGATGTTCGTGTAGTTGAGTAGTTGGTTTGTGAGTGTAGAGATGTCGACTGGTAAAAGGTCGATGGGCAGTAGGAAGATGGAACAAATTCCAACAAGGATGGAGATGATGGTGACAAGAAAAAAGTTCTTCATGACCTTGGAGGGGTTGAGAAAGTTAAGGATACTTATAGGATCGAATCCATTTGCTGGGTCCGGCTTTTGAACTTTTTTGACTTTTTCGCCCACTTGTGACTTTGTTGCTCACGAAAAAAGATGGTCTAGACGATTATAAAGGTCAACGTAAGCAGCTGGAAATCAAGGTGAGAAGAGTAGTCAGTAGGTGACCAGGAAAAGGGTCTAGAATTGTCAAAATCATATACGTAGAACTATCATGAAACTTCTGCCCATGCCACACCGGTCAGTTCTTTCCAATTGCTTGCTCATTCGCTTCCCGCCACTGATCTCTTGGACATGGCCGGGACAGACTCGACAATGCGCCGCCCATCGACACTGTCGCAGTCACTTTGCAAACATAAAACGAGGCCCCTCGAGGACAAATGATTACAAAGCTGGAAACAGCCGAGAGCTTGGTGGGGCTCGGAGGGAAGCACAAAGAGGCGCCTTTCCAGATACGGTTAGCGCAGAAGCTTACGTCAAAGTCGGTCATCATGCCCAGACCCAATTGCCGTAGAATTGGAATTGGAAAAGCTTTGACCATCCATCCTTGTTACCAGAGTGTGTTGGCGCTTTCGTTCGGTCACTCCCGTGTACCGAAAAATGAAGCTATCACGGGCGAGACCCGATGTGGTGGCCAGGATAGGAAAGACGGTGATCTCTCAGGGTTGGCTGAAGCACAAAATGATTATACTTGGCTTCATCCCAGGCTTGAGTGCTTCGTCGCATGCTCAATGATGTCAGATTCGGCATCGGCTTCATTCACAACCACCCAGAAATGCATAACCGCGCTCAGCTGTGAACATCATTCCGATCAAAATGCATGAGTCAACAAGGCACAGCTGCGTCAAAGATTCAGCAATGATTTTGACTTCTTTATTGACAGCCGCCGTAGTGCAGATACTAACACCTGACTTGTGGTATTAGCTGCGAAGGTATCAAGCGCTCCAGAGCCACGCACTTGCAAGTAGCACCTCCCCGGTATCTACATCGTCTTTCCTTCTTCTTTTATCCACCAGTACGCAACCCACGCCAAGTGACAACGCAATGAAAATTCGAAAGAGCAAAGATACCTCGACGTCCAAACAATAGCCATGATGAAAAGATAAGAAACCCAATTGCACCCCTCCAAAAGTGATATCATCCGTTATTCCTGTATGTCTGTGTGATAAGCATGCTTTTCGTATGCTTCAACCCCATACTCACATCCTCAGCAAGCCTTCAATTCCACCTACGGCACCAGTGTAGATATAAATGTGAGGTTGTATAGTGTATAACTGCGTCTTCAATCCACAAAGGAACGCCTTCGCAGTCGTATCAGTCGCAAGAACTAAAGGCCATGCCCCAAAGCGAGACGGGAACCGGTGTGCTCTCAACTGCCCGGGGCGTGGTATCGTTACCAGCTGGGTCGATCATTTCTTGAGAAGTCACCTCATCCGAACCGTGTGACGCAGTCGACTCTTGGTCAGCCAGCGGCGGTGTTCTGGCCAGCCTCTAGTTGTTGGCCGTGCCGTTAGCCGTCTGTTGCTTGGCGTTCTCTTTCTGGGTGTTGAGGAAGCTGGCGGCAGTAGCGTAGGTCTCGGTGCCGATAGTGAGAGCAGTAGTGAGAGCAGCCTTGTAGTAAGCGCTCAAGCCCTTGCCGCCAACCTTCTCGAGCTCGGTGTTGTAGGTGCTGAGAACATGCTCCTTGCCGCTCTGGCCAAGACGGATGGGGAACTGGAGAAGAGACTGGGCGTCGTGGACGAGCTCATCTGTCGGCTTCTTGACAATCGGGAACTTCTCATCGATCTTGGACAGCGTCTTGTCACCCAAGTCATCGGCCTTATGGACGTATGGGGAGACATATTGGTACGGGCCCTGGAGGTAGCCGAGGAAGGGGGCTCCAACCTGGTATACCTTCTCGGTAACCTCGAGGAGTTTTTGGCCGTAGGGGTTGGCCTTCACAGTCGAGATACTGGACTCGACGATAGGGTATCCAAGCAAGTGCTGTCGACATGTTAGCCTCGGCCGTGGAGCACACAAGAGACGACGGGGAACATCATAAGCTTACCTTGATGACCGCGGAGTTGGAGGCAACATCGCCATTAACCTGCCTGTTGCTGTTCGACATCTTGGTCTTCTTCTGGTGAGCCATGTTAGACGCTGGAGAGTACGTAGAGTGCCACACAGGAAGAATGAAAAATCAGGAATTGAGAGCAGGTGAGAATGGCGGACTGTACAGTTTTGTATGATTTCCAGAGAGGATAGAAGGGTGGGACCGAGCGTGAGATCGGAAGGTTCTTTTAAACAGGATGAGGTGGTATCGGAGTTCGGAACTGTTGAAACCAGAAGGTGGGAGAAAACGATGCAAGCAGAAGAATGGCAAGGTGGTTTGGAAGGAGACGGAATTTGTAAATGGCAACTGCCTGTGTCAAGAGGAAGGAGAGAGGGGTGGAGGGATGAAAGACGTCTTTCCCGTCCGGTGAAACCTCACATATTGGTAGTCCAGCCGATGCACGCCACTAGCATGGGGCTATTGCGGGTAGGCAGGATCACTATCAGAACATAAGAAGCTTGGGGAACTAGCGATGAAAGAAGCTGCCTGAGCCGTTGGCTAGAGGTACCTCTAACCCTCAGGGCACCCCTCCCCTCGTCATGGGTGTTGTATCCCCTTGTACCTTGCTGAGACTGAGTAACTGAAATGCACATGAAAGAGAGCATGTTCAACTGAATCCTGTCATGATCTGATGCACATCACACTCAGTCTACCTACCTACAGATAGGTACCTAGTCTCCAGCTGCGGGAGTCCATGCGGGGAGCTGATAGACATGGCATCTCCGATGTTAAGGCCCAGTTACTGCGTGGAAGCCGGGCGAGTTTGCCTCCCCTGCCGGTATCTTTGAGCGATACACGGCAGGTACTTGTGGTTCGTTTACAGTGACACAAAACCGCTCTCGTCTTCCATGACCGAATCCAGATCTTGGTGCGTCAAAAACACGAAGTGAAGTCCAAGGTGTGGATGCCCAAAGTGGGCTTGAACACATTGAACAGACCTCTCGACCCCTGTGCTTTCCTTCGATGAACCGGGGCGAACAATCGAAGTGCCCTGATAAGACTCTGGTGGGGCCCCCTCGCTTTCGGGGCTGCATGCGTCGGGCCAACACCCCGGCCTTCCAGGCTGCCAAGCAAGCGCTGCCAGCCAGTCAAAACGAAGGGAGGGAGAAAGTGGCAACCCCTCCTTCTGACATGTGAAAGCTCACAAGCCAAAACGAAGCCACAGCATCCGTATCCCTGGCATTGTACTACACTATAAATGTGAGCATCATCCTCATGCCAGGATCACCACCGGGGTTTGATTGATCCATTTCAGTCGCCTTGGAGGAAAACAGCCGATGGAATTGCCTGCGTGTCGTACACCCAGAGCGTGAGCCCCGGAGGCGACCGAGGCCGTCAAAGCTATACCATACCTGACAAGATAGGAGGTGAGATGTTGGATGTTTAAACAGGCGACCTCACAGTTGACCACTTCATTCGGTGAAACAAAGGGCCTTCACGTGAAATCCCTTCGTTGTCATTCCGTGACATCATTCTCTCGGAGGAGGCTGACGGACAGTGCACTCCTCAATCGAGATACTGCCTGGCTCGTCGTGGTTCAGTCAAGTTGTTCAAGATAAGAAGGGAGATTTTCAGGCACAACGAGATACATGACATGCATGTCCCAGGCGGGGTTATTGCTTCAAAGCCTGGGTTTTCGGACCCGGTTTCCTCTCTCATCATGAACTCGTACACAAGCAATCATCTTGTGTAACAACCGGTGAGGCTCGGAACGAATGGAAAGAGTGGCCCTCACACCCCCCACGCCACGCCATCTCTACCCGTTGCTGCCGGTTCATCATCCGTACGAGACTGTAACCTTCTCATTCCTCAGCGCCGCGCAAGTTTGGAGGATGACGACAGAACTTGACGTTCTCGGCTGCACAACTTCAATTTCGCCTTTTCCACGGTTGATGATCTTCACTTGGAATTACGGAAATGTCAACTTCCCCGGCTGCACCGGAAGCAATTTCACGCTCATAACTGACAAAAGGCTCGACGTCCAACCACATCTCCCAAGCTGCCTCGTTCAGCCGGGTATCAGGCTCACCTACAGCCAGCAATGCAAGTAATGCAGCATGCAGTGTTGCCTCGCAGCACTTATTGTGGTCGGGGCGCTGTGGTAAGCTCTTCAGTTGGTTCCTCCACAAAGGCCTTGCAGAGGCCAGACGAAGGACCTTGAATTTTGAACATTGACTCGCATCGTAGGCACCAGCACGTGCACCGTGAGGTCCAATTGAAGAGTCAAAGTCGGCCCCGTTCAAAATCTGTGGAAGATTTCAGTTTTGGAAACATTTGGTGGACGACAGGGGCTGACATGTTTGGCATTTTTGTGTGTTGCGGGTGCCCCTGTACCTTCCGCGTGGATCCAAGGGGTCCGGGCCACCACCAACCTACACTAAAGCAGGAAGCGCCAACCCCTTAAGAGCTTTGGCGTGATTGGTTGTCAGGGATGGCCTGTGTAGTGCCACTTTCACATGTCAGAAACATGGAAGCGACGAGATGACCGACTGAGCAGGTTGTGTGTGTGTGTTTTTTTTTTTTTTTTTTTTTTTTTTTTTTCTGCGAGTAAAAGCTCAAAATCCGACTCTGATCTGTTGTTAGCCCGATTTCATTCGCCCGGAGCGAGCTGATAAATAATCGGTTTTATCATCGGTTACATATGCAAGCCACAGAAAAACAGAAAGATATAACAAGCTCGAAGCCGTGTGTCTCCCCTCATCCGTTGACTGTGTCGACTGTAAAGCATCACAAGAGTTTCAAAGCATGGTGCACAGGGCATCAAGTGAAAATAGGGGCTGACGTTACCCAAACAAACCTCCTACATTTTCTACTACCCGCGGTCTCACAGCATCCATGCCCGACTGTTGACCGAGCAGATATCGTTCTTGCACCAGACGGTTTCGTGCATCCTCCATCAGGCGAGTGCCCGTTATCTTGAGTGAGACGAGGATTGTGAAGATGCCAGACAATTGGATGCAGATGTATCTCAGCATGGCATATCCGCCAGACTGGTGGAAGCCTGCAGGTCTCGGTTCAAGCAGCTGCCATGAGGCTGATATGCACAAGCACCACAAAACTGATAGAGTCGAGATTGAGACCAGGCACAAAGCACAACTTACGTCACGGTTGACCTGCACCTCACAATTGAGGGTCCCAATCAATGTCTGGAATTCCACATTTTCGAACGCCATCGGGTGAGATCGAAAACCCGGCGAGCAACTACGCATACGCACACCCGACACACTGCAACTCGGGGCCCAGACGCCTGGGCAGCTGATGACGGTACATCGTCTCTCCTCGGCTGAAACCCCCTACTCCTCTTTTTCTGTCTTTTTTTCCTCTTTTTTTTCTTTTCTTTGGAAATTAAATAGTACCAGACGGGTTTTCTGGCCGGCGCTCGATCGGAACTCGATCCGAGGGTGATTTTTCTTATGCCTTCTCTTGAGGCTCTTTGAAAGTCGGGCCGAAAAAAATCTTCAGACTTTACTGCGCCAACATCATCTCTTTTCACAAGCTTCTGCACTCTTTTCTGTTTTGACTCGTCCCAGCTGCTTGGCACGCGGACAGTCGAGATGAAATGTCATCCCTTGCCCATTACGCATATATTCCAGCTTGAGCATGTGTATGTGGCAGACCGTCCCATGTGCGGAATGTTTCCGCTAATCGAATCAAGACGATTGAATTTTTTTTTCTTTAAAATTGGTGCTTCTAACTGACATGTGAAAGTACCCAGATAGATGGGACAGTGACGGACACGACACTGCAATACGAAGACAATGAGGTTACCAGTCAATGATCCAAACAAAACCATAGGTAATTCAGTTGGCAATCTCTTGAAGCAAGGGGCCGGGAAAAAAAAACTCCGATGATAAAAATTGAGCAGGCAAGAGTCCCTTGCGTGACTTCCACTTTCCTCGATTACCCTACGCTCGAACACCAAAATTTTGCTCTAACTTGCATTCATTCTTCCATTTTAGTTCTTGCTTTGCCTTCCCCAATTTCAACGAAACCAAAATCTCAAGTCATCAAGTCAGTAAGAACTGTATGTCCTCGGTGCTTTGCATGGTCTGGTCTGACCACAAGATTGTACTTAACAAATACGTGTAATAATAATTATATGCTGGAAACAGACCCGCAACTCAGAAGCGAGCCTCGACCTTGGTCATGGTATCTTGCAACGCCCACTCGTTCACCTTCTCCCTGCTGCGAACAGCCTTGACCTGCTCCGCCGTAAAGCCCTTGGCCTCGACCGCCGGGTTATAGCCCAGCTTGTTGAGCTTTCCAACCGTCGCCGAGTCGATAACCGGCGCCTCCTTGCCGTCGGCGCGCTTGTAGACGGTGACGACAGCAGCACCACCAAGTCCAAGGTTGTGCTGGAGCGCGTATTTGGTGTGAGACACATTGCGGTTGTTGGCCCATCCTCGGAGGTGCCATACCAACTCGGCGCACTGAGCGATACCAGTGGCGCCTAGAGGGTGGCCTTTGGAGATGAGACCGCCACTGGGGTTGACGACGACCTTGCCACCATATGTGATATCACCGGCGCGCACAAACTCGTGCGCCTTGCCGGGCTCGGAGAAACCCAGAGCGTCAATCAAGATCATCTCGTTGGCACTGAAGCAGTCGTGAAGTTCGCACACAGCAAAGTCACTGGGCTTGACACCGGCCTCCTTCATGGCAACACGCGCAGCGTGCTGGGTCATGTCCCAGCCCATCAAGTCAATGGCGCTCTTTGAGAACAGGCTGGGCGCATCAGTGGCCAGGCATTGACCGGCAATGAGGATGGCTTGGTCCTTGAGGTGAGGGCGGGCGTCCAGGAACTCCTGGGAAACCAACACTGCTGCCGCGCCGCCATCGGAAGTTGGACAGCACTGAAGCTTCGTCAATGGCTCGTGGACCTTGGGTGACTGCATAATCTGGTCAAGGGTGTATACGTCCTGGAACTGCGAGTATGGGTTGTTGACGGAGTGGGCGTGATTGATACGAGCGATCTCGGCAAAGTCCTCGGGCTTGGCGCCATACCTATGAGAGAAGGAATAAGGTCAGTCATCATGCCATTTTGTGTAACATTACGCTGATATTATATGAGATTTGGCTTACTTCTCCATATACTCTCGGCCGGCATTACCAAACATCTGAGCGGCACCAGGTGCCTTGGTAACTCCCCTGGTGGTGGCCATCATCTTATATGTCGTTCCGAGAGGGTTCTCTCTGTCGTTGAAATGGCTCTGCAAGCTACCAGCCTGCATCTTCTCGAAGCCCACTACCAACACACAATCGGCCGCACCACTCGAGATGAAATTACGGCCCATGGCCAGACCTGTAGAGCCAGTCGAACAGTTGTTGTTGACGTTGTAGATGGGGATCTGGGTCATGCCGAACTGGTAGAAGACGCGCTGACCACATGTCGAGTCGCCGTAGCAGTAACAGGCGATACCCTGCTCAACATCGTCATAGGAGATCTGCGCATCGAGCATTGCCTTGACACCAGCCTCAAAACCAAGCTCGGTATAGTCCACTTTGCCTCTGGGTTTGATGAACTTGGTCATGCCCACGCCGAGGACGTAGCATGGCTTCTTCTGCCTGGGGGCCATGGTAAAAAGTCGGTATGGGTATTTTCGAACTGGTGGGTGGGTTGGATAGTCGGTGATCGACGGGAGCGAGGAGAAGAAGAAGAAGAAGAAGAAAGTCGGAAAACTACAACCTACGACATGAAGTAAGAGGGAATAAGAACTTTATCGTAACGTCCGTGGTGACGGCAAGGTTCATGCCTTCAAACCGTTAGCATCACTGTTCCCCTGACGGTGACGGGCCCGCTTCCCCACGTTTTCCCCAGAGCTAAATGCGGGGACGCCCCAGTTACCGAGGCACCTTGCGACGGCGACACGCCAGATCCCTTGCCACCCACCATCGTAACACCACCGCAAAGCAACAATTTGGCACCATCCCATCCATCTATCCAATGAAGGGCATACCAGAAACGGAAGGCTTTCATCGTAAGCAGTCGGCATGAAAACTTCGAGGTTCGAGCCGCTTGTCTTGGCGGACCTCGAGTATCACGACCCCTTCATTGCATTACCGACAGAGACACCTATTCGCAGTTTGGTGATGATAGTTCCAGCTTACAGACATTTCTGATACAACGAGATTCTCAAGAGTGGCTTTTGAGTAAACGCGAGCAGGAATACTATGGCTGCTTACTGAGCAAATGTCAACGAAATCATATCTGAAATTCATCAAGCTAACATCTTATTCAACAACAGGCCTGACTCCTCACCAAGTGGGAAGCCCACTACTCAAGAAACATATAAGACAGAACACAAGAAACCACATTATTTCAGGAAACCCTCAGGTGGTCGGCTAGGTGCTTCTGAAAGACTAGGCCTCGTCGTCGGCCTTCTTGGTGGTATGGAAAGACCAGGCCTCGTCGTCGGCCCGTTTGCCATTGTTTTGAGTCCAGGCCTCGTCGTCAGCCCTCTTGGTGCTTTGGAAAGCCCAAGCCTCGTCGTCGGCCCGCTTGCCATTGTTCTGAGTCCAGGCCTCGTCGTCGGCCCTCTTGGCGCTTTGGAAAGCCCAGGCCTCGTCGTCGGCCCTCTTGCCATTGTTCTGAGTCCACGCCTCGTCGTCGGCCCTCTTGGTGCTTTGGAAAGCCCAGGCCTCGTCTGACTTGCCTAGTTTTTGTTAGCACCGGTTTTGAATGGTTCATCATTCCGGGAATGCATACCAGGAGTTGGGATGGCAATGGCACCAATAGCCAGAAAGGCAATCATGAAGGAGGTCTGAGTGATCTGCATCTTGAATGACGGGAGAAAGTATCAACGGCGGGTTACTTTTCGGGGCAAGTTTCTGATTCTGTTTGATGAAACTAACAGTTACAGGACGGGAGGCCTGGTCTATTTATGCTTTCAACTCCAACAAACTAGGTCATTGCTGCCTAACATCTCACCATCGTTGTCAATACTGTCGGCCTCATTCTTCTTCTCGCGAGATACTCCAAGACGAACACAGAGGGCTCACCTGCACGGGGGCCGACCGACGCCCTCGTCACTTCGAAACATGCATTGCTGACCATGCTGCCCCCGAAACGGACATACACATGCAACTTTTCTCAGCTGAATCCATTCATCAGGCACTTTGGATTGCATCAGATAGGGCTGCGCACACGTCATAGGCACCAAGAGTGCAGGTTTGACCGAAAGAGGAAGCTGCTTTTCGTTTTCTCTGGTCAGCATGTTGATGCAAGGCCGATCATACCTTGATCCTCTCTGATAGTTCCCAGAGAGAGAACGGCAAGTGATGTTGAATTTGAATGCGCCGTGTTCCAAGAGGTCTCCTGGATTACACATCCACGAAGAGTTAAGCACGGCTTCTCTTAGTGTTGGACTAGTCGGGGAAGGATAGTTTGTCCCATCGAGTGCGACATCGGCCGAATATGTACCACTGCAACATGGCCCCCTCTCTTAAGTATTGTCTTTCTGACTTGCATCATTTCCATTAAGGGTATATGCAATTACCCCGAGTCATTTGATACTAGCCCGATTCCGGTCGAGTTGCTTGTTATCCTTCTTACAAACGCGGCATTCTTTTTTTTCTCGATCCTCGGCGAAGCTGCCAAAGCCAATTCTCCTCTCTGTTTTTTCAACCCTCCCTAAGCTTTTCAAGATGGACAAGTTCAAGCCCAGCAACTATCTCCCAGTTGATTGTGAAGAATCTTACTCACCAGACCCTGGGTCCGACGAGGATGACGAGGAGTGTCGTGAGTTTTCAACCACTTCATCAGCTCGCTGGGCGGGCTCAAAAAGCTCATGGATTCAACGGCACTGGCGCTCTGTTACCGTCCATGCCTTACTCATAGCGGCAAACTTGTTTCTCTTCATCGCCTACACGAAGGGAGTCATAGTTCCCGTGCGTTACACTGATCCTCAACATGAACCAAGTGAGTTTTCCCCGTCTTCCTCTTTTGTGCACATCCTGCTGCTTCTTCAAAAGAGGGCGTCTAACTGTCAAAAATCCAGCTCCGTTCCGTTCCGTGGTGAAGTACGAACAAAGGGCGTTTGATATGGGAGCCATCTATGGCCTGGGCAAAAACAAGTCTTTGAACATGCAAAAGGGTAACATCAACTTCAATGGCCCACCCAGACCTGAGCTGGAAAATGCTTGGAATGACCTTCTTCGCTGTGAGCTCTTTTTACTCTATAGGTGATGTCAAATACTTGATGATTCTAATAGGCTGAAATAGTTCAAAACGTCCGAATCCCCAGAAAGGATATGGGTCAGTTCCAGGACGACGACACTGTCATTCGGTTGACCGACGGGACCTACTACTTCACCGTATCAGTCTTTCACGGGCTCCACTGCGTTGAGAGAGTCAGAAAATACCTCTACAAGGATCATTACTACCCAGACCTCAGTGAGATGCAAGCCATTGCCCTGCTGAAGCATACAGAGCATTGCATCGATTACTTCTTGCAGTATCTCCAGTGTAATGCCGACACGACTCTACTTCCTATGGAGTGGACGACTGAGTGAGTCACTGCCCCTTTGACCGTTTCTCATCCACGATCGAGATCATTACTGACAAGGATATGTCTCCCACCAGAGATCCAAAGCCTGTCTCCCAGGGGTTGGGCAAACACACCTGTGTCAAGTGGGACTCAATTTTCGACTGGATGAAGGAGAACTCTTTTGATCCCTTTGAGCCGGGAATTCTGATGCATCCCATCCTTGGTAAGTTATGACACTCAGCCTGATTGATTCCTGATACGCTGCAAACACTAACAGATACAATCGCAAACAGGCGATCCGTACGACCGAAATGCGTCTCACCACCACGTCAATGTGGGCCTTACAGAAGCCGGCGGGATTCTGCATCTGAACGAGGATGGGACGGTGAAAGAAGGTAGCAAAAAGGCACATTTGCATTCGTGAGGTATGCAGATAAGCGAGCAATGAGTATGCACTTGGACGCAACATCATTTATCGTCAACCGTTGTAAGCACGACATAGACCAACCTAGAACTTCTCTTCCAAGTCAATCTTATTTCCCATCTTTCTTTCCTTTTTTGAACTGTCACTTTCCTATCCGGGAACGGAGCTGTTATCACATACAGAATCGTCGAGATGTCGTGCCCCCCAAACAGTTGACACATGGGCACGGTAACATCGCTCCAAGCCTTTTTTCAACTGCGCCGCCGCCTCGTTCCTTCAAAGTGAAGTGCGGAGTACACGTGCATGACAGAAAAAGGAACGGAGATAACGACAACAAACCGCTTGTGGCAAGAATGGCCATGTCAACTGGACTGTCGTGATCAATGCGGTTTGAATCACATACTATTTATTGTCCCAATATTGTTACCTACTCCGCACGAAATGTATGCATGCTGGGGTCGGGTGGCCGGATGGTCGTGGTCGGACAGAAGCGAGGATGGACTATCGATCTTACAACATGCAGTGTTGCGACCTAAACGGGATGGAGAAGCGAGAAAGGATGCTTCTGGCGAGGATACGGGCGAGGCTGGGCACGGTTCGGCCCGCGGCGCCATTGTGGAATCGAGAGCTTGGGGATGGGGAGGCTCGTCCCATGGATGTCTTAGAAAAAAAAAGATCAATTCAATCAACATATCCAACGAGATCGTGGCTGATTGTATGACATTCAGCAAGCAAAGAGGCGTTTAAGACTACAGACATTCCAAGGTCAGCACTTCATGCCCAAATCCGATGGACCAAACCGTCAAAGCTTCCTGATGCACTTTCGCATCAAACCTATCGTAAAGGGCATGTTATTATTGCGGGAAGAAAAGCGTGCCAGTCCGCTTCCGAATCTAAGTCGATTTGCATACGCGTAGGTACGGATTCAGGACAGTGACACCTCCCTCTTGCGGATTGACACAACTAAAGCCCCGGACGTTGGTTCCCTCTAAACCCTTCATCCCGTGGACTATCACTGTCCTTTGGTTCTTCGCCGATATCGCAGAAGCTACTACATTCAACTCAAGGGGTTAGACGGTAGTCACTACCACTTCTTACCTCACTATTGGTGCTTCATGGCCACCCGATAATACCTACCTTACATAACACAACGTCGGGGAGTAACATAGATCACATCATGCTGTCAGCTTTTGTACGATTTGCAATATTGCAATACACTAACGCACTCTGTCGAATATTTGCATCCCAGCTCGTCCCCTATCCTCCAACGAGTCCGGAACACACTAGCGATCACGATTGCGCTACTACAACATCGTGTTGCTTCATCCTACTTTCGTCAACGCTAACCTGCCTGTTTAAGAAGAGAAGTGTCAGCATCGCAGCCGAAAGATTTCCGTTTGAGATAACGTTGAGTGGATGTTGAGGCAAACTGCGACTGGTTAGGTAGTCAGTTGCGTGTGTATGGGAACAGGGGATAAGCTGAGGACAGGGAAGTGAAGTCCGTGCCTGATTGAGCCCACGAAGATAAGTCGACGGTGGAAGTGGACCGAAGAGGTTTGGACAGTTGGTGAAGATGGCGAGTTTTCGGGGTTAGAGACTGTCATCTTGCGAAGTCTGTGTGTTTTTTTGTGCTATCACATCAACGTGGATGACATGCAGTTTCGTTGCAGGTCGCAATGGCCTTCTTACAATACGCTTTGATGGGAAATCATGTTCAGAACACTCGTAATTTGGGTAAGAGCGACCAGGCGAACATTCGTGTGAGAAATACGGGTTGAGTGTCTCACGACAGTGCCACTGGTCCGTGGCACCGGTCCGTGGCATCAACCGGACAACCGAAGATCTCGGGTTAGTTCCATCTTCACTTCCCCGGGAAAGATAAGGCTACATTTCACTCCCAATGGTCTCGTCAGGTCCCGCAAGAAGCCACGCCATCTTATTGGCAATCCATTTGTTCAATGGCGATTTCTCACGCTACACGCCAGATCCATCAAAATGCCCTCCGCCCATCTCTCTTCATCTACTCATGTCCTACTGTCTACACAAACACCATATCACGTCCTAGAGGGACCCAAACTCAAAACATGAGTCAATCCAAAACCCCTTTCCTCTCGCGGAACTTTGAGAAGGACTACGAAGAAAATGTTGAAACAGAAAGTCATTCAACAACAGACGTCGACCTCGAAGACGCCCTCTCAACCACAACCCACAAAAATGCACGCCCACATCGAAGGCCTTCGCCTGCCTTCCTCCGACGTGTTCATTTCCGCTCATGTCCAGATCTAATTCTCTACCTTTTTGCCCTCTGGGGATTCCTCTCCCTCGTTTTCCAACTAGCCCAACTCTTCTTACCCATAACACCTATATTCCCCTCTTACCATGCCAAAACAACAACATCATCAGCAGGGGCAAGACCCGGCACATCCAACACAACAAAAGACACAGTAGACGTCTACCGCCCCTCCACCTTCCCCTCCCCCTCTTACGATCTCTGCTCCTGCGGTTCTTCCATCCGCGAAGCGCAGTCTCTACACTGCGTCTACGACACCATGGCCGCCGCCTGGCTTCCCCCATACTGCCGCGACCCCGAACTAACCACCATATTTGACCGTTCCGGCCCGGGAGAAGGCGGAGCATGGTCTTACTACGCCGACCAAAACGGTAGCGTCCGTCTGAGTCCGCACCAAATCTCCCTTTTGGCGGATAACCACCAGACAAACGTAAAGGGGGGAAATGTCTTTTGGGCAACGAGAGAATGGCATCTAGCGCATTGTTTGTTTTACTGGCAGAAGCTGGTGCGGATGAGGGATACGAATGCTGTCATGGAGAGGAGGTTTGATGGGTGGCGGCATGCGAGGCATTGTTATGGGTTGTTGATGAGGAGGGATCCGCCGGGTAGGGAGACGTTGTTGGAGGTTGATGTTAGGTTGAGTGGTGGGTTTGAGATGGGAAGAGAGGAGAAGGGGGGACATAAAGGGCATTGAGTTTTAGTTAGTTTGGAATGATGGAAGATTGTTTGGAGAAACTAAGGTGATGTTAATACATTCGAATATCATATTCCCATTTTTTATGCTGCTGTCGAGAGGCATCATAACTTCTATATAGCTTGAAGAAACCTCGCAAATCGCCTCCAGCATGTGTTGTGCGTATAGTCCCTGAGTCATCTAAATTCTATTGTAAGATGAAACGTACCGTAGGGATCTCTCGAATGAGTAAATGCAGGATTTTCTCAAAGTATGAGTTCAGCCGTTCTGAACATCTCAAAAGCAGACAGCCAACCCTGAACAGGATGCTTGTCTCCTTCGAACCCAGTCTCCCTCAACTTTGTTATACTTAGTTGCCGATCGAACGTCAGCCAGTAGCCCACGCTGTCCAATTGCCGATGACCAGCTCCAACACCCTTGGTGGCAGCGTTCTCGCGACCGTGTTGCTTGAAAATGGACCTGTACTTGGTCACATATTCTCCAGGTGGCAAGAGTGAAGTCGATTCTGGAAGCTGGCCAACCCCCATAGAGTTGTCTGGAGCTGATGCTTTCTCGGCGACCGGCCCAACGCCTACTAGGCCAAACCATTTGGCTAAATGCGGCCAAATCTCGCCATACTTGCACGGTGTCTCATTGTCGGCAACGTTGAATAGACGGCCGCCGCCACAAGTTTCGGGATGCAGCGATGCATAGATCATAAAACGCGCAATGGTCGCGCTGGATACCGGGGAGAATAACGAGTTGGCACCAGCGGCGTTGCCAGGAAAAGGCACTTCAACGGGACTTGTTGCAGCTTCGGTTGCAAATGGTCCGACACCGTGGTTATAGGCATATAGGGATAGATACTGAGCCCAATGGAGGGCTAAGCTGAACTGGGAACCGTTGGGGGTAAACCCAATCTTGATAAATGTCAGTGATGTATGAAACTCGGGTGCATCCCGAAAGACTCACAATGGCATCAGGGCAGACTTCGCACCATGTCCATGGCTTTCCTTTGCTCGCAGCGCTCAGCAGCTCGCGATATGCTGGATATACAACCGTCTTGGCATAGTCGGGTGGCAGGTTCTTGACCATGTCCTCAGTCAACGGAGGGGTAAATGTGCCTCCGGGGGTATATATCCCATATCCCTGATGAAGTCAGCACGTGGTTCATATTATTTCAATACTCCTCCGTACGGTAGTGAACTTACCCGTGTCCCACCAGCAAATGCTACGAATTGCAAGTTGGGACTGAGAATCGTGTGGGCATCGACAACATTCTGAAACATACGACGGTTGATCGCTACCTCCTCAATGTCGTCCTCGACTGCTTGAAACACTACTTATGGTGAGCCTTACTATATGGCAGCGAAGTGTGTGGTGCAAGGGGGAAATGGATGGATGGAGCAAGTACCCAAGTAATAGATATGAGTGACAGATTCGACATCTTTCACCGCCTGCTTTAAGGAATCTGCCAATGTAGCCCCATCACCCTTATGGAGGTCAACACCGGAGAAGAGCTGTAGGTCTGGCTGGTCCGAATCCGTAGGCCACAAAGACTCGGAAGTATCGAGCGGGCGATTCGTAACAGCGGTGATCTTCGAGAATGAGCCATAACGCGGGTAACCACGCAGGAGCTGGTTAACAATTGCCCAACCAATTAGACCAGAGGCGCCGAAAATGATGGCATGATTTGAGCTGTCCGCCATTGTGAATGTATGTGTCGGATACTTGATCTGGCAGGTGAATTCAATGGCATTCGGTCTTAAATATGCTCGATTCGCTTTGGCCGTGACCGGATCAATCATTCTGAATCATAGTGATCCAAAGGTGGATGAGAGTTAGCGGTGAAAGCCTAGGATAGCCATTCAACCTCTGACATAACTCAATCTGTTTAGATCAAGTTAGCGCAGTTAAGTACCCGCTCAAGTATAGCGGCAATACAGAGCGGCCTAGGGCAGCTTGTCAACACAGCAGCAGCAGCCAGCAGCAGCCAGCAGTAGTGTACCTAGTAAGATGGCAGTCCCTCGGCTCGAGCGGCGGTAACCTTACCTACCCAGCGGCTACCAAGTGGAGTTTCGCATTGATCGACGCCTGAAGACACTGGCTCCTGGGCCTGGTCCAAGAATCCGAACGACGCAGACGGGATTTGCGCCATCGCCGGCAACCGAGAATCTACTACCAATGGGAAAACAGCCTGCCATCTACGAGATTTCTATGGGAGCCGTTTTGCTATCATGACGGCTACGGCCGGTTATAGAGAGCGCGAGGTGCGCAGGATCCAATCGAGACTACAACGATTCAGAACCACGACAAGTTCCCCCCGGACCATGTCAGCTACGAGAGTAACTTGCTGACCCTCGAGGGCAAGTTTTGCTGTAAACTCCTCCGTCGCGGCGGAAAGGGATGAGGAACTGCCAGGTGGTCTAGATGGCGTCGCGCATCTCTAGAGGGAAGGCAAGGAGAAGACATGTTTCCGGTTTCGTTTCTGGAAGAGTCATCGGATATACTCATTTTCTCAACCAGGTGCTTGAGCCTACCATAGTCATTGGTTCCATGCTCGGCTTAGTATGTGCACCTTGAGTGCTCTTTTTCGAACCGCTCGCGCACTTTGATGGGATAGGTTGGATCTAGGGATTCCCAGTCAAGCGGGGTGATGGGCATCAAGTTGAAAGCTACTTCCATGCTGTGTTGTGCTTTTATGACTGTGTCGCGTACGTAGATGTGGAAATGCGACAACAAATAGAGCTTGGTTCTGGAGTGGGTTGCGATAGGCCGCCGAGAAGACAGTTCCTTTGAGCCAGATGAGTATAATACCAGGAGGAAGAGTAGAGAGCTTGATGAACGGCCTGATGCGGGACTGTGGTAGTTATCCTGACAACTCAACTGTAGACGGATTCATATTCTCCCGACTTATGAGTAAAGGATAAATTTGATGCGATAATGTTTCCTTTCTCGCTTTGTAAAGACACATGCCATCACTTTTATATTGAACATGCATGTGGAAAGATGCTCTTCGATATTCCCGGGGTCTCATTATGCCCGTGAGAGTGACAGAAACATTGAAGTGTCTGTCGAAGTCCAGGTGGACGACAAGAGGATGTTATGGGTCCCGTACCCGAACTGCCGACTACTTGGCCACGAAAGTCTGTCGATCTTCTTTGTGACCTTGTTTTAGACAACGGACTTTTGGTGAATATATCTTAGCGTGGCCTTCCGTAGTATCTTCAACGTGTCCCGATCCTTTGATTCAGATGTCACGCACATGTGACGAGGTTGATGTTAATGCAGACAGGTCCACCACACAGTAAAGGTTGGATGTTGTCACCTTTGCGAAAGCTTCTCGGTGTCTCTGTGGGACATATTTAATCATCAACAATGAGGTAGCCAGTAAATTCAAACTAGTAGTAAACTCGGAATTGGACAGTACATTGCAGCTATGATTTGGGAAAGAAAAATGAACATGAGATGAATAATGAAAAGAAAGTACAAGCTCATCAACAAATCCAGAATCTCATCCGCTCCACCACCAAATCAATGAGAAGAAGACAAAACACGGAAAAAAGAAAACACACTAACAATGCCCCAACCCTTCAGCCTTCACACAATTTCATATGTATAATACCCATTCCCTTCGCCCAATCCAAGCACAGGATCGGGAGTCCCGTTTGCTTTGTTGTGCTTGGCAGCCTGGGCAATAGCCTCTAGAACTTTCGAGGTATGAGGAAGGAATTTCCTACCAGACTCTGCGAGATAACGATTCTCCAGAGTAGTATTCAAAGGAGGGCCGTTGACATACGGGTCTTTCTTCAAGTAATCCATTCGCTCTTTCAGCCCATTCCTGACCTTTTTAGTGAACCACAAGTCGATGTTTCTAAATAAGCCCTTTTTCTTCAGTTCTTGAGGGATGTTTTTCTGGACCATATCAATTCCCTCATCTGAAGAATTTTCTTGGTTTTCAAGTACTGCGTCTTCAGCATTGCTGTCTCTCCTCTCCTGAGGCTCTTTGTCAAAGAAGAAAAAGTGCCCAGCTCTTTGAAACTGCGTTTCGTGAGGATAGACTGCTGTCTTGAGAATCAATCCATAGATCATTATGTTATACCCTCCATATCGAATCATGAATGGTACCAGGTAAACATCTTGTACGTCAACCTTGACGTCGTTAGCCTCGTCCCACTGTACGCATATTCTAATATCTTCGAGTTCAAGTGTACCCAAGTTGTAGTCCTCACAGTCGTCTCTACGACAGTCTGGAATAGCGGTAATTCTCGCTCGCAGAACCGGACTTCGGAGCTTGATACTTCCTCCAAACTTGATAGGGCCAAAGGCGTTTGTCCTATTTTGTGGTGTTACACTCGCTTCCAGAACCTCGGCCAATACATCTACAGTCTCTTGGGTGTCCAGAAAATACCCTAGGTTGGACAGCTGCCCAGATCGACCAGGTTGAATAAGGGAAGCCCAAGACCATGAAGGGGCTATTTCCATATTTTTCTGACTGCATGGCCCTCGACAAAACCACAAAAGATTTTGGATAAGGCGATATGACCATAGCCCGGCAAGATAGGTTATACCACTCCATTCACTGCTTAGCTGCTCTGCAAGGCCAGAAATAGCCACAAGTCTGTCTGAAGTCTGGGTGAGAGATCTCCTAAAGTATGTCTTTATCAGCCGGTTCCATGCCTCTTGCCGCTCCGAGTCCACCAGCTTGCCCCCAAGCAGATTTTGCCAGTCAGGCCGGAATATCTTTGCATAATCTCGATATAGACTTCTAGGTCTGTCAAGGAACTCTGGGAAGGATTCACTCGCTTGATATGTTGAGCATTCCCAGTGTAGCTCCTTTCGACCAAAAATAAGAGTACGTCGCGCCAGAAGTTGTTCCTGAAGTACCCATCCACGGGTGTAGAGAATGAGCTCCGTTGATAAATAAGACTTTGTTGTATGTTCATTGATATACTCGGCCATTAAGTAACGATCTTCTCCAATTCGTATAAACCAAGGTGTTATCGAAAGCGGGTGTCGTCGGTAGAAGAGGCCCCCATTGGCATCAGCTGAGGCGCCAGCGGCCAGGTTGAGAAAGGAATTCTGGTAGACTTGTTGCATTTTGCCTGATTCCTGAATCCAATCCTCATTGGAGTTCTGAATGATACAGAGCGAATCAATCCAAAGGAAGGGGATCTTCAATTTCCGAGTGACATCGATCGCATCTCGAAAGGTTCTTGGTAGCTCGCCAACTTGGATTCCCTCCAGGAATCTAACGTAGTTTTCGTTCAGAAGTCGAATAGGTACCCCGTTCTCTCCCCAACAGTGACTGAGAGTCATGTAGGGTTTTTCCACAAGACCCGGTTGACTCGTTTCGCATATCCTAACGTGTGCATCTCCAATGTCTCCCACGGCGACCAGCCGGGCAGGCCATTTATCCTGCGCATTGGCGGTCTGGATCGGATTACAGAGGGGGTGCGAGCGGCAGTTTTCGATCCATTTGAGCGCTTGATTCCAGCTTGCTTCGCTTGCTGTAGTGAGCGCAGTTAGGAGACGACGGTCTAGAGAAAGCGTGCATAAACAGTTAGCTGACCATGATGCCATATGTTTCATCGCTTGTGGACTCGATCTCAGAGTGTCAGCAGCAAAAGCATACCTCTAGTATAGCTCCCATCATTGCGTTCGACATCAATCCAAGTGAGTTCCCCTTTTGTGCCATCACCTTTCACAACTCGCCAGTACAAATCATAAACACATCTACATAATGTTAATGCTGCATCTCCCCGCTCCAGCCAATCGACACCTGATTCTAGGCTCTCGATCGAATGGACTTGGGCTATCTTCACGCCCTCTTAGAATATAAGCCATGACCCAATGACAAACATGGCACTTTCCTTCAACAGCTGATCTGAGAAATTCATTGATGGTGCAAAAGGGAACTTCCGGGTATTCTTTGCCCCCAGCAATCAATCTGGCTATCTTCATGAACACCGCCGTACAACTCGTGCATAGGCGGTCAAACGCAGCTTCGGGGATCTCGTCTCGTCCGACTTGCGCCACGCAATGTTCGATGTAGGCTTCATACGATCTGAAGTATGGTGGCAAAGGTGAAGGGCGTGGTGATTGTGAGTTCGGCTTGTTGACTTCCGGAGGAGCAGAGGAGGGAGGGCTTATCTCCGCTGAGCGGGACGATTCGGCGGTTACGCCCGTCGAGTCCATGGCTGGCGTGGTCATCCAAAGATAAAGTTAAGAGACTCGATACAATCGCTCACTCATGAAGGAGTTGGGTCGAAGGGTGAGGAGGGGCCTCTCAAACCTTTTGTCGGAGAAAGAAAGCAGAGAGCAAAAACCGCAGGAGACTGAAGGTTGGGCTTGATGAGGATGCAACCCAAAGAAGGGCAACCAATAGAGGTAGCGGAAACCAAAACCCCTCTTGCATGCTGACCACAAACAAGGCAGTCACGCAAAGGAACAGAACCATCTGGCGTTACACAGGAAACGCCCTACCAAATGCAACCTCCAGTAAATGCAACCCCCCCTCCTGCCTTCTCCGCCCCTGCTCCCAGTAAATGCTAGTAGAATGGGGGACGCAATCCTGGTGTACGGTGCCAAGGGGCTGACAGGATTAGAGATCATCCATTACTGAAAACTATCACCAAAGCGAAGGGTGCCTGTGACTTTGTCCTTTTTAGAAATACATTAGTATCTGAAGCTGACGACATCAGGTTGCACTCGAAACACAACCGGTAAGTTCTGAACAGGTTTAACTCTAGAGGTAGGGTAGTTCTTGTACTAGGTTAGCCAATGATTCAGTAGCATTGCCGAACGGTGATAACTCGAACTCAGAACATTTGAATCACACGTGTATGAGTAAACAAGACAGGATGGGTGATTGAAAATGTAGTAAAAAAAAAAAAAAAAGGAAAGAAAAAAAACCAAAAAGAAATCCAAAAACATACAACACCAGGGATTCGCTGGTCGTCACCGACCCAACTACTAATCTGGCCCTCACTGGCTTATCTATGGGAGAGCGGACGGGATCCCGAGTTTTCCAGTGGGTATGGTCGTATGTACTTTATTTGTTACAAACTGATGATTATGAAACCAGGCTGAGGATTGAGAACGTTGTTTTCAGAAAGCAATACCTCAGTTGGACGACATTCACCGAAAACTCCAATGCAAAACATAAACACTACCAATTCAACAAACTCAAGCACGACTGGACCTCGAAGATAAGTGTATCACTTCGCATCTGCATTCATTCTTCTTCGCCAGGTGTTATCATCCGCTCGCTACCTTTACCTGGTATGTCTCGTAACTCTCCTCCCCGTTGTATCCTCTGCTCATCTTTTTCCTTTTCCTGCCTCCAACGGAAAAAAAACACACCAAAGAAACAGAAAAGAAAACGGCGTATAAAGCCTATGGTATCTCCTTCCCTTCTTGATTCATTTCGCTATAACTCAGCTCGCCAGAGTACCAAAAGTATGAAACAAAAGAGGAAAGAACCGAAAATTGATCAGGCTAGGACCGCCCACCGCATACCGCCCAAACCACACATTTCAGTTCATATCTATTGATCTTTCAGTTCATTTGATCCTTCTTTCCTTCCCTTATTCACATGCGCTATACGCTCAAGATAATGATATGCTGTCCGCAACAAGGCCCTCGTGCAGCCCAGGTGACGATGAGCACCCTTGCATCCAAATCAACGATGAAAATAAAGAAAACATAAGTAGAAATACAACCTGTTCGAATATAAATATGCAACAAGAAAATAGTAGAGGTAGTAGCGGCTCTGGTAAAGAAGATGATGTTGTCGGCGACGAGAAAACCCAACAGTAATGAGACAGTTATGATTATGGCTTGGTATGACGTGGTTTATGGGTATGATGTGATTGGTGTACTAGGAAATGGAAGGTAGGTAGGGTATGATGGGTTGTGATATGATGGGAAACAGTTTAATTGCTTGTACAGGGGTATAAATGCGATGATGCATACGCTCAGTTAGGAGGTCCAAAACAAACGCGAGATATAATCAAAACAAAACAAAGTAAGAAAGGAACCGTCCGGTCGTTGTAGGCGAAACAAATGACGAGAGGCATTGTGGCTGGTGGTATGGATCGGTAATAGGGTATCAGCCGTAAACAAGAGTCCATCTTCACTCCAAGCTCTCACCCAGCCTTCGAATCTCGTCATCATGCAAAGCACCCATCCACAAGCAGCGCTCAGTAATGCCCTCAATAGGCTGGAAAGAGTACCGGTTGCTCGCTTCAAGAAGCCTCAGCAGCGTCTTGACCACCCCGGCCGCGATCCTGCAACGCTCAAAGTTCACCAAAGGTGAAGTGGTGGGAGAGCTCGCAATCTCGCTCGGTCGCTGGGCGTTGAAGAGGAGGTCGTGTGTGTAAATTCCCACAAAGGGGATACATCCCTCATCAGCCGTCTTCGAATCACCGCCCTCCATCTCTTTGCGCAGGTTGTAGAAATTCCTTGTAGGCGACATCAACGTCTCCAACTCTTGCATTGTTCGCTGGTCGCTGGAGGGAACCATCGCCCATGTCTTGTTTAGACGGCCAATCTCATTGCTCATCAGCGCAATGGTCAACTGTGCCATGGTTGCAAAGTTGCGGAAGCGTCGACAATGTGCTGCGATGTGGATGAGCTTGATGATGCAACGAGCCCTTTCCTCGATGTCGCGAGTTAAGACAATCTCGGAAATGGCCCATTTCACCATGATATTGAAACGGGCAATGACAACCTCGACGCCATGCGCATCCGTATCCCTCAAAAATGAAACCCAGCTGCGCGCGTCACAGCCCTTCTGCTCAGCATTCTTCCACCTCATGTCAATCAATTCTCTCCAGTCGATTTCGTTCAGCGCATCTTTCTCGATCAGTGTAAACTGCTGAGCTAAGATATCGCTGTCGAATGCCAGAATGAAAGGCAGATGGGCCGAGAGTCTGCTATCGGACGCTTCGGTAACATCGCCAGCTTCGGGAAAGGGCGAGGGTACATCAAGCTGGCGTTTATCACGAGGCATGCCCTTCGAAGCAGTTGGCTGTACGGGAAAGGAATGTTGATACTGGCCATAAGGAGCAGCTGTTGTGGTCGGAGTAGTATCGGGCGTTGGTGGCAAAGGCTTCGCATGCCATCCTCCTTGCTGCTGAGATGCGGAACCTTTGGCCATATCCGGAAGCATCTGAAGTGCTTGAATCATAATTGTGGGTGGGGAGGGCGGGTTAGGGCCGAATTGGTTTTCAGCCGGGGAATGTGCGGGCTCTGTCGAGATGGCAACACCAACGGCCGAAGGGGTAATGACTCCGTAGTCGTCAACACTCGCATCGAATGGTTCTGCAGACATTTCCGAAGACAGGTCTGTGTCATCTTCACTTTCCAATGTCAAGAAAGACTGTTCTGGCTCTGCAGTGGGTATTGCGTCGTCAACCTTGACGGGCTCCATGCTGTCCGCTTTCTCCACAAAGTCAAACGAAGCTGTAGAAGGGTGTTGGGAGCTTTGTACACTCTGCTCATCAGAGGAAGGAGGCTGCAGGATGGAACGATCGGTCCATGATTGCAGGGTATCCTGGTTGACACCATAATTGTCCATCATTTCCTGCTCCAGCAGAGGGCTCGAATTGTAGGAGTCCCTGGAAGTAGCAGAAATGAAGGATTCGGCATTGGTAATCCGGTGCTGACGGGGAGTGACGTCCAGATAGCTGTCAGCTATATCCATTGGCGCAGGTGTCGTAGGTGAAGGTGGCATATAGATATTCTTCCCGGCAGCGCGCACGTGTCGTTGATCCACCCTCTCATCTCCCGTGACCTCCTCAGGCTGCGTCGGAAGAGGATTGGTTTTCTGTTCGACCTTGAATTTAGGTAAATCCATGGACAAGCGAATAGTTGACTTTCTTTCGTATTTTCCTTCCAACTTGAGAAGTGCGGCCTCGACACCGCCATCCTCTTCATCGTCAGGAATCTGCGCCAATTTGATCGCCTCAGCCTCGAATGATGGGCGCATCACCGGCTTCGATGAATGAGTGCTGAAGAGGGACAGATGACGTTTTTTCGGGTTTTGCTCAGCGAGTGCTCCGAGAGAAAACATTTCTGGCCGATTGTTGTCACCCGTGACAACATCCACGAAGCTACTGGAGTCTTGATGGGCTGGACTTCGTATGAACGAACTTGCGAACGAGTCGGTATACGTTGTAAGGGATCCGACCGAGCGGGATGTTCTCAGCGGTGGATGATCCAGATCGCCAACATTGGTCACAGCACGAAGGTCACCTCCTGGCCTCCTTCTTAGAATTCGAAGCGGCTGCGGAATGAGGACTTGGGACGAGTCATCAGCCACGGACTCCTCCGAATATGTCGTAGCATCGAAGCTCCTAACGGTTGGCTGTGGTATAATATCGCTAGTATATGACGCGAATCGTCCATGCCTTGCCGACCAAGTTGAATGCTGTGATCTGCTTGAAAGATTTCTGAAATGCCCACGCAGCCCGCTCCGGGGGGTCTGATCAAAGTCTTGCATGACATGATCAATAGATGGCTGACCGAAATCGTCTGATGGGAGGTCTTCCCCTTCTCCAGGAGTAGAGTCAAGTATAATCGGCGACGCCTGATTGGTCGAGACCGAGTTGCGAAGGACTCGTTGGCCCAGAATGTATGAAGACGTTCTTGGTGTTCCCTGTTGTAGATCTGGCGGCGTATTTGGTGGCGTTGGATCCGCAGTGATTGGGATGAACGAATGCGAAAATGATGCCGATGAACTGGCAGCTGGCAACGCTCCGGACATTACAGGTTGAAGGGTGGTACCATCGACAATGACAATCGAGTCGCTGCCAGATGATATCCCCATATCGCTCCTAGGTTGTACATCTTCAACACTGCGAAGGTTAAACGCCGTGTCCATGTGTGCAGCCGAATATTCCATCGCGTTCCCGTGACTTTTGGCTTCTTCGTTTCTAGTTGCCGGAGGAACAGCGTATTCGAGTTTTTCGGCTTCCACAGCAGCATCTTCGCGTATCGCTTTCTTAAAGTCCTCCGCGACTCCAGCGCCGAGCAGATCAATACGCACAGGTGGTCGGACTCCGTTCTGGCGAGCTTTCGATTGCGGTACGACTGCTGTCCCTGGAGGCCGGTTCGTTGTTGCGCCCTCTGGCCCGATGGGCGAGATGTTGGCCAACATTGTTTGATTGGATGGATGTGTTGACGTCTTGTGGCTCAACGCGCGCCGGACGCTTCCGAGCAGCTTCTTCATCCCATGGCTGGACATGGCCGACCCTATGAACTTATCCTTCCGCACCTCTACCGGTTGAAAGACAGTGGTCTGGCTGGAAGGGTCACCCATGGCACTATTTGGACGTACCTCAACAAAGGCTTGCCCAGGCGGAAAGATGTTACCTTGGATAAGGCTTCCCGCATATGGCAGCGTCAAAAGGAACTCGGCATTTTTGTACAAAACCCTTTCCGTCAAAGTGGCGTGATCATGAAGAGAATCACTCAAGCTGTTGTTCCGCTTGTGCGAAGAGTGCTGAGGTCGGACACGTTTGCCTGTAAGGGAGCGAGGAGTAGTCGCTATGCCTTCGGTGGTATTGTATACGGAGCTGGGGTCCGCTGGGTGAGCAGTCAACGGACGGTTGGATCCTACTTGCGTATGTCGCGAACTCTTAATCGGGAATGAGCACGATACAACCTCGACGCTTGTGACGCTGGTTGGCGAGGCCTGATTCCTCTGAGGTTCATCGATCTCTGGGTTTTCGGGAGTCCCTGGCCTTTCACCCACAATAATGGAATCGATATGTCCAGCCTTCGCGATCTCGGCGTAGAAGCTCGTTGGTCCGCGAGGGGTCGTCAGGACATTTAGCTCGTCCAACTGGGGCGGACCTTTGTCGTATTTGACCCAGAAGCTGGGAGTCAAGTTTGGGTCACGATGGCCTGCGATACCTCCTGGGGTGATGGGAATATCGGCTGCCAAGGAAGCGTCGAAGTCAGGCCCATCCCAGAATTGCGAACAGATTCTCCTCCAGCACTTCTTGAGCTCAGGTAGAGTCTTCATCTCTATCTTGTGCGCCTTGGATACCTCAGCCCACTCGTCGACCACATCGTTCAAGAGGTTACAGAAAGAAACGCGCAAGTCGTAGTCGACAACGAAATCGTCCACGAAGTAGTTGAGAATCCAGTGTCGGAGGGCTACAAAAGTACGAACACGCACCACCGTCCCCAAGTCACCCTCTCTTGCCAAAGCCCATCGAAGGCGCGCGAACAGCATGGAAAGCAAGTCGTGAGAATCGAGGAACTGTCGATACGTGAGGAAGAAGTCAGACACGAGGTCATAATCCAGAAAGGAAGGCGAGGTGATCTCTGCAACCAGACGAGGCGGCGTAGCGGCAGTCACGGCACCGGTATTTGGCGAATACCTAACAATAAGTCGATCATCGCAGGCAGGTTTGAAGGTCAGCTCGTCAAACATGGCGGGCTCAATCACGAGGTGAGTCGACATGTGGGTTGAGCGCAGCGGCCGATCAGAAGCAGGAGACGTTGACGAGACAGGATTGTCCGAGATACGGTGGTTGCTAATAGCAAAATCCATACCATGAATGGGGCCTGTGCCTGGAGTCGCCGAACAATTTGCCATGGTGCTGTTGATACGACGGTCCTCAACGGAGGCGCTACTTGAGAGTATCTCTTCGGTCGGAGCATAAGATGACCCTCGGATACAGGGCGTTCCTCGAATGCTAAATCTGGGAGTGCCTATCCTCCAGGACGGTATGGCTACTTCCAGCAATGGCGAGCTGGTCATGTCCGTATCCTCAACAGTCCTGGGTCGCGTGCCTTCGCTGGGTTGGGTAATAATGACCTTGAAGCCCCCGGTTTCGGGTTCGCGAACCACATTTCCGTCGGCAAGGGTCGAATCAGATGCGGCTCGGCGATGTCCTGGCCTTCTAAGACTCCCCAGGTAGTCGCGCCTCGTGATAGGCGGGGTAGGGAGGTCTGGTGTTTGAGCCCATTGGTTGTCGAACATTTTGGTACTTTCTCCAAAAGTATCGTCCTTTTCTGAAGATGAGTGCTCCAGACCAGCTGTATCGGGCGGTGTCATGGGAAATACGAAGGGCGGTTGCGGGTAGCGCTGGTTAGCCGGGCGAATAGTTGGCCTACAAGATTATCAGTATTGACAGTAGAGACACGGTCATCATGACTGCATGCATACCTCAGGTAAATGCGCCCATTGTGCCCGACATTCGCTACGGCAAAGTGTCTTCCTTCGCGTCCTGCAGAGCCTCCATCTGGGGTAATGTCGAAATCGCGACTCCCCTGCCCATATTTCCGCCATGTACTGATAGGACTGGTGGTGTCGTTTGATTTGCGCTCCGAAACTGGGAGCAAGGGTTTGGGAGTTCCTGAGCCTGTGCCTGGTATAGGGGGTCGCGACTTGGGCGTCTTTAGCCGTTCTGAGCCCGTCGAGGCGTACATGGGCATTGTCTTCCCTCCATCTTTTGATAGCTTTTGTGAAGGCCTGCGAAATCGCAGATCGCGCAAAGACCTGGTGGCCAGAAGGGTCGAAGATGTCGGGGTGGGAGTGGAATCTGATCGGTTTCGTCGCAAGGGTTTTTGCTGTCGAAGTCGTGGGGTTTGTGTTGTTGTTTTGGGGGTGCCCGCAGTCGGAGGAGCCGATGGTGAGTCGGCCTCCATTGCGGTGGCACCAGTGGGCAGCCTGATTCTAGCTCGCGACGGCGTCCAGTACTATCTGCTGCTGCTGTTGTTGTAGCTGGCGACGAAGAGGACAGTATCGAGTTCCGAGTCGATGTCGGTGTCGGCCCCGGCGTGTGTATGGGGGACAGGAATTGGGGGGGCAGGGTCAAGGATTGTTTCTGAACTGAGATCGGGGTCGTCGTCGTCTGCGGTGAAAAAACATAAGGAGTGTTAACGCCTGGTCGCCTACTAGTCGTTCGTTCTTTCGTTTCGCGCTGCGGCGCTTCCAAGATTCGAGTTGGGATTCGTCTCTTTTCTTTTCTTTTTTGTTTTCCCCCCTATGCGACTTGCGACTTCCCAATCAGCCTCGAACCAGTGGCGGTCTCATTGGCCCAGGCAAGGAAAGAGCGAAAGTATCTCGGTCGGCGAGGCTGTCGTCATAACCGCATTGGACGAGGAAGGAAGGACATGTCTTGGGAAGCAGCCGACGAGTGTTGCACAAGGAACGGTTGATCAAGAAGGCAAAGCAAGGCGAGGAAAGAATGGCAGGGCAGAATGCGAGAGAGAGAAAAGTCGAAAGGAGGAAGGCACATACCAAGCGTTGTTACCTGTCCTGGGAAATACCTAGGTAGGTAGGTAGTACTGGCAGCAGCGCCGTCAAGGTTGCCCGGACGGTGCACTCTGCCACTCACTGTCACACACAGCACGCGATTCGGCGCCTGCAAGTCCAGGGATCTTGGATAAGGTGTACACTTCAGTTTGCCTGGGTAAGGTACCTAGTAGGTACGGTACCACCTGCAGGAGGTGCCTGAGCAAGATACCTAGAGGTATGTAAGGTAGGTAGGCAATAGGCTCCCCAGAGCGATAAACTTCAACACCGTCCAGAACCCTCCAGTCAGGTCCCTTTGGCAACAGCTTGGAGGTACCGTTGCCGATTGTGAAGCGGGAGCCAAAACAATGGAGAAAATGGAAATGGGTAGAGTTTATCGACAAAGTGTCAATCATTACAACAAGGTGTCCGATCACAAGTGGAAGAGCTGGAGGGGAGGAGCACTGGGGATTCCAGGGGACGTGCATCTGGAGACGAGATGGAGCAATATACAAGGTGCGCCCGGACTGTGATTTCGTTAGAGAAAGTCAAATCCTCGACCGCTTCTGCCACTTTGCGGCCTCAGCGTGCCCCCAAATCTCCCAATGCAATGACAACAAAAGTGCGAGATTGCTCGCACAAACATGGGGTGAACCATCGGAGTATGCTCGGTCTGGAGCCCCACGGAATCAAGAATCTGGCACGAGTGATGGCCCGGACACGAGCTTGGGAGGGACTGGATGGGGTCACTGGAGGAGTCGCGAGAGGAGACGGGGCTGTCTTCTGGACCATGGTGGAACAGGTTCCTTTGGAGTTCCTTTTTTTTTTTTTTTTTTTGCTTGTTTTTCATATTTTTGCTCTTATCTTTTTTTCTTTGTTCCACTCGCAAGGCTGCGTCAGTTTCTGCATGCTCGTCATCTTAGGCCCTCCTTTCCTGTTGTGACTTGGGACGAAACACTCTCTGCTGGCCAGGGGTCCAGGTCCAGTACTCATCATGACCACCGACCCAACGGATGGACCCTTCTTCAACTCCCCAGAGGTACTCAACGAGTTAGCTAGGGGGGAAGGGGAAGAAGAAGGCTTCTCTTGGCGCCCAGAACCCACGGCCCCCAAGTGATTTACAGTGGCCGCCGTCTGCAACTGAACCCCTGGGCACTTGAGGTTAAGTCCATTGTTTCTCGCTTATGCAGTAGGTTCTGGGCCTGCTTCTTGCACTTCTTCCTCGCTTCCTCGCTTGTGACAGCTTGCCCTATTTTGCTCAAAAAAAGTGTTCCTGTCCCTGCCCATCAGGGTCAGGGTCAACAGTGAGAACGGACATGTGGTTGACAAGGGCACCACGCGTGGGTCCTCTTTTTTTTGACGACGGGAAGACGACCTATCCAGTTTGGAACCCGATTTCCATTCCTCTAGAGGTAGGACGGGATGCCCGTACAGTTTGCTTCTCCACCCCTGGTTCCGCGCCCGAGTTCATTCCATTTCAGTGCGGAATTCCGTGAATCGCCTCGAGACGACGTGCAGACCTGAATAGCGATGCATGACATCTTCTACGCACAGGAAGCTCGGAGGGCGCAAGTCACGACGGCGGCATTTAGCAGAACCACGACCGGTACAATTCTCCAGCGACAACACCATCCAATCACCAGCCAGCCGTTTTCACTTTTTTTTGGTTTTTTTCTCTTACACGAATCCCATAGACCGTGGGATTCAAGTCCTGGTGCCATACGCGAGACGGCATCCATTGACGACAACCATGGATCACAAGCGGGATCACAAATTTTGGCGAGCCCGCATTGGATAGCGAGCATCGACCCTGATGATGGCGACAAAACAAGGTTCCCTAGTTGTCTCGATCGATCAACCATGCGATTGCAAAGCAAGGGCGGGTCGAATCCTTTCTTCTCAGTCACGTTCGGGGACTTCATCGGACTTTTCAAAAATAACCTCTCTCTTTCGAAAAACCTTGGAAGGATACCTACTCCGAAAGTCTTTGCTCGCCGTCTTACGGGAGCTCTGTATTACTACCTGCATAGCACATTCTTGACATCACGCGTGTGCCACCAAGATCACTTCTCACATCTCAATTTTTTTTCATTTTTACAACCTTTTATCCTTTTTTTCTTTGCTCGTTTCAGTCTTCAAAACACTCAACATCATGGTACGATGCGATAGCCGAGAGCCTGGTTTGCCTGGTCTGGTCGCCAATGGGTTCGCTTCCAACATGTTCATTTCCCAACCTGCCGGGTCCTAGGACGTTTCGATCGCCCACTATCGAGAGCCCCTCAAGGTCTGCCTGGGCAGATGCAATTCCCTCTGCCCCACACGCTAATAACAGCTCAACTTCGAAGGGGTGGGTACCTACCGAGGCCCCCCGACTGTCTGTTCAAGTCTCATCCTGAGACAAGTACGCTTTTCTTCTCTTCGTATATCGAACGATGGAAAATATCAAGGCGGCCAGCCATGTATTGCAAGGTGGGCACAACGGTAAGCAGAATGAGCGACAAACATACCTAGGTATCGGACAATTAAACCGACTGTCACAGAAAGATCCAGCCGCACACCTCCAGTGCCTTGTCCATCTGCGTGCTGCAAGATGCAATCACTCGCAGCAGCTTTGTACGGGGGTGAATCACTAGTTGACGCGCAGTTACGTATCCAATACAATCTCGTTTTTGTTCCTGCAGCGACCACAAACGGACCAGCAGATCAATGGCAATCATGCCGTCACTCAATGCGATCAGTCGCCTATCACTGGCTGCTTGTCTAACGATGGCCCTCAGCTTTCTCCCCCCCCCTCTCTTCTTTCAAAGGCTTCCATGTCACAACATTCACGCAGGTTTCCCTACTCCTCCTTCAACACCGTTTGTCGATCCCGTTGTAGAGATAAGATCTTGAAACTCACTGCACCGTGCTGCCCAACGACGTCTACGTTTTTCCGTCCGAACTCTCGTCTTGAGGTCCCTGAGTCTGAGATCCCCCGAGACAAGAGTACACGCATTTACGGACACAGGTACACACATACATATATACACACAGACACACTGTTTGCTTGAAAGACACGGGTAACGGCCGCGGTCCGCACTCGGATTGTGTAGAGACTCGAGCTAGACTCGAACATTTTCTTTTCAAGAGGGAAAGAAAAAAAGAAGTTTCTCGTATAGACCATCAAAAGGGCAACTGACATTGCGAAACCTTGAGTCATCATGTCTCGAAGTGAGACCTCCGAGACCTTCGATACCATTGGTGTCAGTCAGTGGCTTCAATTCTAGGAACCCAAACACTACGTGTTCCCTTTTTCTTTTTCTTCGTGGTCCGCTCGTTTTCGAGCCAGTAGGCTTGAGAGGAAAGGTGTGATGCCAAACCGTAATGGTGGGTTCTCCGTATCACATCATACAAAAAGTAATGGTACTCAACACTCAGCTTCCAGAGCGCAGTGGTGGGGGACTGGAAGCGAGGCAAAACACGGACGGGAGGGGAGGGAGGGAGGGAAACCATCCACACCACCACCACCACCACCGGATGTTGAGCCATTTGCGGTTTTTTGGGACTTTCTCACCTCTGTCAAGCAGGTAACTTTCGAGTCGCATTACGTCAATAGCCAACGGTTAGGTTACCTCTCATCCCTCCCAGACTTCGGAGCCTCAGCTCATGGCCATGCAAATCATCTCGATCACCTAAGTAGAATGTCGCACGGTACCTTTCTGGTAGGTACCCGGAGCTTCTTGGCGGACCTGTCGGCAGTTGCAACGGAATGGTCAACGGTTACGGTTTGCTGCAGCCGTTGCCCGTTGGACAAGCTCTCAAAATACATAGGTATGATGTGCATGACGAGCGAGCTAGGGAAGATGGAGACTCTGCTTGTTAAAACCTGCGATGCACACTTACGTAGGCTCAGAGGATCCCCATATGAACTAACTCCGACGAAAATCTTCTTCATTCACTTTCTCCATTATTGTTCCATGCCAGACCCTCCAAAAAAAAAAAAAAAAAAAAACAGTCGCCTCGCTTTTGGTTCAATACCAACTACGGCAAGTGATCAGCGACATTTACAGTAACAAGATTATGCCGGTAAGCGGCTGTAGCGAATGTAACGGTCTTTTGATGAGTTTATGTATACTTAACCGTGTAGACTTGCACAGACACAGTCAGTGATATGTGTTGGTGACAAGGCTAGACCCGAAAGGGGTCAAATTGACTGCGTTCCGATTGAGAATGAAAAAAAGAACTCATTACGACAGACTGCCATTGTCGTTGTCGATCAAACATTACTGGTGGCATTATGACGATGAGATCGAATGCTACAATGATTGAATGGATAGGTACAGGTTTCCTTTTTTGAAAACTCGACTGGTCTTTCCCCTGTCTGCTGGTTTTATTGTGAAGTGCGGGGGAATAACGTCTTTTCTGTACTATACTTAGTTTTGCAGAATGTTGCTGATTCTATATAGGTTTATTGAAAGATGAAATGTTGTCACACAATGAAGCGATTCCCAAGTCGCTAGATGGTTGTGTGTGCGTTTGTGAAACACAAAGACAAGTAGGGCTATAGCTACTGGACCCAATACACCTTCCAATCAGAAATCGGACCATATCAGTTCAATCGGGTATGGTGTAGCGGTAACATCGTTGACTCTCACTTCTCAGGAGTGACTGCTCTCTCAACAGCCCCGGGTTCGACTCCCGGTATCCGAGTCTCAACATTTTTTTTAGCAAGATCTTGTAATTTATTTGGGTTGGTGATGTTTTGCTTGTTGCTTGTCGCACATTTGTTTCTGGCTGTGTTTTCCTTTTTCTAGTGTGTGTTTTCTTCTTCTTTTTTTTTTTTTTTTCCTGTCTGGTTTATCCATGGACATCGGGGGAACAGTCGCTTTCTGTAACATGTTTCATTTCGCTGAATGTTTTGGAACTTTCGCGTGAAAACAGTCAAAGGCATGCTGATGAATGAGAACATCGAATTCGGTTCCGGTACAATGCATGTTTTTCTCTGGACATGATGGTCCTTACAGCTCAGACAATAAAGATTCAATCAACTGCAAAACCTTGTCCCACTTCTAATTATGTTAACCCGGCGTGTGGTTGAGAGAACAAAAACGAACATGGACACTTCAACGTTATCCACCCTACTAGGGAAGGAAGGCCGTTGCAAGGCTGTGATATGCCTCCTTATGACTTGGAACCACGCCGGCCAGAGTCTATTAGGGATTATTTGGTCCAGGAAGGAGTTTGAAGATTGGGTAGAAGATAAAATCAAGACGCATGCATGCGAGCAAAAGTATACTGAAGGTGTGATGTAGTGGACTGAATACATTGGTTTGGTTTGTTCATACGAACACTTTGTTACGACAATGTCTCGAATTTCGAGAACATTTGTGAGATCGATAGTTTATCTCCATCTTGGTGTATGATAGATAACTCTTCAGGCACAGAGGTTACACCTTTCAAATATGCACAATATCAGAATTACCATAGGTGTCAAGGATATAGCATGCCACGAACCAACAAAATTCCAATTCATCAAAAGGGTATATACGCCTCATACGCCTCTACGTCTTAGAAAATGAACCATTACCATCAACTCCCATTACCCAAGAAGCTACTCAATCATCAAACCCACCAAACTCATCATCACTATCGTCCACCTTCTTCACCGGAGCCTTCGGCTTGGGCGGGTTCGCCGCAAGCGCAGCTGCCCTCTCCTCCGCCGCCTTGGCCTCGTTCCGTTTCCTCACCTCCTCAATCATCTGCTCCAGCTTGAGATGCTCCTCCTTCTCTTTCTCTGTCATCTCGCTGAACTTCTTGGCCTCCCTCTTTCTCCTCTTCTTCTCGCGCCTCTGCAGTTTCGTCTCCTCCTGCTCCGCCTTGCCGCTCCACGCCTCGTTCTTCTTGCGCTTGTCGCCCGTGTTCTCCTCCTGTGCCCGCTTTGCCTTCTCCTCCTTCCACTTGGCCAGCTCTTCCTGACGCTTTTTCTCGCGCACCTTGTCCTTGAAAGGAATCTCTTCCGTGTTGATGCCCAGACCCAGAGAGCGGTCGATCTTGGCTTCGCGGACTTCGGGCATCTTGGGCAGCTCGAGGAGGCCGTAGCCCTTGGCTAGGTCGAGCCAGTCGAGGTCGGCGATGCGGAAGATGGAAGAAGCTTGGTGTTCGATGTAGGAGCGCGTCCAGGAGACGAAAGCGAGCTGGGCCATCTGGAAGATCTCGCGGTCGGCGAGGGCTTGCGATCGGAAGGCGGCGGAGACGCGCTCAACTTCATCGGGGGTGACAGAAATGGCGGGCTTCTCCAGGGGCGTGATGGGGGTTTGGCGGACTTCAAGAAGCTGTACATAGCCTTCCTCGCGACCCGGTTGGAGCAGAACGACTGCGAGACCACGACGGCCGGCGCGGCCGGCACGACCGCAGCGGTGAATGAAAACCTTGGTGTCGGTGGGCGGGTCGTGCTGAATGACGAGGTCGACTTGGGGGATATCGAGACCGCGGGCGGCGAGATCGGTAGTGAGGAGGACCATGGGCGAGGTGGTGTTGACGAAACGCTCATAGTTCTTTTCGCGGACTTTGGGTTCGAGTTTGCCGTGCAGGGAGGTGACGGAAAAACCGGCGGGCAGGACGGCGCCGAGGATACGACTGAAGTACTTGACGGCCATGCAGGAAGAGAAGAAGATGATGGATCGCTGGGGCCTGGGCTCGAGCTTTTCGAGGAGCTGGACAATTGCTGGCATTTTCTGACTGGCTGGGGTGACAAGGTAACTCATCTGTAGAGACATTGGTGTTTTCCTCTCTTGAATTATGCCACCGTCCTTCAGACTCTTCACTCTGACGGTGATCTTGTGTGGGTACAGTAGACCAACCGTAATCAGCCTCTCAACGGCGTCACTGAGCGAAGCACTGAAAAGACCGGTACGGCGCTGCTTCGGAAGATATCCGAGAATGCGGTTGAGCTCGTTCGCAAAACCCATATCGAGAAGGCGATCGGCCTCGTCCATAATGAGAACCTCAAAGGTAGACGCGGGAGCCTTGACGTATGCGCTCGACAAGAGTTCGGCAAGACGGCCGGGAGTACCAATTAGGAGATTCGGGGAAAGACGAAGGAATGTACCGAGATCCTCGGCAGCCTTGGTGGTGCCTCCGACAAGTAGTTGGGGGACAACGACAGGCTGGGTTGCTGTTGGGCGCTTCTCGTCGCTTTTGGCGTGGGAAATGGCTTCAGCGGAGGGTTCGTGAAACTTGATGAGGGAAACGAGGACATTGTAAATCTGGGTTGCAAGTTCGCGAGTGGGCGAGATGATAATGCCTTGGACATGGTTTCGCTTGGCTGGCTCTTCGCCGCGCAGGAGTTTCTGTTGCAGGATTGGTTAGCATATGATCATCTTCAGCTGGTAGACGGTCAGAGATCCGGCTTACCTCAACTACCGGAATCAAGAAGGCAAGTGTCTTTCCACTGCCTGTTACTGCCTCGACGACAACATCCTTGTTGCCACGGAAGAGCTCAAGGCATGACTTTTGAACGGGAGTCGGCTGGGTAAAGCCCATGGAGGAGAGGTAGTCGAGAATCCATTGGGCGAGAGGAGGCGTGAGAGCGTCCCAAGACCTTGGAGGCTTCCGGACCTTAGTCTGCGGCTGGGTAGGCGCCATATTGATTATGTGGTTGGCGGAGTATCGGGGCGTTGTAATCGATCCCTGAAGCTCTGCGTGTTGCCCGTGATGATGGCAATGCGATGCTGTTGAAACAAAAATTGGCCTGGCGACCATCCAAACAATCTTTATCTTATCTACCTATCGATAAAGCTAGCGTGAGCGTAACCTCGCAAGTTGCATACAGTACACAGCAGTACGTACGTAGTATGCACGAAGCGGTACTTAGGGAACTTCTACTGTACTTAGGTAACCCCACGGCCACACGACGTGTCGAAAGCGGAAACTGGCCTTGGTCCATTTCCCTTCACTTCTTTCGAACTCAATTTGATCGGTTTAAACCCCAAGATCTTCCTATTAGATTTCAGTACAAGAGACAGCTTTCGGATCTTCACGATCGTCTGTTGTTGCTAATGCAATAATCAGATATTGGACTGTGGGTCTCATCGAAGAACCCATGCAGCCACGGCAACCTGATAAAGGCTTGATCCAATTTGCTTACATGGTATAGGTACATAGTGTAATGCTACAACTGAAGGTGTCAATATCCAGCTCGACTAAGCTCCAGTGGCTCCCAAAAATTCAAGTCTGCGTCGCCTTCATCCAACCTTCTTTGACGACTGGCCGTCTGCTCAAGTCCATGATAGGAAGACATGATACATAAGAACGCTTAAACCAATTTTATATGAAGAGGGGATTGTGTGCAAAGAAACCCTCATCAGCCGAAATCAACGAAAGTGGTAAACCCCAACGGTTGAGCCAAGTACAAAGTTTCTTTTCAACAAGGCACGGCAATATACGATGGTACCTATAGGTATATCGAGCAAAGCCAAGAACTGGAAATGGCGGCATTCGCGCCCAACCGTCTTCCCTTCAGTTCAGTCTCAACTTCCTGTCACATGCAAGGTCGCGTTGCTGTGTGCTGTTGCTGCTCTTGAAAGGCCACCACCCACCGATGTCATCACGCCTTGCCGCAGTTGGGGTAACGGACCAGGGCAATGAGCTGGGGAGCCCGGTGCAACCACCTGAAGCGCAACGCAGGACACGCGCCGGCTGATTCCCACTCGCACTCATGGCCGGGCATCCGCAACAGCCGAAATTTCTGTTCTTCACAAACACCGAACCACTGTCATTCGTCTATGATCGTCATCACTGGATCCTAAACCAAGTCCAGCCCAGGGTAACGTGCCACCTCAGCCACCGAGTACCGGTACAGTTTCTTTTTTTTCCTGCTTTGCACATCTCTTTTTTTTTTTTTTTTTTTTACTTGCTGTCAAGATACCCTTCTTTTTCCTGGACCTGAACCCTCCATATCCTATCGATTCGGCAGAAGAGTCAAGAAGAACCAACACTTACCAATCAGAAGCATCATTACTCGTCTTGATGCCACCACGGGTTTCCCTAATTTGCTGCCTTACTTGACTAACGAACCCGGTCCGTCTTGGTTACAAGTCACCTATCCCCGGCCCCCCGGTCACCCGTCCCGCCTCAGCTCAGCTTGGAGGTTGGAGCCCTCCCATTCTTCCACTTGTCATCTTTCAAAAATCCCGCCAACTTTTTTCTGAACCCTTTCCCCCCGGCAAGCCATGCGGTGGAGTCATTCTCCGCCGCATCGTCTACAACAACTTTCACGCTGGATTCCTTCGCCCAACACGTAGCGGCCTTGTTTTCCCGAAACCAACAAATACACCACCGACACCAACAACCCGCTACCTCTCCCTGTACTAGTTGGTCTTCGGCATACGACTGCTTGACCGGCGCGCGCGAGTCTAGAAAAGATAGCCACATCCACTCTTCCTTCTGGCCCCTGCGCTTCTACGACCTGCAACGTATCCTCTCGGGCGCCATCTCGCTGCCCGCCCTGCCTCCCTTCCCCTACGACAATATGCCTACGCGTAGCAGTATCCCGGCGACGCCTCGGATCATCTCGCCCAGCCCGACACCCTCGGAACGCGATGCGCTAGACTCATACACGGGGCCCATGACCAGGGCTGCGAGGAGACGGCTGGCCACACCGTTACCTGTTAGTGAAGAGGGCAACGAGGAGGATGGCGTGCCCGCTCTACGGAAAGCGCGCACAAGAAGCAGAAGCCCGGTAGAGACGCGCCCAACGGCCGGCCGGCGGACATCCAAAAAGAGAACCACCAAGACCGCCGATGCGAAAACGACTTCCACAGGCTCGACAGCAGCCGCGCCCAAGGGAGACATGGCCGTGTCGTCCGAAAATCAGGAGAGGGAGGTATCGAACGGTCACCTGCTGCCACCACAACCGGCAGGCTATACAGGCTGGGGCTGGAAAGACATTAGTCGCAGTCCGAGCCCGCTTGGCCTGATCCCAATCCACAGGCACTGGAAGGCCTTTATACACAAGCACGAGGTACCGAGGAAAGCGCTCCACGTGTCCATCGGCTTCTTTGTCGTATGGCTCTATCTGTCGGGAACGCAGACACTGTCGGTGTGCCCTTACCTCATGGCTGCCCTAATACCCATCGCGGCGGTGGACGTTCTCCGGCACCACAACGCGTCCTTTAACCGGCTCTACGTCAAGGTCCTGGGGGCGCTGATGCGTGAGAGCGAGTTTACGGGTTACAATGGCGTCATTTTCTACCTGCTCGGAGCCTGGATCGTCCTGGGCTTCTTCCCCAAGGACGTCGGTGTCGTGGGCACTCTGATGCTTAGCTGGTGTGACACTGCGGCAAGTACGTTTGGACGGCTGTACGGCCGTTACACACCCCGTATTCGAAGCGGCAAGTCGCTTGCCGGGTCCTTGGCTGCATTTCTGGTCGGTGTGGGCACCTCTGCCTTCTTCTGGGGCTGGCTGGTGCCTACCAAGGGCCCCATGCCCGGCGACGAGCTCTTCATGTTTACAGGCACCCTTCGCCTGCCCCAGCTCCTGTCGGAAGCGGTCGGGCTTACCCCGGCTCAGGCGACGATCTCGGGTGGCCTTGCTCTGGGCATCATGAGCATTTGGTCTGGCTTCGTCGCTGCGGCGAGTGAGGTGGCTAACGTCTGCGGACTGGATGACAACCTCACGATCCCCGTCCTGAGTGGTCTCGGTATCTGGGGGTTCCTGAAGATTTTTGGCTAAACGAAGGAGGATTTGGCACGAGCTTGATTGACAATACCTGATACATCTTCTTTGGCTTGACTGTGGTCAACGATGCATATCACCGGCGTTCTGGGGGGCAAGGGGTTAAAAGGCGTCCGATTGTTCAACGTTTCTGATGTCGGTGCTATGACACTTTTGTAATGGATGGATTCTGCGGCAAGACCGGGCAAAGGCCCATAGTCAGGTCTAGAGATGCACACTCATACCCAGCTGCACCTGTATATCTCACCACTTTTTGTATATATCCTATCACCTACGGCTGCAGCTATCCTACAACGTCTCGTGTCGGGAGCATCTAGCCATCAACTTTGAAAAGCCATCAGGGGCATATCCCCGTTCGTTCTGCATCTGTTAAACAGGACTCGGAGAACAAGGTGCTGATCCGATAATGAACTAGGCCGTCTCCTTCAGGACCGGGGTCACCCGGGTCACTCGGGATTCCCGTCATGTTCATGTTGGTGGAACTGGACGAGGCCGGACGTTAAAGGCCCGCCTCGTCTGCCTGCATCTGTCACGCGGTGTCCGCACCTCGAAATGACATGCATTGACTCAGCCCGGCTTGTCGAGCGAGGTAGGCGGTGAGTAAGTCATTTCCTTTTCGCAGCCAAACCGTGAAAAGGCGGAAAGAACGGGCGGATGTTGCGAGAAGATCCGGGGAAGGAGCAAGGTCGTGAAGCACGACAGCAAAGGAAGTGCAGGGGAGGGGATGCGTTTTTGACATGGGTTGTCTCGCGCCTGCTACTTTCCCGTCATCTTGGTATTATTTTTTGACTTTGATCGATTTTCCTTGTCCCATCCTCCGTTAACGGAACTTGCCTTTTTCCAGCACCTCTCATCCTCTCAGAACTGGACATCGTAATTGACAAATGGAATTTTTTCAGTCTGTTTCTCTACTACCGACCCGCACTCTACCACCTTACACCTTCGGCTACCAAGCCTTCGTGATCCTCCGACATCGTTCTTCCCATGATTACACGACATGATAATGTCCACGAATGGCCCGGATATCATGTCACGCCTGGTAACCTATCGGTTGATATGATTCGCGAGTTTTCATGGTCCGAAAAGCCTAGCCGCATTTGTCTGCCACGAACTGCGAACTGCTGAGGCCTGGCCTGCAAACCAGCCGTTACAAATTGGGCGGACGTCTACGGGAGACAGCAATTGGTAGATACCTCTAGGTAGACGAACTACGAGCGGCAAAAGAGTTCTTCGCCCCCATACGGTTTGGCCCTATCCACGATCACTACCTACTGGCGTTTCTTTTTTGTTTTTCTTTTCTCTAACGACATCTTAGAAGCCAAATGAATGTCCCTTGGACAACAAAGCATGCAGCTAGGCTGCCACCCACTATCATTTTCCCCTCAGATGGACCAACAGTCAACATCGTCAATCTCAATGCTTGCCTTCCCGCCACATCCTTCCTTTTTGAAAACCTCGTCACGACACAAAACATGAAGAGGAAGCTTGTTTCTCATACCCCCGGGCGCGGATTTGGCACGTCATGTACGCTTCGTGTACGTTGTCCGGCATGGTTCTCTCAGCAGGCACGTTGGGGCTCCGGCTATGGCATCTTTCATCCTATGAAATCGTGCCCAGTCATCAGTCGTCCGGCGCAAGTTTGGTTGGACTGCATTTCCCTAATTCCACTCAAACACTGAGGTTACATTTTCGCTGTTCCATGTCACCAAATGTCCCCACACGGGCTACATCCAGCCGCGGAACCCATTTTCCTTCTCGAACACCAGCAACAACCAGCCGTCGTCGCCCCATGCACCCATACGTCTTTGCGCCGTGCCACGCCATGGACGTGCAGGAGGGCTTGATGCGTTGTCCCCTTGCTGCCCTCCCGAGCCTGCATCAGGCACAAAGGGATTTATTTTATGTACGTATGTACACCGTTTGCATACCTACACCACATCCACGGGCCATGTCACATACCAGCCAAGGTACCTGTTCTTCCACCGGTTCGTCGTTGGAACGTTCGAGCTCTCCGTTGTCAGGCTTCTGCCACTCCTCCCCCATAGGATAAGCTGACCACCGGGCTGGACTCTTCACTTTCACCGGCACTTCTGACGCAATGCCTAGCGCCGCCATTGGGGGTTGTTTTCGCGGGGACGCAAGTTCGCATCCTAGCTATCAGCCATGCGAGGTGAATTGGGCCGGCCTAGCTTTGCCTCTCTCAGATGCTAGCAAGGTCCGGGTTGATGGCGCTTCAAGTGAGTGGCCCGACGACAGCATATCATATGGCTTCTCGCTTCTTGTTGGTGGACGGCAAAACCGCACTAGCTACGTCTTCGCATGCTTTGCAAGTCATGCTCCTCCCCCACCTTATCGAGGTACCCTCTGGCTAGAATTAATGTCTGGGAATTTGCCTGTGGTTGGGGGACGCAGGATGGAAACGGTTCAAGAAACTAGGTGTCAGAAGTCAGGTTCCGTCTACATCCTGGACCTTTTGGACGCCTTTTTTCTCGACTGGGCTTTTTCCTCCGCTGGGCTTCCAATGTATTGGGATGTTTGAGCGTGGGATATTACTTTCGCAAGTCAATCGATGTTTCCTTCAGTAAGTAAGGGGGATTCAGGCCGTCACGTTCTGTCAGTTCCACTCAGGGTTCCAAATTCGTACGAGACCCTTTGGGCAAGTGCCTCGATGTCTTCTTCTGTTTATCTTTGACCTACATGGATTAACATTGTCGTACATGTCACTGCGCCGGAGTTGCCTCACAGGACAGACCGGCACATGCACCCGCCCTTGGATCTCTGCAGTTCGCCTGAATCCCCCAGGGATAGAGCCCCAGAGCGCACCGCTTCTTGTCAAACTGCGTGGCCTTCTGAATCATACTCATGTCAACTGTCACGGCTGAAGGCTCCCGAGGCCTTCCTCGGCATGTCATCTAGGCAAGGCAAAACAGCTTGAACATCACAGCGTCTGAGACCCGCATAGAGGCTTCATTCCCATAGTCCATATAACGACAGAGCGTCCTTCGAAAACAATCTATGAGGTTCTCCAAGCGGCCCAATGCCCTCAAGAAAAGCTTTGAAGTTGACTACATCCTCAATTTGTACCTGAACTTTCCTGCGAGGTCCATATCCCAAAGCTGTTCTGTCATCTTTGACCAGACAAACATTTGGGTATATATGTTTCGGACATTTCCATCGGGACCCAACTTATGTCACCTATGCTGTCTTGCCCAAGGTTCAGCACAATGCGAGTAATGCCCTGTTGGACGTCTCCAACCAATTGCTGTAGGGTCAAGGCTGCCCGATGGTTGGGGGCGTTTTCCATTCCACCCAATGGAATTATCTCAATTTTGGAATTGAGTTTAGTCTTACAGCAAGGTACTGGTGACTTTCCCGCTCTCTTATAGGGGAGAAAAGAATGAAGCTAAGGGAACCACAAGCCAAACAGAACGTTCCAGGGACGCTAAAAAGGTACGGATGTCAGGCCAAGGGCATTATTTGAACAAAATGGGAGAAATCCGAATCTCGAGGAAGGGAGGGGGAAACAAACCTATGATGCAGGCATTTCGAACAACACATCGCTCACCTGATTCCCTGCATCACTGCCTAACACACCTTTTCGCACCCTCCGTTTGAACTCAATATTTGCTCCTACCAACGAAAACGGTTCTACCGCTGACGGATCCAGCAACATCTCTGCCATATGGCTAGCATTAACGGACGAGCGCGCTTGTTTCGTTCGTCACCAGTTTTCCAAGTGAGAAGCTCTCCCAACCTACACAGTGCACCATGTACACGGAAGCGGCTTAGGAAAAGCCGGTGCCTTAGTACCGCTTCCCGACCCGTGTTGCGTACCATGGTGCAGATCGACTCCAGTTGGCCAACGCAAGTCTGATACATCTCTCTATGCACAATTTACTCATACTCACAGAAATAATTTTTTTTTTGGGTGGAATATCAGACCCGACACTCACTTTCTATTACCCACCGGTTTGCCATACACCGTCAACAACTCACTCATTCCTCATACCCGAGCCATCCTTGCCTGACTTCTGGCCAGAGCACCCCTTGCTTATTGCCTACAATGGCTTATGCCTCCGATGCCTGCTTCCATTTATCGACAACCTGTTGCACACACGCCCCTCCACATGCCGTTGTGCTCCATTCTGGACTTGGTTATCGATCCTCTCGTTCCCTGTTTATTCCAGCCGGGCCTCCCCGTTGGTGCTTCGTTCGCCCTCTGGATGTCTTTCCGGGCTGCCCTTTCCTTTTTCACTTACATGCGGCGTGAATCTGGCAAAACCTGACAGGACCCTCACTTGATATTCCTTCCATCACTCTGGGTCCACCAATACAAACGGTGATAGATGCCTCTCGGCATATGCATTGCCTTTCTTTGAGCAATCGAAATCCATCTGCAGGCGAATCCGAGCCTTCCTTATGGTCGAAAGCTTCAGGGATCCCCCCATCCGCTTTGCCATCCTCATGCTCGTTGGACATATCGCCACGGCAGAAGAGTGGATGACAGGCCAGGCACTATCGAGACTAGTCCATCGTCGTCACCACCATCCCCGTCCCTGCCAACCTGATCCTATCTCCTGCCGGTTTACAAGCGGGGTCAAGGAAGGCCTGTCCACGAATAGAGTCACCGACTCTTATCCCCTCGAGATCATGATGGCTCGAAGTTGTTGACAGGGGGGGAGGTTGAGAAAGGTATAAAAGGGGGTTGTTTGATGACCAAAGTAGTTGAGCTTTTCTTTCTCCTTCTCCATAACATCTTCAGTCTTGAGATCCAGACCCAACACTTTCTTGAAGACCTTATTTACACTCTCAGACATTTTTGACAAGTATCTTGACACTGGGGCTTCCTATTACTTGACTCTTCCCAGTCTAGCCCCTGGCATCACTCCACATCCCACTACCCACAAGTCCTCATCCGAACCTGGGGAACTCCACAAACGCACAAGCCGTCATAACTCTATTCTTGGTATCCACCATTACAGTGACGTCCTCTGCATTCAGGTCATACATTACACAGTTACAATCATGTCGTCAAACTACTCTACTCAGTATTACGCGGCTACTGGCGCGGTCCCCATTCCCTCCGGAAAGGGGCAGTACCCCACGTACCCTGCCTACTACAACAGCAATGACAGCAACTACTCCGTCTCTCCTCCTGAGGAATCCGATCCGTCAGTGACTTCGGGGTCTGGCATGGGTCATTCCACCTTTTCTGTTCCCGCTTCTACCTATGCTGGAAGCAGCCAGGGAGACTACGAGAGCGCGGGATCTGCAAGCGGCATCGATCTTAATGAGTACATGCAAGATCGATTTGCGGACACGTTCTCGCCGATCCCTCTCGATCGCTTGACGGTCGAGCAGGCCAAGATGTGAGTTCATTTCCGAACCGGAGAGCTGTGTTCTCCTGGACTATTTGCTAATCGGATCCACTTTTTCATATAGTTCTGGCGGTCTGAACGCAAAGCACCGCGAGGTCCTCGAGCTTCAAGCTAAAGCGCAAGCACGTCTCGCGAGAACAAGAGCCCGATTCGCTCAGGGGCTCGAAGATGCACAGGCAGTGCGGAAAGATCTCGAATGGACACAGAAGAAAGTGACGTAAGTTTTGACTCCCAAGAACCACAAGAAAAGCGAACTCAAACTGACTGCTTCGAATCAGAGCTCTTTCGGCCAAGGCGGCGAAGCAGCACCCCAAGGAGTACAGCAAGGCGCGGGCACGCCACCCTTCTCCGGATGCGTTCTAAACCGATTTGTTACGTCTGCATCTTAACACGATTTCTCTTCATTTTCTTTCTTTTGATTCGGTACGTAAGGAGTATACTTGCACATACCCCTTTTTCATGTTTACTTTTTGCCCAAAACGGGGAAATGCCCCCGAGGTCTTTTGCAATTCTCAGCCTTGCGGAAGAGATGACGTTGGAAAAAGAATATGAGGCGCGGCAAATTTAGCCGCGATATACGCCCAGCGGAGACAGAGCAAAAAACGGAGTCAAGTTTAACGGTTGACGGGGGTGGTCGTTAGGTTGGGCTGGAATGCGTCAAGACGTGCAGCTTGCGGCGTTTTCCTCGTTCAAACTCCACGCCCCCCCCCTGCTCTTCCCTTACCACGGACCACATCGTTTCGGGAAAATGCCCAATTTCTTTGATTGGACTGTTATTCAGGATTTTCTTGGTGGCTTTTTTGATCCTGAATATTTTATGGGTTGGGTTAGACGCCGCATCCAGGGACCAGGTACCAGGCATCGGGCAACTGTACACCCCCCTCCGTTTTCTTGGCTTCGTTTCTGCTGAAAGGGAGGGTAGGAACCTGGACCGGGAGGTGACGACACGCAGGGATAGAACACATGGCCGTGGGAGGAAAGATCCGAGCCGTTGCGGAATACACAAGCCTGACAGGGCTGCAGGATCGTGATGGTTACTGCCGGCGTGGGGATGGGTGTGTGAGCACGATGAGCGCAGCAGCGGGTCTGACAGTGATGGTTGCGCTACCTATTCGTCCAGCATTCTTGGAAAACGACTTCGAGACCTGCAAGGAGCTCCACACACCCACTATCCAGGTACCGACATGACACCCTCCTCGATCCGTTGTCCTGAGCGGCTTGCTTGTCAGCTTCTTGGCTTGATCCGGCACGTGTCTGTATTTGGGGACCGTTCGACACCAGGGAAACGGACCACACACTCTGTTCCCAGGTACGGACGGACAGTGTGGACAGAAGTGCCGGGTGACTGGGTACCTCCCCTTCGACCCCTGACGGTGGAGCAACCATTACCTCTTGAGGCTAGACGACAATAGAGTAGATGTTGTTGTTGCTTGGATAGGAAAGTGGTTTGGTGTGTGGTTGGTGGATAGCTCATATCTCTTCTGTATCTAGCCGGGTTTGCCTGTACCAGAGAGGGGGGAGGGTAGGATTCGGGGATTTGGTGGCTTGATTTCTTTCTTGTGGATATAGTGTCGTTAGTCTTGGCTAGGGCGTTGATGGAGACGGTTGGCTTGTTCATATGTCGCCTTTGGTAGTTAAAAAGATCTTTTGCCTGTTGAGGTGGGTGTATAGATGAGAACCGTGACTGTTTGTATGGTAAGAAAGCGTCGTAGTCAGGGTAGGGAAAGCACTTGGCCGAGTGGCCCGTACGACATGATCTCTCTCTCTCTCCCTGAATGAACAATAATGATGTGAGAGTAATTTGGGCAACGCACGATAAGAAGAAGTAGACATGGCCTCGGTGAGGGAAACCCATGGATGGATAGAGGTAGTCTCATGTGATGTGGCCAGCACATACCCTTTACGTAAGTGAGTGAAGGGGTAACCCCTTGGCTCAACACTGATACATAAACATATACATACCATCCGCCATCAATTCGTCATCCATGATCTGGATGACATCCATCATACATCCCGCAAGGACGAGACACTAAGAAAAGTAGAGGCCACCCACAGGAAGGAAGTGTTGAGAAGTGAAAGTCCGATGTGGATAAGGAAACATAAGAACATGACTTGTTGAATAAAGGACTAGGGTATCAAACCATCGATTGCTTCCATAGCAACCAGCATTACCGACAGTAGTAGCAGCACGAGCAGCAGCGAAGCCACATATTGCCTGTCAACGCGCGGTGTCAAGCTTGACCTCCAGCTTCAACGTCCGCTCCAGCTTTCGCCCCTGCTGGCTTTGATACTAACTGATATCGGCCGCTCTTGTTGTCACTGCCACCGTCATCACCACCATCTTCGCAATCATCATCATCCTAACCACTTGCATCAACGAAGTGAGGAATGGCCTTCATCTAAGCCACGCCCTGCACCTCCTACACCGCTTGCACAGCCGACTGACCCTCCTGCTGCCCGGAACCAGAACCAGAACCAGGACCCCCAAACCCACCTCGCCCACCACCACCACCGCCACCTCCACCTCCAGAGCGACTAGGCAACCACTTCCCCACGGCTTCCATCCCGCGCTGCTGCTCCAACCGCTCCCACGGGTTCTCGTTGCTCGAAGGGTCGTAGTAATCCGTGTACCAAGGTTTCGTCGGGTCACGACCATGTGTTCCTCCTCCACTTCCACCTCCTCCACCTCCTCCACCGTAAGCACCCCTGCCGCCTCTACCGCCTCTACCGCCTCCTCGTCCGCTATGCACACCATGATTACCTCTTTGGTTGTGTTGTTGATTCGATACCTGAACTTGGACTTGCGGTTTGGGCGGTAAAGATAGCGATGAATTAACCGGAAGACTAGTTGTTGATGTTACATCAGCTGCAGCAGAGGCATCGTCATCGAGGTTGATCTCGTTCGAATCCCCACCCCTCGGCACATGAAAAACCCTCGGTTGTTGAACAGGCACGTCATTCGCCCCTGTGCCCTGTGGTGTGGGGCCGACGTAGGCGTCGTCGATGCGGGAGTTGTAGCGCCGTTTCTTGGAGGGACGTTGTTGGCCTCCGTGGGGATCATCAGCGGGTCCTTCTTCTTCGGAGTAGTCGGCGGGAGCTTGGTGCCCGAAGGAGGAGAAACCCATTGCTGCGGCCATGGCGGCTGCTTCGGCTTCTACGTCGTCGGTGAAGATGTCATTTTCGTTGGTGTTGGTGGTGGTGGTGGTGGTGGTGGTGGTGTTGTCGATTGGTGGTTGGGTCATTTTGGTTTGGTGGTGGAGGTTAGGTGGTGAGGTGGGTTGTTCAGTGGTAACGAAGGGACGGAGCGGATGGGTGGGTGGGTTGAGGTTGAGGAGTTGATGATAGTTTGGGTGAGGTTGAGGATTGAGGGTTGAGGATTGAGTCGCTGGACGCAGTTTTCGAGAAGTGGTTGGGATAAGAAGCGCCGTGTGTCCGGGTTGGGTAATTCGAATACCAAGTTGTGTGTAACACGTTGTAGGATATCAAGTCGTTAGTGCCGTTCAGTCATCGATGTGAATGAGTGGCAGAAGTCGATGTGTGAAGTTTCGAAAAAGGATCAACGCCCCAGACGACGCGCCAAGAAACACCGGGGAAGGAAGTGGAGTCGAGAGATGTCGTGGAATCAGCCTTGTGGGGCCCCACTCGTTCCCCGCTAAAACAGAACACAGGAACAGCCGCACAGTGGATTTGGGGAGAAATGGAACCCTTGTCTCGGAATGTCACCCTCCCGATTGGTGTTTTTGTCACTTTTCAACTTTGGATCTTCTTTTGGACTTGACTTGGATTATGGATCGAGTTGTACAGTATGACACCACCTTGGTTGAACCGCACTTGACAATGGAATCAGAGGATACCTGTGGGTGAGATGTGACAGGACGGCAAGAATATTGAAAACAAGCGAGAAAAGGCAGCTGACCCTCGAGCACTGCTGTTGTGGCTTTCACGATCAAAGTTGGACCCCAACGACTTATTGAGCTGGAAGTTTTCTGAATTTCAATCCTAAGCCGAAAATCCCATGTGATCTCCACTCACTTTTCTCGATTTGATAAGCCCAGCCGTTTGTGCCTGAGATATCCAAACCAAGAAGTCAGGGGACTCGAGCAAACTTGAACCCCTGTGTTTCCAGCGAACCAATCGGTAGTAGCCTACATTTCACACTGTTTCAGCTGATCATCGACCATTGGACGTCACTTTCATCCCGAGACTTTGCACATATATAGGACCAGCCCATCTCACCATCAACTCTGCTTCTCTGTTTCTTATCAGTCCTCGACAATACTAGTCAACTCACCATCTCACCCACCGGCTTTCAATTAATCAACCAACCATGGCCACCACACCGCCCTCCAACTCCTCACCAGAAGGCACCATCACCCTCCGCCTCCCCTACAAATACTCCCACTCCTCCCCACCCCCACAAACCATCCCCTTCCCACCCCTCGACTTTCTTCACCGCACCTGGTCCGTAACCCACTCGACCCTCTCCATGTGGCATTCGGCCCGCAACGTCCGCATCACGTACCGCCCCCTAACCCCGACCAAAGATGGCCGTCCCCGTATCGACGACCTGGTCGAATACGAATCCCTCTCCGGTTCAGGAGGCGTCAAAACCGTCGCGGGAGTCGACACGGGTAACTGGGACAATATCAAAGAGGACACGACCAGCTGGGACTGGCGCGGGAGTGGGTGGTTGTTTTTTGTGACCAGTCATTGGGAGGTGCTGGGTTGGGGGGAACGCAAGAATGAGGAGACGGGGGAGGTGGAGGAGAGATGGGCGGTTACGTGGTTTGCGTCGACGCTTTTTACCAAGGAAGGGGTGGATGTTTATAGTGATCGGCCAGAAGGGGGGAGTAAGGAGTTGGTGGAGGAGGTATTGAGGGTGTTGGGGGTGATGTTGGAGGAGGGTGGGGAGGGGACGAGAAGCTTGAAGGAGATGGTGGAGAGGGATATGAGGGAGGTGAAGATTAGTTTGCCTTGGAAGGAGAGGTGAGTGGAATACAGGTTCGGGGGGATTGGAGTCAGATTAGGAGTTATTGGATGGTATTACATTTGGATGGGTATCTTATTGGCTATTTTATGTTGACGCTAAGGTTTGTATTACTCTGCATTTTGCGTAATGCAAAAATTAAGGATGCTATGCCTGATCGTGTCTTGGACGTCTTGGCTTGTGCTCGTAATCTGACCTCTCCGAGCGGTGATGCCGGTGATAGTCATGCTTATCATCGCGGGCATCACGGTCTTTGTGCTTGCGATACTCGCGATCGTCTCGGTCCTTACTAGGCCGTCTATGGTGCCTGTCGCGAGAATGATCTCTCCTCCTTTCCTGATCTCTTTCACGCCCACGACTTCGTTCTCGGTCGCGATTTCTCTCCCTTTCCTCATGGTGACGACCCTGTTCATGATCCCTGTCATGGTCATGGTGACGGTCGCGGTGCCGGTCTCTATCTCGCGATCGGTCTCGATCATGGTCCCGTTCCCGCCTCTCCGACCGAGACCGCCTACCACGGTCAGATTCGTCACCAGACGCTCTACCATCATGCTTTTCCTTGCGATGTTCTGTTCGCCTCCTCTTTTCTCGTCGTCGCTCTTCTTTTCGCAATTCCTTTAGCTCCCTTTCCCTTTCCTCATTCTCCCGTTCCCGTTCCTTGTTGAGATCACGCACCATCTTGGCACCCCTCTTCATCATCGCCAGAGGATCGCTTGCACTCAGTCTTTCCACCTCACGAGCCTTCCGCCCGGGATCCTCCTTCCCGAACACGTTTTTGGATGGCACCAACGCAGCAACGTCGCCATCCGGTGTCGCATACCAGGGGCCATTTCTGGCTAACAAGCCTTCCGCATCCCTGCCAGCCGCACTGGTAAAGCGTACCTGATGCTGCTCCGCTTCCTCACGCTTTTTCTTCGCTGCTTCTGTCTCGGTTTTCTCATCCTTCTCTGTAAGCCTCAGCTCCTCTTCAGAAAACAACGTGATATGACCCCTGCTATCGACCAGCGATGCAGTAGTAGTAGTGATGGAAGTCGACTTCACTGGGCCAGACAGCTCCCTCGCCGCATTTTGCCCTGCCGTGGCCCGCTCCCGCGCTACCCTCATTTCAAAATCGGTGTCATCTTCGCCTGTTCGCTTGCGTTTGCGTCCTTCTATCAGAGGATCACGTTCACGATGACGGCGCCCATGATCATGGCTGGATTCTGGTGCTGGTGGTTGCTCCTCAAGTGGCGGCGGAACTTCACCGCGCAGAATGGCTAGACGACGTTCGGCGTCGACCTGTTGCATGCGTTGCTCCTCAGCTTCCTCGCGAGCACGGGCCTCGGCCTCGTCACGGCGGACGCGGGCGACGTTGTCTGCGTTGTAGACGTTCCATGATTTCTTTCCGAGCAGGTGACTTTTGTGCTGTTGGTAATTGTTGCTTGAAGAATAGGAGTAAGTCTTTTACTCACAGAGGCATGTTGGTATTGAGACAAACGATGGAATCGTCTCTCTTCAAGTGATGGTGTAGTTGGACAACATTGGGAGAACCAGGAAGTAGAGGTACTTGGAGTCAGTGGTCTTATCTTATCTTGCGGCCAACACGTGCCCCGCTCTTTGACGTACGTTGGTCCCGTTGGTCAGGGGCGAGTCCAGGCTGGGCGCCAGGGGACCAAGTCTGGGGATACACCACTAATTGAAAGCTGGCGCCTTTGTACAGGTAATCTGACAACACTCTCTATAATACAACCGCTGTTGACACCATTTCCTGTACAGCGTCAGGGACACAGCTGAAACCACCCAACGTAGTAATAGCGTTCCTTTGACACAACAGACCTCCATCCCCATCCCCTCCTCTCTCAACTCAACAAAACACCGAAGCTCAGCCTCAAAGGACAGGCATCTTCTGTGGTCATACCCGGCCATATCGTCAATTACAATCAACCGAACCAACATCCACGACGTGTCTACGTACTTGCGCGCGAATCCAGTGCGCCCACTCCACGCTCCAACGACACTTAGATAAACACGACCAAGGGCGACTGGTTCTCCCGATTTACACCCACCTACCCATCCACCTACTCCTCGATACTCGTAACTTATAATCCACACAACAAAACACTCACCATGGATATTCGAGGCAACCTCTTCGGCAAGAAGCCCCAAACCCCACAAGGAGGAGCTGGTCTCCCCGGTCGTCCCGTCCAACAAGCAGCCGGAGGCGGATACGGCGGCGGCGCAACACCGACCAACTACGGTAGCCCAGGTGGTCGCGCTCCCTCTCAACCCCAATACTCTGGTAGCGGCGCTGGAGGATATGGAGGTGCGCCATCCGAGAAGAGCTATGGCGGCGGCGGTGGCGGTGGTTACGGCGGACAGCCCGCTCCTGGCGGATACCCTTCTCAGTCAGCCGGTCGCGGTGTCCCCCTTCGGCTCGCAAAGGTGGATGACAAGACGTTGCAGAGTCTCTACATCTTTGGCAACATGTGAGTTCCCTACGCCCCCTACGGCCAGTTTGTCCAATTCAGATTGCTAACCTCGTACTCCAGTTGCGCCGTATCGCCCGACGATTTCCCCCCGAACCGCGACGGCACCGATCTATACATCCGCTTGACAGGAAGACAGCTACGAGGAGACTACGTGGTGACGGCACGCCCCACCCCCGGCTTCCGTCCAGGTCACATCAGCTTGTCAGACCCCCAGCGAACATGGTGCGGCGTTGGCATGATGGACGAGTTGATGGGAGAGGTCTACGATCCCTTTGCCCGTGGAGGCGACGCCTACATTGGCTCCATGGATGTCGAAATCGGATTTGCGTCAACCAACCGAATCGTCGATACCCCCTATGACCAGGATGAGCTGGCCAAGGTGTTTCTCAAGACTTTCCAGAATCAGGTCTTTGCTCCGGGTCAGAGGTTCCTTCTTGATGTCAAGAACATCCCTTTGGCTGTCATGGTCAAGACGGTCACTCTGGTTGACCTGACCATGCTGGGATCGGGCGAGGCTCCCACACGCAGTGACCCTGGAGCACGCGGTATTCTCACCAACCAGGCCAGCATTGGCTTCTACAAGGATGCCAGGTCACCCATCAAGCTCAAGGGCTCCAACAAGCGCCCAGCGGCCAACGCCATCATCGCCCCAGACTTCAAGTTCGAGAATATGGGCATTGGTGGTCTGGATACCGAGTTCTCCACCATCTTCCGTCGTGCCTTTGCCTCTCGTATCTTCCCTCCCGGACTCATTGAGAAACTTGGCATCATGCACGTCAAGGGTATGCTGCTCTATGGTCCTCCCGGTACCGGCAAGACCCTGATTGCCAGACAGATCGGCAAGATGCTCAACGCCAGGGAACCCAAGGTCATCAACGGTCCCGAAGTGTTGAACAAGTACGTTGGTCAGTCTGAAGAGAACATCCGTAAGCTCTTCGCCGATGCCGAGAAGGAGTACAAGGAGAAGGGAGACGAGTCCGGCTTGCACATTATCATCTTCGATGAGTTGGATGCTGTGTGCAAGCAGAGAGGTTCGGGTGCTGGCGGTGGTACCGGTGTCGGTGACAGTGTCGTCAACCAGCTGCTCTCCAAGCTCGACGGTGTCGACCAACTCAACAACATCCTCCTGATCGGAATGACCAACCGTAAGGACATGATCGATGACGCCTTGCTTCGTCCTGGTCGTCTCGAGGTTCAAATCGAGATCTCGCTTCCCGATGAGCATGGCCGTGGCCAGATTCTCAAGATCCACACCTCCAAGATGAAGGAGAACAAGGTCATGGCTGACGACGTTGACCTCGCCGAGCTTGCCACTCTTACCAAGAACTTTTCCGGTGCCGAGCTGAGCGGTCTTGTCAAGTCCGCCACCTCGTACGCTTTCTCCCGACACATCAAAGTCGGCACCATGGCTGGCGTCTCTGAGGACGTGGCCAACATGAAGGTCAACCGCCAAGATTTCCTCAATGCCCTCGAAGAAGTCAAGCCCGCCTTCGGCGCCGACGAGTCCGAGCTCGAGAAGCACCTGGCTTACGGCGTCATCCACTATTCCAAGAGCATCACCTCGATCCTGGAGGACGGTCTGCTCTACGTCAATAACGTGCGCAAGCTCGAGCGCCTCAAGCACATGACCGTTCTCCTTCACGGTCCTTCGGCCTCTGGAAAGACGGCTTTGGCCGCCCACATCGCCATGAAGTCCGACTTCCCCTTCATCAAGTTCATCACGCCCACCGACATGGTTGGCTTCCGCGACGAGGTGGCCAAGAAGGATTACATGCACAAGATCTTCACCGACGCCTACAAGTCCCCGCTCTCCCTCCTCATCATTGATAACATCGAGCGCATCATCGAATGGAACCCCGTCGGCCCGCGCCTGTCCAACACCATCCTTCAGGCCCTCGTCACCCTTTTGGTTACTCCCCCGCCCAAGGGCCACCGTCTTTTGATTCTCGCCACGACTTCGCAGCGTACCGTCATGGAGCAGTTGGACGTCACTGAGTCGTTTGACTACCAGATTGCTGTTCCCGCTGTGAACAACCTCCAGGAGTTGGGCGCGGTGTTGAACGAGGTGGGAGCGTTTGGTGGCGACCAGGCGGCTGTTAGTGAGGTGCTGAATACCCTCCGCGAGTATACCGGATCGGATAGCGTGGGTGTGGGCGTCAGGACAATCCTGACGATTGCGGAGAGCGCGGACACGAGTCCTGATCCTAAGGGATGGTTCGTGGAGAAGATGGCCGGGTTGATTGCTCGGTATAATGTTAGGTAGAGAGAGATAACCAGAGCTGTAGACAAGGAGGTATATATAGTAATATGGGTATATGGGTGGATATCAAGTGGATGAGCTTCAAGATATAGACAGTGATGCCTTTTTGGAATAGAAGTAGGTTAATGATGACCACTATTTTGTTATAACCGTTCCAGTCTTGTTCCGAATCTTACCCCTGCGTTTGAGAGTAGAAGAAATGCGAGCGTTCGTTGGACTTGTATATCTATTTCCATGCTAACGTATCCAAGATATTCAAAGGACCACATTTCTGGACCTACGCTACTATGTATACCTTCACAGCACGAACGAATACTTACCATATTGGTCAGCGTCTTCATGGATGAGATCCCGAAAGTAGAAGAAACTCGAAACGGGTCGACAATCGAAGGTTGCAACCGGGGACAATCAGCCGTCAAAAGTCCAACGGACCCGGTACAGCTATCACAATCCTCGTCGACGGGACGCCTACTTCAAGGAGCTTAAAACGATTCAAATCTCTCGCTACTGCAACGTCCCCGACCAACCCCTGAAAGCCCTCCCTCCACTTTGAAAAAGGTTTGACCAAAGAAAGAAGCATTACAGGGCCCTCAACGAAACAACCACGACAGCTATATCCCTCCTCCTCCGAGGCCAAGTGAATTGCAGACCGTAATTAGAATTGCTCTGGTGTACGACGGACTTGGCTGCCACGAAACTGATTGAAGTCCCACGCTCTTTACTTTCTCCATGCACACTTATTGACGGGTTTGTAAAAAGGTAAGGTAAGGTAAGGTAAGGTAAGGTAAGAGTAGCAAACTAAGCCTTCCATTATTTCATGGAGCTGGAATGTGGCTCACCTGGTTAGTTTCGTCGTGGGTTCGTCTTGATACTGCCGTCTTTTGAGAGTTGAGACTGTCTTTGACGCTGTCATGGAGCGAGCGAGCGGGTTGGGTTCATCCTGGTCAATGGTTGCTGTATGGTTTCTGATAACTGATCCTTTCCTGGTTCTAGAAAAGGGGCAAGTGTTGACGGAGCGTTCAAGTTTAGAGGTACTTCTGTTCGTTGCATGTCACAACCGACCTAACTAACTGCCCAGCGCGGGACGCGAAACCCAATTCCAGTTGGTCATCAGCCAGGTTACGTGCGTCTTCTTGCCCTCAGCAATTACCGACCTTTAAGTAAGCAACCTTCTTCTGCATTTCTTTTTTCTTCTTCTTTTTTTTTTTTTCTCTAGAATAAACCTACGATCAACTTGTCTAGGGTTGATGTATAAGTTTATGTGTTCCTTTAAACCACCGAGGCTTGCTATGAGTTTTAAAAATGTTCATGTTGATATTAGTGATGCATCTTGGGTTTTGAACTTTGGCATCTTGCACTGTCCTTGCGGTGGTCCTTGATGGGTTGCATGTGTCTTGTCTCACTCGGAGTACGAAGCTGACAGTCAACGAGCATTGGACTGTAGATCTTCATCAATGCACGTAGATTGCGATAAAGAGGGGAAGCTAGACGGGGAAAAAAAGGCATGTGTATGTTTGAGGAGGGAATTTGGAGAAGTTTAGTACACATAGGAGATAGTGTTGTAACGATGATCGAAATTTACATGGGTCACAATCAGTTTATTCCGTGATCAAGCACCGCAGACACTGTAGCTATACTGAACAAGTGTGTACGATGGGACAGGTGGTGACTGTAAAATTGAATTATCATTACCAATACTAGCGAGTGTATAATGTAGAGGTAATGAAACGTGAGTATATCATCCAAAGCATGTAATGGTAACAAGCGATCCCATAGTCCAAGCGAAGAAATCATTCCCATTATCTTTCCCCGTACCGTGCCTTCCAACTCAGAGAAAACAAAACAAAGCATTCCACGGGTATCCTACAAAGAAAAGATATGTACTGTGAAGGGAAAAAGAGAAACTGTTGGAAAGAGGCGCGAGCAATAAGCAGAGTGATGTTGCTGGACCAGGCCCCTGATTAAGCTCGTAGCTGAGCAGCGGTAGGCTGGAGCGTTGGAATGTGTTCATTGTCTTCGTGTGAGGGATCGGGTCGTAAACTCCGCCAAAACTCAATTATTGCCATCGTCATTGGTTTGAGAAGGTAAATATTCGTCCATGTCGTTAACCATCGTATCATGACCTTGTACCCCCTAAGGGGCTTATAGGTTCTCGACCAAGTGGGCATTCAACGCCTGCTGGAATCCTCCATCGGAACCTCCAAAGTCGTGGAACGTAGACGTTTTGTTCTTCGAACCGCTGCCTTCACCCTGCTCACCCGGATTAAAGGACCCCGGGGCATCCAACGACGCATTGAACTGGGCCTGACTAGGCATCGTCTGATTCGTCGCCGGCAAGAAGATCACCTTGCTGTTCGCAGACTTGGCCATAGCCTGCATTGCTTCAAGGTAGCGAATCTGCATAGCAGGAGCAGAACTCAAGATATCAGCGGCCTGCCTCATCAGCTTGGCGGCCTCGACCTCGGCCTTTGCGGCAATAATCTTGCTCTCGCCGATGCGCTTGCTCTGGGCAGCCATGGAGAGCGAATCCTGCAGCTCGTGGGAGAAGATAATGTCCTTGATAAGCATGCTCTCGACGGCCACGCCCCATTCGGCCGCGACATCCTCGATGATCTCGCCGATGGACTGGGCAATCTCCTCGCGGCGCTCGATCACGTCCTGCAGCACGCGGGCACCGATGACATGGCGCAGCGTGGTCTGGGTGCGCTCGATCAGGGCCTGCTTGACGTTGGTGATGCCAAAGGCGGCCTTGTGCGGGCTGACGATGTGGTAGTAGATCACCGACGTCAACTGCACCGTCACGTTATCCTTGGTCATGCAGACTTGCTGCGGCACCTCGACGATCTGGATCTTGACGTCCACCTGAATCAGCTTCTCGGCGAGCGGGTTGACGCGGACGAGACCCGGGTCGACGGCCTTGTAGAACTTGCCGAACTTGGTCACCAGGCCGACGTTGCCTTGCTGCACGGTCTTGTAGGGGTTCGGGCACATGATGCAGCACGGGATGGCGCCAATGGTGCCGATGACAGCGCCGAGGCCGTTGATCATGTAGCCGTACCAGTCCTTGGGGTCGGCATCGTTAGTGATGATGCTGGCGTAGGATTTCTGGAGGTCTTCGGCCCTGGGAGGCTGCACGGCCATGGGAGCTTGCGGGCGGAAGCCGCCGGCGCCGTTGGTGGTGGACTCGTGATGGTGATCGTAGTTGGGCGCGGGGCCCTTTCCCTTGAGGGCGGGCTGGTCGGACGAGATTGAGCTCATGGTTGTTGGATGGGGAGGAGGTGGTGGTGGAGGTAGTGATGATGGCGAGAGTGGAAGTGGGGTGATGGATGGTTGTTGTTGTTGTAGTTTGGATGAATGGGTGTTGACCATACAAGACTAAGTGTGAAGTGGAATGTGGGAAATCTCGGGACAATTCAAGGGAGGGGGACAGTGCACCTTTTAAGCATTCTCGAGACAAAAGACTGGTCCGGATACAAGAGTGCAGCGTGCATATCCGTACAGGCAACCTCATGTGGTGTGGTGTGCTCAGGCGTTGTGTTGTGTAAGCCATGACATTTCCCAAAAGGGATGTTAGTGACAAGGGTCGACGCGGGGAAGGCATGGCGCTGGGGTCGTCCTGCAAGGTGCATTTTCTTAGCGGTCGATTTGGGGATCAGCCAGTGGATGGTGTTACTGTACGGCGGCACTGTGGAGCCATTTAGGGATTTGGTTACTTTCGTTCCTCTCGCTTCAACTTCCACCATCCGACTTCTTCCATTCTTGTCCACGCCAACCTGAGAAATCGCTCATCTGTCTTCAAGTCTCCAAATTCCCTCATTCAAAAACACGCTGCCGTTTTCCATGCACTGCCTCGTCAACGCCTTCACAATCATCACGCGGTCCGAATGGCTAGGTAGTTGAAAGCAAAGTCTAGTTGCCGATATCCGACCAACCGACCAGACAGCCTTACAATTTCCGCACTGTCTGTTTATGTGGGGAAATGGCTGGGAGTCTTTGATATGTATTGGGGTCTGCTGGCACGCCACCCCTGACAACCTTATTGGGCATCGAGGCCCTAATGACGCACCGCCCGCACCTCGCATCGAACCTATCTTTCCTCGATGACTTTTCCTGGTCGGTTATTAACAAATAAAGCTGTATCCCAAGAGCTTATTGTTTCCGCTATATACCTATATTACCATGAGCCATATTTCTTGACGAGCTACCACTGGAATGTTTGAGTAACCACCTGATTGCCCGTTAAACTGTCTAATCCGTCACTCGCCTCTGCCCTTCTGCTAACAATGTATCAAGCCAGTTATCCACTCATAACCTGGAACACCATGAAAACATCTCAAGACTCCTTGATAACATGGTACGGCCAACCAAAGCCAAGAACCTTAAATCTGAACCGAGCCGAGGCCCCTGCCAATTAAGCAGTTTTGACACATCACCAACACTCCCCATCTGACCAAGCATAGCCACAAATCTGCTACATAGCTCTTACGCCAACAATACCACCTACTTGCACACCCAATCCGGTACCCGGCCGTCGGCATCGACTTCACCAGTCTTGGACGGCAGTCTGATCTCTTGACCGGTTTGATCCTTGATACGCACTTACCAGAAAGGGATAACGGGTAAAGAAACAGCCTCTCTGTGTGCCTCGATCTTCTCATCGCCATCAGGCTGTACAGAGAGGATCGACCAGACAAAAACCATCCAATGATGTCAAGTCAATCACCAGCCCTGAATATGCATGGAATCTTACCCGCTTTCTTCTAGACGCCCTAGACTCGTGATGGCTGTCTATCTCAATCCATCACCGAGACCCTGTCATTATTCGTCAACCCTGGGCACATCTGTCAACTGTCACTGGGAAAGCACAGGTTGTTGCTCGAGTCATCGTGGAGAGTAACACGACAGGCTAATATTCCCCTTGCAGTCATACTGCCCCTTCACGATACCATTGGCCTCTTCCGTTAGTACTATGCAAGGTCCTAGCATCAAATCGCTCATATTCATTAGACCAACGTTTGGGTACACTTGCATTGTTCTGGCCTCGGGACCACTCGATTCGGACCACTCGACCACTTGGCAACCCCAAGAGATTTTCCCACCTCAGCACCACGCCTACCAGACAGAGACCTCGTAGGGGTACGGCAAGTACATCTGTGACACCACTTTCAGTCTGCGGCCTAATCCTATCGCCAATTTGGGACACCATTTCTGGCTACAGTCTGACGGGCGAGATTATCTGTTAGCTTTCACTCATCCAGCCATACCAGGAACCTCTTCAGGAGATGACAGCAAACCAAACTGCGCACTTGGTCCAGTGAATGTTAATGACTTCCCAACTTACAAAACTCTCTGTCATTCCAATACTCTATCTGCACTGGAAGTAAGTACAGTGATTGCGGACGATACTATACAACTACTGAAAACTGCAAGGACCTAGTGCCATGTGGATGTCTTCCATGGCTGATGTTTATAGTAGAACATGGACTAGAAGCGAGTGGACTACAATAAAAACAGTGGACGGACTGGAAGTATACAGTAGGGAGATCACGGAAGTTCTTTCGCTTAACGGTTGACTACTGTGGCCTCGATACCGTGCATATTCTAACAATAACGGTAGGAATATGTAGATAGTACAAGAAGTGAATGGACTTACAAAGCTATCGTTAATCAGAAACATTCAGTATATGAACACAACAACCACTCACTGGATATATTTTTTTTTACTTAATTGCAGTTACCAATGCCCACCAAAGGCATCAAGACGTATCATTTTCTACATGGTCCCTTATTCGAATCTTCCACTATGACTGTGACAATTCTCGCATCTAGAATTTCAGAGAGTGTTCAAGTCATATTCGAAGGCTTTTTGATGGATCTGGGGGCCTTCAACAGCTTGGTTTGTAGTTCACTTGATGGCAATCCACGAGCGAGAAGCAAGGACACGAAAAGACCAAGCACAGCACGCCTGACACTGGACAAATTTCTTCCTTTAGGATGTGAATCTGTCTATCTATATACCCTACCTAACGAGTTTGGCCAATATATGAATTGAACCATGTAAGCAGCAAACCATGATAAAACTGCAATGTATCATTGTGCGATTCGTGGTATATATTCAGATAGATAGGAAGGATAATCCACCGTTAGCAGGCTACTGTTTCATACCTTCTTCCAACCGAGCCACATCATCAGAAGTCCACAGGTGAAAAGTTTCATATTTGGTAGACAGCCCCCCACCGGTTACTAATAGCGTCTTCATTGCCATATGGACATGTGATGGTGGTGTCAAGCCAGTGTAGGTTATGATTTTTTTGGCTTCCCATATCCTCTTTCAATTACTTATACCTCAAAAATAGGTATGTTTGACTTGCATCCCGCAACGCCTACATCATGTTACATTGTACCTAGAGGTATGTCTCTGGTATATTAAGACAGTTATATGCCTTGCAAGAAGGAAAAGACCTAGTAGATCACACCCCTAAGGCATCTCTATTCACGCAGGTCAGATAGTGAACCCCCCTATCTGGCTGGGCTTGCGAAGTGGTTCGATTCCTTGACATGAGGGCCATGTAGCCTGACTTTGCCTTGACTCGAAAGTGATCATGAATTAGGGTACATCACTGCGGTCCCCCAAGTACAATGCCGCGTTGACCAATCTTCTTCACTTCGCGCGAGAGTGACTTTGCTATGCTCTCCACCAATGGAATTCCAGTTCAAGGCCTCCATTAGGGGCTATCCTCTTTATGGAGGCAATCTTTTCGGCCTCATGAATAGTATTTATGCCCCTTGCAACTAATGGCTTCTCCCAGCCCTTGTGCACGCGATGGAATTTGAGGTTCTTGTAGAGCAGTGCCAGGCTGGGGATCGAAAGATTCCGAACCTGAGAGCAGCTTGAAACAACAGCGACAATTAGATTTTCTGAGCCAGGTTCACGGACCTTCAACATTCCGTTGATGTAAACTTCCATACGTCCCGGAGACCCTGGACGGATCAATTCAGACAACTGGCAACAAGAAAAAGATCGAAGCATCGAGCAAGTCTCCGACGCCAACACGCTACGCAGAATTGGGATCAAATCGCTGGCACCAGCCGTCAACTTTAGACTTCTTAGACCGACAAAGTGGCCGCACACGAATGCGGTTTGTAAGTCAGTCATGAACTGATCTAAAACATCTGGAAGTTTGGGCGTGGCGGGCAAATCCGGGTGGGTCTCTATCCGAACATCCAGCCCCTTCAAGGTTGGCAGACCCGCCATAGGTCTTGTAAGGTTTTGTCCTAACCGCTCCATTTCCTCCAGTAGCTGCTGACCCCTCTCCTCCCACTTACTGGGTTTTGCGTCATCCGTGCAATACCTGCTAAGTTCTTTTATGTCGACGACGATACGAAGCTTTTGGATACGGTCCAAGACGGGGCGGTTGGATTCCTTATCCCAAAAACTGAGGCATCGGGACCAGAGCCGGGGAAAACGGTGCAGAGCGAGAGGTCTATATTTGAATATATGCGCTTGGGCCGGATGGTAGAAGCTTCGGCTGATGAGAGGGAGAAGCCGAGGGTCGCCGTGACCAGCAAGGTGTCTGTCTCTTGCACCTTGGTGCATTGCACACTCCAAATCTCCAGCAGGCGGGAGCACCTTCCGTTTCCAACCAGACGTTGTCCTCAGCCTTCCTTCCTTCCATCTCATCCCAGAACAGACCGCCCAACAGCGCGGTACATAGTCGACCTCCCCAGCACCTTCTTTCACCAACAACCGCTTTGGTCGAGTGGCGTAACGGCCTAGGTACCGTCCTAACACCTCAAACCACCAACCAACCCACACCCGAAAAAAGATACCTACCTGTCGGTTCGGGAACGATGATGTACATTCAAGTAACCCAAAGAGCGTTCCACATCGTAGACCGCGACCACTTGCTACTTCAATGCAAGTTGGGATCTGTTAGTATCTGCAGCGACAGAAGAAGGTAATCAATCAAAGTTATAAGCATACAAAAGAAACCAAAAGAAACAAAAAAGAATAAAAACGGTTCAAGGTGTTTCGATGGTTCGTTGAGATGCCACTCGATTGAGCGGTTGTTGGTCATTCTTTTTTGGGGTGTTCTTTTGTACCTTCTTCGGAGGTGGAAGGGGGGAACGGGTTGAAGAGGGGGGAGGTAATGGGTTCGAACCGCAGGTTGTGCCTTTGCTTTTTCTCTTTTTCTTCTTTTCACTACACTCCTCTGATTACAAGCTTGCTTTATTGCTTCCATTTGCTCTCCACCTAGATCCAGCCCTCATCCAATGCCAGTCCTCCATCTACTTCTACCTTGTCTGTAAGTGCGACCTACTGTCCATACTTTGCGAGGCTCGAGGCATTCACTCCTTACTGTGACCCTATCGTCAGCCTTCAATAACCTCTAGGACTATGTCTTGACCCTGAAAGACCTTCACGCTGTGACACCCATTACCACTTTGATCTCAACTTTCCTCTCCGCCTGCGTCTCAGATCCCTCCTTCACTTCAGGAACCTTAATCCCAACAAACACGGACAACTGCCCTCAGTCCGTCCACACTGACGCCTTTCTGTCGTTGTTTCCCTTGCGTTGCTAATGACGAAGTTGTCAGTAAGATGGCGTACGCCGACGTAAAGTCGTTGTTCTGACAGCAATCAGATATACTCCGCATCCAAGGAATCTGAGAGATATACATTTACAGAACTCCTCAATGATCTCTATCAGATTGGCATACTCCTGTTAGCTCGATAAAGAGTCGATGACTGAAGGCTTTCGACTTACTTGGTAAACGATATCATAGGGAAGTCGGTCCATGGTGGAGAAACGCACAGTAATCGATTGATGACTTTTCGGAGAGCCCCAGGCCAAGAGGGCAGACACTCGTCCTCAAATATATATAAATACTCCCACATTAGAAACGTCCGGTAGATTTCGGTCAATAAACGCTCAAAAAACAGGGAGGAAATCCACTTACACACACACGTAAAAAAGACGAATGACACAAGCAACTCAACGTGCAGTAGCAAAAAGAGAACACGAGCATGAGAAAGATCAAGTCGGAGACAACAGAAGCCAAACACCATGTCAAAAATAGTTGCAAGATACCTCTATATTCACACAGATGTGCCACCATGATCCATTTCATTGGCAATCTAGGAACATGTAAGTCATGGCCCATAATCATCAGCTTATCTCCCAGTAGCAACCATAGACAACAACATGTGGCTCTTCCATAGTGAATCATTAACCAGCTACACGGCTTTTCTTTATCGGCAGAATTCCTGGACTTTTGGTCCCCACAATCACAGCGCCGTTGGCCCTTGGAAGACGAGCCTACCTCCCTTCATGACCTGTAAGCTGCGGCACTCTAGCTCCTTTTGCAAAAGCTCGTAATCGGGGCGTATGAGCTTGTATTGGCCCCATGATGGTGTAGACACAATCGGGACGTCTCCTGAAACAAATAGATCGGTTAGCATCAAGCCTTTGTAAGCCAAGGAGCCCGTTGTCACCAACTCATAAGACGTCTGCGCGCGAACGTGACGTCCTCAAGTTCCACTGATGTATGGGGCGCCACCAAGTCCTCCAAAAATGCCAACGGCTTCCACTTTTTGACAAGAACCCTGCCCACAATCAGCTTGTCTAAGCCCGTGTTTTCCGGATGAAGCTGGGGCATTTCGTGGAATGTGAAAAGACAAAGTTCTTTCAAGTTAGGACACAGCTCCACCAAGGTCAGAACCGCCTCTTCGGCGGCCATCACTGCATCCTGATTTTCCACGGAGCCGATCGCCTGACATCTATCACAATGAACCGTCTTCAAGTTCACGCAAAGCTGCTTCGATCTCGTTGCGTCCAATAGAATCTCCACGAGCTGGTCTGCAGGCGCCTTCACCCTCAGGCTGGTCAAGTGGTCGAACCTCCCGTTGCTCAAGGCACACCCAAAATCCCTGACAATCCTAAGAACAAGGTCAGGGATGGTTCTGTTGACAACGAAATCGTCACTGTAAACGTTGGTGAATGTGTCAACGCTAAAAATCAACTCCCTCAGGCTGGGTAATCCAACCATGGGCAGTTCGAGCTGATTCATCAAATCAACCATCAAAGCTCGTAGTTGCCGCTCCTTGGCTGCAGAAAGAGCCAGCGCTTGATCCTGTGGGGTATTCTTCTCGACAAAGCAATACTTTGAAATTCCATGGCTCTTGACAGCAATCTTCAGCCTCCTCACCTTCACCCTCAAATCTTCCGTCTCATTACTAGACCAAAACTGCAAGCATTGCGGCCAACAATCAAATTCATGAAAGCTTAGCGGGACATGCTTGAAGATGTGCGGCATAACAGCGTGGTAGAAGGCTTTGGAGACGAAGCAAAATTGCAGAAGTTGTTGAACGGAAGGGTGGGAGTGGAAGTCATGGTCGAGAATTTCGCAGGCCGTGGGAAGGTGGAGGACGCAGAAGTAGTGGATAATCTGGAGGAAGGGCGCGGTGTTAGTAGTGAAGGAGATATGGCCAAGGTACTGGAATAATTTGGGAGGATGGTTGGTGTTGTAAGCCGAAAAACTCATAGGATGATCGTTTGATAAGTTGAAGAGGATGAGTTGCTTGAAGAGAAGAGTAAAACCTGGACTGGAAAAAGATGACCGTAAGTGTGGCCCTTCATCACACCTAGAAAGGATTTCAGGTAAAACATAGAATGCACCTGCCTGCGAGGATGGACAAGGTCATTTCCGCGATGGACCGACATATTGTACTACCCAAGGTCCGGCAGGATGGGAATGATGACAAGAGAGATGAATGATGATGGAAGAGTTCTCATGAACAAGTACGAAGTAGAACATCCGCCGAATCCCAGAAGTTGTACTCATTATTTGGAATAGCCATGTGTGCCGTCCCAAGAGCAATGACAGGCAGGAAGAGCGGGGAGTCACTTACGCGGTAGAGAACGTCGTGAGGAAGAAAGGGACTCATGTTGCCCCGGAATGACTGACTGCCCTTGCGTGAATGATGCCACTTCGATACTGAGGGGTGAGACTACGTGATATTTGGGTGTGGGAAATGGTTGATTGGTGGCATGCGGGAGAGAAGAGTAACTAATGGGGTGCCAGCCCAGGTCTAAATACCAAGTCTAGAAGCACCAAGAGGAAAATCAGTTTGGGGTGCTCTTTCCAGACGTTAGACTATAGTGGGGAGCGACTTCCCCAGTGCATACGTTCAAACCAACCCGGTGCAGGAACATACATCTCTGCATGGAATAAAAGCTTAGCGCGGTGAATGGCAGAGTGGTGACAACCTTGTTTTGCTTACAAAAGATGGGTGTGTTTGTCACTCCACAATCCCTGAATATTGTAAGATGGAAGTATCACGCTGTGCCTTTGTATCCACGCAGGGGAGTATAGTTGGGCGCTGTGGGAATATGGTGAGTGTCCAGTAAGGGCCAGTTGAACCCGAGGTTATCGACGATGGTGTCGCGATTTTCCATAGTGCTCGAATACTGTTGATCAGAAAGATGTCATAGAGATTGATGCCCGGGCAGAAGTCAAGAAGGCGCGAACCTATCGCTCACAAAGACAGCCAGTTTCAGTGCTCAAAGCATTTTTTTTCCCAACAACTTCGTTCCAGTCGGCACGTGCTTCAAGCCGCGGCAGTTAGTACCATCAGGAAGGTCGGCACCCAACAAGGCGACGGAAATACTCAAAAACTCAGTGATTCATTTGGTTGACATATTCAGAAAGGCTTCCATAGTCCGTAAATCTCGCTGTCAGTAACGGAACACAAGGTGGAAAGTAGGTGGATTCGAGATGTTGCTAAAGTGGATGATTGAGTATCACCTTGATTCATTCATCCTGCCAGCTCTCTTGGATTCTTCGCCTGGATATCTCGGCCATAGCCGTCAGTATTGTCACTTCCCGGGGCAGATTCGCAGGGCCAAACATCTGTATGTGGAAAGCTGTTCAGGGTTAGCAACATCTGCAATTATAGAACAAAGCAAAGTAAAAGGGTAGTAAACACACTATTCAAATGTCAGGCCATACACTTCACAAATGCCAGAGACAGAGGCGTTAGCCATTGCCGGTTCGAAAATCACAGCCCCTGAATGCTTTGTTTACTTTCGCCGATCTTGTAGGGTCATGGTTACATAATCCGGGTCAAGGAGTCTGGAATACGGCCAAGGTCATCATATCACAAAAAGGAAGCACACAGTAGGGTCAGGACGTATCCATTCGGAGCAAATCTCATCTGTTTCAAGATCCCCAAACTTCACAAATCGCACCACATGGCAAGGGCGGGATAACGATTAAGTCCACCCCTCTTGACCCCACAGGGCATTCCCTCTTTCCAGACAGCATATACAAGAGTAGATGGCGCCAGATCGAGTATCTTTCCCTCATTAGTGCGGTCAAGTTTGACCCATTGCCAGGGGATAAACGGTTTGCAAGAAGCCAGAGCCAGATTCCATTGTTGGGGGTATTCATGATCAATTCGTGTTGGAAATCGGTGGGCGAGGTTCAAGCCACAAGTCCAGTCTCCATCACGCCTCCATTACGCCATTTTTGACCCAGAAACCGAATGTGTTTTTTCGATTACAACTGTTTACCAGCTGGACTCCTTGGCCTCGGTGGCGGCCCAGTCAGCAGTGGTGGCAGGGGCAGTAGCGTCCCAGTTGGGGGCAGCGGCACCGGGAGCGGCATCGGACCACTCACCGGTGGCGGGGAAGCCAGCGGGGGCAGCCTCCCAGTCACCAGTGGCGGGGAAGCCGGACTCAATGGCGGCAACACCCTCCTCCTCAACACCAGGGAGCTTCTCCTCCTCAACCTTCTCCTCGGCCTCAGCCTCGGGGTCGCGGTCTGTAGGTTAATAGTTAGAGACATGGTCCCGCAGACGGTCACGAGGGCTCCGGGGGTTACGTACAGAAGTAAAGATCGACCATGACGTCCCAGGGGGTCTCGCGGTTGTAGATGGTACCGCGGAGGCGGAGGACCTCACGGGCAAGCATCCACCAGACGCAGCCGATGGCGTGGCGACCCTTGTTGTTGGTGGGGATGGCAACATCGACGTACTCGGTGGGCGAGTCGGCATCGCAGAGGGCAATGACGGGGATGTTGACGTAGGAAGCCTCCTTGATGGCCTGGGCATCAGTGCGGGGGTCGGTGACGATGATGAGGCGGGGCTCCTTGAAAGAGCGGGTGATGTAGTTGGTGAAAGAACCGGGGGTGAAGCGACCGGCGATGGCCTGAGCACCGGTGTGGGCGGCGAACTTCAGGACGGCACGCTGACCGTAGGGACGGGCAGAGATAACGCAGATATCGGCCGGGTTGTCGATGGCGGCGATGATGCGGGCAGCAAGGACGATCTTCTCCCTGTGGTGAGCCAGCACTGTCAGCCATTGTGGCCTTTGTTCGAGGTATCCTGGTGACCATGTCTCCTCCACTTGGACACCATCCACTCATGCGATCGATCGATCCTCCACATACCAGGTCTTGCCAACGTTCAAGATGTTGACACCGTCGGCGCGAGTCTTCCAGAGGTAAGCTGCAGATTCAAGTCAAGTCAGAAATTTGTCCGTGCGATCGCAAGTCATTCTAGCTTCGACAAGTGTGGATATATCGATAGGGAGTGCATACGCTGCATGTGAACACCGAGGCTATTCGCAATCGCACAAAGTCAGCATTCCTTGGTCTCATTTTCTCTCAGTCATGTCGCCGGCGAGGTAGATTTCGCAAAAACGCACTTCTTGGAGCCGATGTGGCACTGAGCAGCAAGGAGCTGCTCAATATCGGTGCTCGTGGCATTGAAGATGGAGGGGAGGTTAGCGGGCGCCATCTTGACTGATCTCTGGCCTTGCGGTGTGAGGACTGAGGAGGTGTCAGGAAGACGGCGTGGAGGGTGAATATATTTTTCTTCTAATTCAACCAGGCCAGCCAAAGTCGCGGGACGTCCGAGCTTTCTGCCTCTGATTTTCGCACACAAATTCAATTTTGTGGAGTGCCGCGAGTGCGCCGACTGCCCCGCCAGGGCTGTGCAGTTGGTTGACAGTTGACCGTGCCAAGCCTTTGATTACGGTACCTCTCCTTCACCTTGGCCATCAGGTCTGCATCCAATCAATAGCTCCAGATACCTTCAGCCCCACCAGATGTCGACCTCGACAGGGCCTCTTTTCTGAATTTTTGCTGCTTGCTCTAACCTGAGTGGTCGGATTTCAGGATGGCCAGTGAGCTGGTCCACTTCGCAGTTTGCAAAACCAAATTCAGAAATGGACTAGCTTTATCTTAGCCTAGCGCAATTGGAACCCAAAATTTGGTCCAGGTGCGGACCGACACGGGAAGTGGTCCAACATCGGCCGGACCGTGACCTGGAGGGACGAGGAGGGACCGCCGGGCCAAGCTGCGAGACTTGAAAGAAAGTTGTTGCGCCGACTTGCACTTCGAGACCGACCACGCCGGTGCACCTCCACCACCACCACCACCACCACACACCCAACCAACCAACCATGCCTCCCAGGTTACCTGGCCCTCAAGGGCTTCGCAGCCTCACACGTACGTGAGCTCTTATTTACCTTTAAACTTTTTGCCATGCCGTCCATGATGTCCCCCGCCAAACACACCTACGTACTGACATGTTGCTCTGGAAACGACAGTATGTCTTCGCCCCGCCGTCGCCTCTCCGGCGCAGGCCCTGCAACCTCTCATCCAAACCGCCAACATCTCCCAGAAAGAAAAGAAGCGTAAAATGAAGCAGGACCCTTACGGCTGGGCCCAGGCGCAACAGCGCAAGGCCGTCAACGTCAAGCGCCAGGCCGAGCTCCAGGCCCAACGCGACGCCGCATGGGGCGATCCGGTCAAGGGTATCACGACCCCCTTCGTCGAGTCCTTCGACAGCGCCGGCCAGGCTTCCGTCTCTCCGCCCAAGGTCGGCCCCGACGGCCAGCTTGTTGAGGAACCCAAGCCCCTCCCGACCTCGCCGCACCTACGGAATTACCTGCTCAACAAGGACGAGTTCGACAGCGCCATTCAGTACGCCGAGCACATCTTGAAGCCCATCAAGGCCGAGGACCGCTTGACGGCCGACCCGGAGAAGGAGGACGAGGAGGCTCGCGAGCACGCCGCCAGACACGCCAAGGCCGTCGCCGCCCTTGAGCGTATCGCGAAGCTTGAGCATGGTGGTGCTAAAGACCGCAAACACGCCAACATCCGCCGCTGCATCGAGACTTTCGGTCGCCACATTACAGATCAGAGCCTCGAGAGGCCGACGCCGCCGCTGGCGCGCGGAGTGGAGCCCAAGCCCCAGCCGGTGCGGGCAGGCCCGGACACGGGCAGCAGTGAGGTGCAGATCGCCATCCTGACGTCCAAGATCCGGGCGCTCAGCAAGGCGCTCGAGGGCCACGGCGGCAACAGAGATAAGAACAACAAGCGCAGTTTGCGGAGGCTGTGCCACAAGCGCCAAAGGCTGCTGAGGTACATGGAGCGCAAGGAGAGAGGCAGTGGAAGGTGGCATCACATGCTCGAGACCCTCGGTCTGACGCCCGCCACGTGGAAGGGTCAGATCACCCTCTAATACATTCAACGCACCCGGTTCGGTTGTCGTGTGTGTTTGTGTGTGAGTGAGTGGAAGAAGATGTGATTTCCAGTCGTAGCATGAAAGCGTGTGTAACAAAACAAAGAGGCCTTCTCTATGTACAATACAACAATAAACAATAACCGGAGAAAACCAAGGGGCGCACGCGGGGGGCAGGCCATGTCGATGATGATGATACCCCTTTTGTGTTCCCCAAGAGTCCAGATATAATACTTTGGCCATAACGCGCCCAATACGCCTTTTCTCCCCTTCCCATTTCTTGGTCATTGATAACATGCACTGACCACCCGGCTCAAGCAAATCATTGGGGGAGGACGAGGTTCCTCTGATAAAAATGCAACCTAAAAATCAAACCTCATTACGACAACTTACTGCTCTTTAGAAAACGCTGATGTAGTTGTTGATCCTCTCCTTCTGGTTCTGCGCTATGCACTCGGCGATCCAAGTGATATTGCGGATTTCCTAAATGTCACATTAGTCCACAGAGGTTCAACGAACAACACAGGGGAACCCTAATCTCACCTGCTCTCTCAACTTGACCCACGCATACACTATGGCATAGGTGAACTGCCTTGTGAACGCCATCTTGGAGATCTCCATTTCCTTCTGGTAGAACATGTCCTCCAGACTCTTGCCCTCAGTTCCGCCACCGCCCATGTTACCGGGGCCGCTGGGACCGCCTCCAAGACCAGCAGCATCGAAGAACGACTTGTAATCGGCCACACCCTCAACAGCGAGCCTCACACCCTCGAAGTCATCTGCCCGCGACAACATGAGCGTCCCCTCCGGGTACAGCTGCCCAAAGTTAGGATAGAGCTTCTTACGGTCCGCCTTGGACAGCTCGGTGCCGAACGAGTTAAGAGTGATGTTGATAGCCCGCCTATCCGCCTCAAACTCCAGCAACTCCGACATCACCTCGGCAGTCGGGGTCCCGGCCATATCGGGGTGGGTGTTGACGAAGTGGTAAAAGTCCTCGAGGTAGTTCTTGTACAGCGTGTTGCGCACAATCTCGATGTTAAGCTCGTCCAGGTCCTGGAGCGACAGGCTGCTCTTAAAGTACGGGGCCAGTGGGGTCTCGATCATGACGCTGTTGTACAGCTCCTCGATGTTGGTGGCCACGCAGAGAACGGGCATGGTCTCGAACCAGCCGAGCGGGTGGCAGCGCTCGAGCAGCTCGCGCGTGTCGCGCTCGTGAAGGGTGCCCGTGATGAGCAGGGCGACGTTGTCGATCATGTAGCCGTAGGTGAGGTAGTCCATGAACTTGGCCAGGGAGCCGGCCGCGTTGGCGCGGACATAGCGGAACTCGGAGACCAGCTTGTCGGTGGTCTTGGCAGCGAGAGCGGAGGTCGAAGGCTTGGGCGGGAGAGAGGCGAGGAAGTCGCCATATGCAGGTCCAAGTTGGAGTTTAAGGTCTGTGGGCAATGTTGTTAGGGTGATGTGGATGGAGGTGATATGGGTCGGGAATGGAGATGGGAGAGAGAGGCTCACCATCAATCGACTCGCATTGCGTCATGTTGGTATAGTTGGTGCTCGTCAACAGGCTGTTCCTGTATCCACGGACGATACCCTCAATGTAGCTGTTGATGAATGATGGTCAGCACTGGATCTGCAGATTAGAAATCAGACAACATACCCATTGTTGACGTTGAATAATAGGCCCTCCATGTTTGCGGTTGGAGTTGGAGGTGGTGATGTCGGGTTCAAGCGACCGAGTCCAGTGTTCAACAACAGCAGATGGATGGCACTCCCTGTCTGCTCTTGTCGTTCAGTTGTTGGAGCTCCAGTTGTCCATCGAGGTCACAGGCGGGCACACACACACACTCACGGCAGCGACAGGGCCGCGGGAAGGCTGCGACAGGGCGCCCACCATCGGCGCTTCAGAGAGAGGGTTGGACCGTGCATGACGGGTCTTGGCATCTCCAATTCAGAGCGGCCAGAGGCGAGGGTTGATGGAGAGAGAGTTGGCCGTTGAAAAGATACGTACAATAGCCGAGCTCGGGCCACCTCTGGCCTCTTCGACCCCACACCGGGCTCTGATTGGGGGAACGGGCGCCATGGATTTCGGTGAGTGGGCAGGCAGAGTGTGGGCAGAAGTGGGTGCTCCAAAGTCTGGTGGAAAAAAATTGTTCTTTGCTCTCGACTTTTTTCTCCCCTCGAGGCTCGTGGTGAATATCGCAAAAAAACAGCACACCCACTTGCTGTTTCCCAACGACAATTGCCAGCGCGTTCGGGATCCAAAGACCAAACCGCAACCATGCCTCTCTTTATCCTAACAGAAACCAGTGCCGGGTAAGTGCCATCACATCATTCACGTCCATACACAACGGCGGCGTCGTCCATGCCTGCATATGCGGAGGCTTCAAGTTTGAATCGTCCAATTCGGCTGCGATCAGACCGAGAGGTCTCCCCTTCCGTCTCGAAGTTCAACAAACACCTACCTACCATAGTTCAGCACGTCTAACAAGTCCCTACAGTTATGGCCTGTTCAAGGCGGCAGACAAGAAGCTGCTGTCCTCGGACAACCTCGCCGAGCGTCTCAACAGCGTTGAGAAGATCACCAAGGAGTAAGTTGCCTCGTCACATCATGGCAACAAGATGCAATTGACCAACACGCGTGTCCCTACAGGATCAAGTACAAGGAGTTCGCCAAGTTCGAGAGCGCCGCCACTGCCCTCGAGGAAATCGCTGGTGTTGTTGAGGGCAAGGTCACCCCCAAGCTGAACAGCCTGCTTGCCGAGATTGGAAATGAGAAGAAGGTCACCCTCGCCGTTGCCGAGAGCAAGCTCGGCGCTGCCATCAACAAGATCCCCAACCTCGACATCCAGCCCATTGCCGACTCCACCACCACCGACCTCTTCCGTGCCATCCGCCAGTACCTTCCCGAGCTCATTCCTGGCATGCTCCCCGAGAACTTCAAGGAGATGTCCCTCGGTCTCTCCCACTCTCTCTCGCGCCACAAGCTCAAGTTCTCCCCCGAGAAGGTCGATGTCATGATCGTCCACGCCGTCTCGCTCCTCGACGAGCTTGACAAGGAGCTCAACACCTACGCCATGCGTGTCAAGGAATGGTACGGCTGGCACTTCCCCGAGTTGGCCAAGATCCTTCCCGACAACCTCTCTTATGCTCGCATCATTGTCACCATGGGCATGCGTTCCAACGCCACGACTGCCGACTTGTCCGAGATTCTTCCCCACGAGATCGAGGCTGCCGTCAAGGCTGCCGCCGATATTTCCATGGGTACTGAGGTTTCCGAGGAGGATCTCCAGAACATCAAGTACCTCGCTGAGCGCGTCATCGACTACTCCGTTTACCGCAAGCAGCTCTCTGACTACCTCGAGAACCGCATGCGCGCTATTGCTCCCAACATGACCGAGCTTGTCGGCGCTCTTGTCGGTGCTCGTCTCATTGCCCACGCTGGTTCCGTCATGAACCTTGCCAAGAACCCCGGTTCCACCATCCAGATTCTCGGTGCCGAGAAGGCCCTTTTCCGTGCCCTCAAGACCAAGCACGCCACTCCCAAGTACGGTCTCATCTACCACGCTTCTCTCGTTGGCCAGGCTTCTGGTGCCAACAAGGGTAAGATGGCTCGTCAGCTCGCCTCCAAGGTCGCCCTCGGTGTCCGTACCGATGCTCTTGCCGAGTTCCCCGAGGATGCCGATGACGAGACTCGCGCCAGCCTTGGTATCCGCTCCCGTGCCAAGCTTGAGAACAACCTTCGTCAGCTCGAGGGCAAGCCCATTGCCAGCAAGGGCGTCTCTGTCGGCCCCAACGGTATCCCCGTCGCTTCTGCCCCCAAGTGGGACATCAAGGAGGCTCGCAAGTACAACATTGATGCTGACGGCTTGGCCGCTGATGCTGAGGCTCCCAAGAAGCCCCTCATCCAGGAGGTTGAGATGCAGGATGCTCCCGCCGATGAGGATGAGGAGATGAAGGATGTCTCCAAGAAGTCCAAGAAGGACAAGAAGGAGAAGAAGGACAAGAAGGACAAGAAGGCCAAGAAGGAGCTTGACGACGAGGACTTTGAGCGTCTTGCCAAGGCCGCTGGCATGTCTGTCGACAAGTTCAAGCGCCGTTTCGAGCGCGGCCAGATCAGCATCAAGGAGGACGGTACCCTCGAGATCCTCAGCAAGAAGGACTTCAAGGGCAAGGACGCCAAGGCCGAGGAAGAGGCTGAGGAGGAGGAGAAGCCTGCCAAGAAGTCCAAGAGCTCCAAGCGCAAGGCCGAGGCCGAAGAGGAGGAGACAACGAAAGAGGAGAAGCCCAAGAAGAAGAAGAAGAAGTCCAGCAAGGAGTGATCTCCTTTTCAAGTCTCATCTTGGGAGTTAATTACCGCTCCGTCTTCCCTTCTTCTTGTTTTGTTTGTCTGTATGATACACCTCCCGGCAAAATTTCGGCTTGTGGTTGATCTCTGGCGTTGGTAATGGGCAATGTGACGGCGTACTGGATGGAGCATTGATTTGAGTTTTAGACAAGAATATTGGTTTTATGTTGTTTATAAAGCGACTCGATTCTCATTTGGATCTAAAAAGGGGGCATTGAGACAGGTGCAGCGGTGGTGATACGCTGCGGCCCGGTTCTTGTCAACGGTTGGCGGAGGCCCGAAGTTGTATTCCTACCTACCTAAATAGCCTCCGTCTGCTGAAGCTTGAAATCGATTGACAGTCAGTAATCCATTGTTGATTCGAGAAGTGAGATCTTGTTCACCTTGACTTTACCTCGACGTATCGGGCCCTTCCCATGGTGTTGACGTCCGAATTCTAATTTTTATGGTCCTTATCTTATCGCCTCGAGCCCATCGCAATAGCCCCACTAAAATTCCGTCACTGAGCCAAGGAGCGGTCTCCAGCCAGCAGTCGAAGGTCCCTTGCTGCCCTTCGTTTATTTACACCCCATCATTCTTCCCTTCTTCTTCCCTTTACAACAAGAAACTACAAAACCCCCACAACTGCCGTCATGGCAGACTCGGACCGACCAAGGTCGCGTTCGCGATCACCATCGCGCAAACCAAAAATCAACACAGGGGGATTCAAATGGAAGCAAAAGTCCAGCACCAGTTATGACGACAACCAAGACCGCGCCGGTCTGCAGCGCGGCTACAGGGACCGCTCACCCAGGACGAATCGTGATCGGGATGATGATCGCAACAGAGACAGAGACTTTGGTCGAGACCGCGACCGCTCACCACGCAGGAGAGATGACCGCGACCGTGATAGGGACCAAAGAGGAGGAGGAGGAGGAGGAGGAGGAGGAGGAGATCGCTACAGGGACAGAGACAGGAGAGACCGATCCCGCGACCGCCGCGACCGCTCACCAAGGAGAAGAGACGACGGCGACAGATACCGTGACCGTGACCGTGATCGTTCACCCCGACGCAACAACAACAACAACCGCTCACCTCGCCGCGACCGAGACCGATCCCCTCGTCGTGACCGCCCTGACCGGCCCAAGAAAGAAAAGCCAGCAGCAGCCTCTGCCCCAACATCTGGTGGCGGTGGAGAAGAAATGATTATAGTAACAGTCAACGACCGACTCGGCACCAAGGCGCAAATCCCCGCTTTCCCCTCGGACACGATCAAGCAGTTCAAGGTTATGGTGGCGATGCGAGTCGGTCGCGAGCCGCATGAGATCCTGCTGAAGAGGCAGGGCGAGAGACCGTTTAAGGATCAGCTGAGCTTGGCGGACTATGGAGTTAGTAACGGGGTGCAGATTGATTTGGAGGTTGATACTGGTGATTAAGGGAACCCTAATGGGGGAATGACATGTCGCGTCGTGGATACCCAGGTTGGCAAGCCAGCACACCATTTGTCGTGGTTAGAGTTATATGGCGAAAATGTTGGAAATATTGTATGGACTTTGCGTGGAGATGATACGAGACAGGACTTGGGCGAAACGAAGTGGTATAGTAATCATCAAACCTAGCTACTCGCTCAACGAATAGACTACTTACAAAGTCAACCCCAGATTCCATGAAAAGATACCCCCTCCAAAAAAGAAAAGTAAACCAAATCGCCCACAACACCCAACGATGTGATCACGATTAATCACAACCCATCACTCATAAATCCCTACATCTGTCTCCCAAAACTCTCACCACCCATCACTATCCTCCCCTTTTCCGTCCCCTCCCCCAACAAAACTCCCCGGCATCCCAACACCTCCTCCAGTCCCAGTCCCACCATCCCTCTCCAGCACCTTCCTCCTATTCCTCTCCCTCTCCCTCTCCTCTCTTCTACTTCCGCCCCCAGTCTTCGTCTCTCCTCCTTCCCCGTGCCCTTGCCCTTGCCCTTGTCCCTGTGCCTGTCCCTGTCCCTGTCCAACACTCACAATCGAACCAGGAGCAGCAACCTTGCTATACTCGGGCGGATCACCCGGGCTTTCAGCACCACCACCACCGTTACCGTTAACCAGAGAACCATTCACTATCCCTGCTGCGCCGATATTCTCATTATCAGAGAGAGCAGACACGGCTTCGCTGGATAGGGAACTTCTACCACTACCACTTCCTCCTCCTGGTTCTTTATTATGGATATCATTATGTAGACTGCGATGGCTGCGATGGCTTCGATGGCTGTGGTTGGTATGATGGCTGATGTGGCTTAGATGGCTATTGAGACTACTGGGGTTGAGATTGGGGGGAAGATGGTGGTCATTTAAGTCGTCGTCGTCGCCGTCGTCGTCGTTATCTTCGTTGTCGTCATTGTCCAGGTCGGGATCCGGATCGTCGACGTGAGCCTGATAAGCCTGACGGGCGTGTTGCTGGGCGACGACTTGGTTGAGCTGGAACCGGATAGGGTCATCACGAGAATGGTCGAGCAACTCGTCAGGGTGTTCGTCAGGGGGAATGAGGATTTCGTGGGCGTGGCCGTGGAGGAGGATGGAAGTTGGGCGTTGGCCTGGACCCGGACCGGGACGGATGGAGGCGATGGATTGTTGGGAGAGGCGGCGGGGGAAAGTGGGGGGTTGTGCCGGGTTTGGGCGGGTCGTCATGGTGGTTGGGTGGCCGGTGGTGGTTGTGGGTGAGTCTTTGGGAGATGAGGAGGATCCGCCGCGAGCTTTGAGTTCGCCTTGGGTGATGTAGTGGGCTTTGAGGTCTGGTGAATAGTGTTAGTACTGATGAGGAGAAAGCACAGACGAGGCGGTGGAAGGGAGTGGATATGTGATGGATAGGAGGTGAAATGGAGAACATACGGTCGAGACAGAAGCCCTCGACGATGACTTCTTCGTGGCATTTAGGTTTGGAGCAGCCGTCTGTTGGTCTGTCAGTACTGTTCCTGCTTGGACAAAGCCCCCATGGTGGGAAAGAGTGGTGGGACATACGAGTCCTGCAAAAGATGGCTAAGCGGTCGACGAACTCGGGACAATCTTGGGCACGACAAGTGTCTACAACTTCGTCAGTATCTCTGGTCTCCAAGGGTCTGGGCTCCCCGAGTGACTTACGCAACGGGCAGAATTTTCCCCTTGGGTTTGGACTAGCTGCCCAAGGTCTTGGATATCGACAGTTGACCTCCGCGCAGCAGTCTTTAAAATGGTTAGATCTGATGTTAGTCGCAATCCCAACACTTGATAGTTCTCATGACGGGATGGACAACAACTCACGCTCACTGCAAAACGGCTTCGACTGGCTACTTTTGCTACAGCCCCTCTCCCTACATGTATGATTTGCACAGTAAAGCGATTGCTCGATCTTCATGTCTTTGCAGCGGTTTACCGCGCAGGTTGCATCTGTTTGTCGGAGTTAACAATTTTTTTTTTTTTCCATCAACGAATATTTGGGTCAAGTGAATACTCACGATCGACGCAAAATCTGAGGTACTCCTTTGTGTCGGCGACATTATGCCTTGCTCTGTTGCAATTACTGATGTCACATTTGATGTCTTTCAGGTAGTGTCTGTCAGTGGGTTGTCTTGACTAGGGTACCTAGGTAGAGCGATTGTAACGACTTACGGATGGCACAATAGGGATATTTCCCCTCGACTATCGTTCCACATCCATCATGCTGGCATTGGTCTAAAGGCAGATGGTGATGGTGTCAGTCTTTACATAAAGCATATCCATCATGTCCCAGATACAAGGCAACAGAAGATAGATAACTCACGCTCTTCACAGCAAATCTGTTTCTCAAGAACCAGTTTCTTACATCCATCGGCACGGCACCCATCTTCACAAATGCTCACTTGTTAGCACCTTACTTGATTGAAGTCGACCGGATGATTTAAGCAAAAGCCTGGTACTCACGTTCCTTGCAATAGCTAGCCTTCGCCGATGGTTTCCGACGAGGACACCTTCGGATGGTGCACTTGTCTATATCGCTTCGTCATTAGCACAAGTCCAACCAACAGCCTCTGGACAACAATAAGACTCACGATCAGCACAGTACTCCCACCTCTGATACACCGGCAGAGAATCACCATGTCTTGATTCGTAGGCTGGATCCAAATACTGAAGTCTCGCCTGGCTGCATTCGGGAACGGGACATCTCGCGTCTGTCACAGACATCATATGTTGATCAGTCACAAACTCGTCCAATGGATGGAAAAGAGGACAGTAGATAGGTAGTGGAGAGGCAAAGAGGTGAGGTAACCTACGATAAGCACAAACAGCATCATGCGACGGCTTCAGCTGCGTACAAGTCTCGTCATCTCTGAAGAAGTGGGTGCAGGTATCTATTTGTCTCAGTCACCAATGTTAGAACGATTTTTTCTTTCAACTGCACATCACATACTAGGACTTTCAGAATAACGGCCAGACAGTAGGCAGTGCGGATTATAAAAGACAAAAAGAACAGGGTGGGCTAACGAGCTTGACAAAAAGGCGACGCAACAGTCGATGACGCCCCGGCATTCGAATACCGATGTTGATGACCATACCCTCCTCCACCCGCAGCTCCAGCTCCAGCCGGCGATCCTCTGCCCTGCAGAGTGTGGCCATTTCTATCTCTGATGATACTGGCCCGCCGCTCGAGAGGGTCGACGTAGCCTCCTCCTGAGCCTCCTCCTGAGTCGACGGTCTTGAAGAGGACTTCGTGCGGACATCCTTCGAGTCGGCACATGAGTTGGCCTTTGCTTCGGTGGTTCATGGTCGGTAGTACCCTACCTAGGTACGGTAGTAGGAGATCCTGGAATATGGGTGATGATGAGGAAGGATGGTTTTAATCGGTAGGTTGCCGACCTGGTCTCGACTAGATGGCCTGGCCTCGATCAATGAATGGGTTGGGTAAGAACAACCGGAGTGAACCAGTACCGAGTGGTTCAGGATCTGGTTTTCCAGTTCATCCAGGTCGAATTGTTCGAGTCACAAAACAAAAACACAAAAGAGTTGGAGAAGAATGGAATAACAAACCGACGCAAACAGTATCCGTTGCCCACGGTCAAGGTAAAACGGTCAGGTGAGACGATAAGGTAGGAGACTGGGAAAGGAAAAGATAACAGGGCCCTAGTCAAGTCAAGTCAAGTCAAGTCAAGGGAGGACGCAAGACGAGGTCATGAGCTTCGTGCGGACCGTTGAACTGGTTACAGTAGTATCTGCCAAACAGACAGACTGGCCAGGCACACAAAGACATGTCAAGCAGGCAAGGGGGAGGGAAGGGGTAGGAGGAATGTCAGAACCCTAAAAAGAAAACAGGAATGAAACACTGAATGCGCAAGCAAAGCAGATTAGTACTGAGACCACTCACGTCCTCATGTCAAGTCTAGTCAAGTCAGAGGAGCCTTTCGGTACGTGGGTAGCTACCTAGGTATGTTGTTAGTACCAGGCACACCACGTTGTGATCAGCCCTTTCTGCCTCCCCTGCCTCCCTTCACCCCTGTCGGTACATTTGTAGGAGCTAGGTTCAAGTTGTTGTGTTGATGTTTCACTTGGTTGCCCTTCGGAACCACATTGGCGGGGCATCCGCATCTTTCCACCTTAACTGCACCTTTTATTCAATACCCCACGGCTTTTATTATTTTTTCTTTATTTTCATGTTCTTTTTGGCTTACCCTAACTTCGTTGAGCTGGCTGTCAAAACAACAACAAACACAAGAAAATGAAATCCAGGAGGCTAGGACACCACCACCACCTACCTACCTACCTACCTATCTCGGGACGCAATTTCTCTCTCCAATGCACACATTAAAAAGTATGCCTCCCAATTGGTGAATGGTCACGACACGCGCCCACTCAGATCTCTAAACATGTTTAGTTGGTTGTTGGAGGGAGCCATCTGACTGGTGACTGCAATGACTGTTTGGCATCTTTCTTCTCCTTTCCCCGCGCCCACACCACACCACACACACCACACGCATGATCCGTGACATTCGGGAGGGGGGGCGTTTGAGGAATGGCTGGGGATTATTTTCGACGGGAACCAATGGAAAAGCTGCTTGATGTTGTTTTCCTGGAGAGATGAAAGACTCGCTGCAAATGATAGGTAGATAGATAGGCGAGGAGAACAGGAACACTGACTCCCCGCCTCCGGTATTCTTTTTATCTTTCCACTGGCGGTGACTTACTAAACAAAAGAATGGGATGTTGTGATTTGAAAAGTATAGGTAAAAATGCAAGCGCCCGGCCAGCCAACGGGTGACGACTGAAATCCCCAAAGAGCGGGGATGATCAGAAAGGTAGAAATGCTTGACGCTGATAAACAAAGGCATGAAGCACATTCTATCACTTCCTCCATTTCCGTCTGTCGTCCTCGTCGGTCATCTTCTCCGGAGTCCTTTGATAAGGACGCATTTGCGCAAAACAAAAGAAAACTTTTATCGATGCAGACTTGGAGTACATATCACTTTTTATCATCGGCGTTGGGTGTGGGGGAGGGGGATGGTCGCTTGACGACGATGATCCTGTCCCGAACGAGAATGGAGGGATGCAAGTCATATCGAGGCCCCCATCACGTGAAAGCGTATCATCCTCGTGCTGGATGCTGGTCGCGTGTGCAAGTGGTGAGACGCGGTTACGTGCGACCCGGTCAGTTTGGTGTAGGATATTTCGAAGACAGCCACTGGAATGCCGTCAGCACTTGACTTGACATCCTGGCCTGCCCCGTCAACCCCAATATAGTGTAATGACACCCATCATAAAGCATAGTCGCACACAAACACCAGCAACGTCGCTCGAAACAGACTCCTCATCAGATTCATCGTCAATTCATCCTTCAGCTTCATTATGGTACATCCACATCTGTCTTGCGCCATTTCGGCGACGCCGCCTCTCCCTTCCTTCCTTCCTATAATTCTTTCTCTGTCGTTATCATGCAAGTTATGCCGGGGGTAACAAATAAAACAAGGTTAACCACCATTTAGTCATCCGTTTCTCCGTAACCCCTTTGCGCTTGCCCAATTTTTAATGTACAATACAGACCAATGAAGCAAATCCATGCTATAGCGCAATATGAACTTTTTTGATCATGAGAACGCCCAAGATCCCAGAGCAAAAATGCATACGCTCACACAAATAGATGCCAGACGAGATCAAACCGAGAAAAAAAAAGACAGTTAAGCTCAAACAGGCCAGCCAGATTCAGCAGGCCAGCCAGATTCCGCAGGCCAACCGGATTTAGCAGACCAATCAGTTTCAACAGGCCAGCCAGACTCCATCGCGACAGGCTCGGGACGTCCAGACTCCTAGTGCTGCTCGTCACCACCCGCGCGAGGAGGGCGAGGGCCTCCACGACCACCACGAGGACCGCCACGGCCACGGCCACGGCCACGTCCATCGCCACGTCCACGGTAGCCACCACGGCCGCGGTAGCCTTGCTGCTGAGGACCACGCTTGCCCTGGACGGACTGGAAGCCGTCATCAGCACCAGTAGGGGCACCGGCAGTCTCGGGATGATCGTCAGCCCACGACTGGGTGTTGGAAGGCGCGGCAGGGGTAGCCTCAAGGCCCTTCTCGGTCTCAGCGGGATCGCGCTGGACCTCGACCCACTCCTGAGAGCCGGTCATGTCGGTAGAGGCAGCGGCCGAGCCAGAAGCATCCCAGCCGCTCTCGGCAGCAGGGTTGGCAGTGCTGTCGCCGGCATCGGTCTGGGCGGGGGCACCGCCAGTAGCAGGCTGCTCTTGGGTGTTTCCGTTGATCAGAGCAACAGCGGAGCCATCGTCGATTTCGGTGAGGCCAGCGTTGGCAACAGTAAGATCGGTCTGGGGTTCCTGCTTGGACTCGACAGTCTCGGTCTCAGCGGGCTTGGTCTCGGCGGGGGCCTCGGTCTCGGTCTCGGTGGCCTGGGCAACGGGCTCCTCAGCGGCGGGCTGGGAGAAGGGAGCCGCATAGGCGATAGCGACCTGCTTAACCTGGGCAACTGCAAAAGGGAGTGAGGTTAGTATGTATAAAAGGCGGGCTACATGTGCTAGTGGAGGGGTGCTTACAGGTAGTCTTGAGCAGCTCACCAGTAGTGCTGCGAGTCTGCTCCTCAGCACCCTGGACGAGCTTCAGCATGTTCTTGACAGCATTCTCGTCGCCGGAGTAGATGTGGAGCAGGACACCTTCGAGAGCCATATTCTCGTCGGCAGTGCTGTCGGCATCCTCAGCGCGACGGGCCGCGGCAAGGCGGAGGAACTGAGAGAGGTGGAGCAAGCTGTCGTGGAGCTTCTTGTCGGCATCGGCCTCGGCCTTCTTCTCGAGCTCAGCAATAAGGTCGGCCTTTTCCTGGGCAAACTTGTCGGCGAGAGCCTTCTCCTGCTCGACCAGGCGGATTTTGTGCTCAGCATCAAGCTTTCTGAGGAGAGCAAGCTGCTCGTCGAGCTGGAAGAGCTGGGCCTGCAGGGCAGGCTTCTTGAGGTATGCGGCCTTTTGGTCGGCATTGATGATCTTGAGAGACACCAGGTCGTCAAGGGACTTGCTGCCGTGCTCAGCTACCAGGTGGTCGATCTTGGAAGCATTGGTCTAGATTGAGGAAAATGATGTCAGTCTCTAGTGCAATGGCGTGGCATGTCAGTGTGAGTGTAGAAACCTACGATCTTCTTGGACACATTGCGAATAGCCCTATACAAGAGAGAAGAGACAAGTGTCAGCAGCCAGTAGAGCAAGTTGATGGGATGGAGGAGGGAACGGACTTTTGGATCTCGCGAATATGGGGGTTGGACGAGTCGCCCTCCTGAGACGGCTCGTTGCCAGCAGCGAGAGAAGCGGGCTTGTCTGGGGTCGAAGAGGTAGCGAGGGCGGGGGACTCGGTGCCCTGCTTGGCCTTTTTCTTCTTGGCCGACTTGGACTCGGTCGCGACCGGAGGGTTCTGGACGGCGGCGGCAGTCATCATGTGTAGTGTTGTTGTGGATGGGATCGTTTGTCAACGAAGCTTATGGTGGTTACGCGGTGGGAAATTCAGTTGCTTGGGGACAAGGCTCCAACGGTATGTCGGGCTACCTATGATGCTCCTTTGCGGGGTTGCGTTTCTTGACTGCTGATGCGAAGAGGGGTGGCTGGCAGCGGTGTTGATTATGGAGAGGCAGAGAAAGGAGGATAGCGGTAGAAGAGCTTGTTGAGTTGTTTGCGAAAGAAGGTGTGGTGGTGGGTTTGTTTTGTTGTTTGGGCGGAAGGAAGGGTGGGAGTGGGTGGGCGGGACGGGAAGGCGGCGGGCGGGCGGCGGGACAGCTCAGCTGCTGACGTTCGACATTTTTGGAGCTCTCTCTCGTCCGCGGGCAGCCAGGAGAAGGACGGGAGTGGAGACAGCGATTCCCGCCCAGGGCACGGCAGGCGGGCACCACCTAAGTACCTAAGAGCCGGGCAGTTGCTGATGCCTTTTTGGCGGGCGGTCGACGGCTGGGCGGAGGAGTCCACAACGGGCCTCCTGAAGCTACCTCTAGGTACCTACAGGCAGCTGAGGCTACCATCGGGTTCCGTCTGGGGTTGGCCGCAGCTCGGCGGCTTCCCGTCGACTGGAGCCCACAGAGCCCGACGAGGGACAGGCACAGAAGCCTGGAGAAAGACCAAGAATCTCAGCTCCATCACAACTGTACGAGGGGAACCGCGGTCCATGCAGTTAGTTACCTCTACTTGGTGCTCAGCTTAGCAGATACAAGTACTGTATTTCACCGAATTTCAACATATATACTATGGTAGAATTCTTGGACATGATCATGAATTTTGATTTTACCATTATGATGGATGTCGAGATGTCTTCCCCCGCACTCCATTCAACTTGTCATGTACGAGCCGACTGTTGTCACCACATCCACGAATGAGGACGTGTACAAGTCCATGTATGCACTCATACCCTATTGAAAACTGATAGGTCGTCGAAACCATTCTCCCGTTTGCTTCACCTCCAACGGGATCCCTTTGACGGTGGGGGTAACCAGCCCGTGTGTTGTCCAGGTGCAGCGTCGAAATTCCTCAACCCTTGAACTTGGCAAGAGTGTCCTATTGCAGCAAAATGTCAACAAAAGGGGGTCGAAAAAAGGGGGCGTGGTTGTGGGGAAGAAGAAAACTGACCGCAGTGACTTTCTTGACACTCCGACCTGTGATGCCCCGTTCACCCCCTTGCTTGGCTTCGATGGTAGCCTCTTTCATGAGGCTGTCAGAGTGTTAGCGTAATACCGTTTCAGAAAGAAGGTGTAAGAAAGTGGTTCCTACGTTTGCATGAACAAAACATAATCGAGATAGATCTGCGACAAACACGATGTTAGTGCGACGCGTTGGATTTTGGGAATAGTGGCATGTATTTTTGCTTACCATGACATCGACATTTTTGCTAACATTGCAGTTAGCGTGGGCCTTGACAATCTTCTTGACCGTCGCCCGCGGGTATGCTTTTTGACCGGGCATATTTCCGCCCAACTTCTTGCAGATGATTTGGATGTCGCGACAAGACCTAGGATGTCCCCGATACCATGTCCTTCGCTGCTGTGAATAGGCCAAACGTGCCCGTAGGTGATGTTGATGGTCGCTATCAGATGTGTTGTTTTGATGTTTTGGCATTGCGCAGAGGACTTAGCACTAACACAGCAATTCTGACCAATCGGGTAGCAGAGCCTTAGCCCCACCATGAGGTACCTGGGTACCCCCCTTGGCGTCGATGAACAGCTCGCTGTGCCCCTGATGGATTCCCGGTGGGGTCAGACGGAGCTTCGACGTCGCTTCGGTCGCTCCCTCGTCAGAGGTCGTCACCACCCAACGACTCTATCTACCGTACCGCTATCAAACATCACCAACCAACCCCACCGGCACAATGAACCGTCGCATGGTAAGTCCTTGGTCCATTAAGTCTGCTCTCTCGCGCTCGTCGCTAACCACCCCCTCAAACAGTTGAGTAAAGAGGACGAGGAGGCGGCCGGCGACGAGATCGAGGTCCGTCGCGAGGACCAGGACAAGATCAACAGGTTCAGCCGATTGCACCAGCGCGAACTCGCCCTCGAAGAGGAGCTCAAGAACAAAAACAAGGAGAAGGAGGAACTCGACGACTTGGAAACCGAGCTCGAGCTTGTCGAGGACGAGGACGAGCTTGTCCAGTAAGTTGCAACAGCCAGCACGACACCTAGCCAGGCACATGCTGAGACCCGACAACAGGTACAAGATCGGCGATTCCTTCTTCCACATTCCCCTCGAACAAGCCAAGGAGATGCTTGGCATCGCGGCCGCAAAACTCATCAAGGAGATCGAAGCCCTCGATGACAAGCTTGAAACCATCCGCAAAGAGATGACTGGGCTCAAGGTGGAATTGTACGCAAGATTTGGAAAGACAATCAACCTCGAGACATGAGATCATGCCCGCAAACCATTTTGCCGCCTTACATCACTTCCGAGGAGTGTGAATAATGCTTCCGTGTACAACACTGGCAACAGTTCCATCGACCAGGGCTGAGCAGTCGCTACCAACTTATACCACGTCAACAACATGATCAAACTCTTGGGCAAATTACTGGATATAACGTGGACGTTATGTCACTCAAAGTTCCTCAGGTAGAGGCCAGACTCTTTTTGCGGTGCCGGCAGGTCAAATGCCCAATGAAGCATGTTTGCAGCTCGCAGCGCCTGTACTGCAAGCCGCTCGCTGCCGGGCCTCGGCCCTATCACCCTATTCCACTGTCAACGGCTGGCTGTCAGTGGAAATCAGAAACACTCTGTAAGTCTTTCCAAATCAATACAGCAACTCGGTCCCGGCGCCCGTACCCTACTGACTGAAGCAGGTAATATAGCTGATGTCAACTTGGGGCCTCATAGACTTCTTATCTTGGCGATCCGTGCCGGAATATGCACTTGCTAATACTTATAGGATTGGTGACGCGAGACTCGCATGTCCCATGCGCTGAGATGTGCTTCAAGCAGGAACGGACTTGACGCCTTGCCGTTGCTTCAGCGGTTGAATATGTGCCAATCACCCGATCCTCGTCCTACCACCTTGCTCACACTCTATCGAACGAAATTGTTGTCGCGGATGGCTTGCCTTAGTCCAGGACACGACCTCAGAATCGCCAGTCTCTAACTTGCGTTCACTGGCATGGCCAGCCCATGGAATGCTGACCACTGTTCCCGTTGATCAGTACAGCTCGAGCCAAGAATCTGCCGATTTTCGAATGAATGCTTTCTTGATGTCCATGACAGAGTTTCCTGAAGTCAATCTGGAAAAACGGCCTGAGGCTGCAGACCGTGGCGAACAGATATATATATAGATATTGGCCCTCGACGTTCAAGTGACGATACCCCGAATCCAACCAGTTGGAAACAACCACACCCACGGTTATGCTTCATCTCCGCAGGCCCCATCGAGCTCCATGTGCTGACCGAGTCGACTCCGTCACCCTTCCCCGTCTGTCGACAATCCCTCGGCCGTTGGGATAAATCGGGGATTGTACATCACGAACGTCATGTCCACGTCGAGACCATCCCGTTTTGTTGTCCCTGAAGACCTTATCCTTTTCACATGCCCAGCTCAATTCCTCTTGCGCCACAGGCTACCACCATGCTGGTAACGTCAGCAACCCCTCTATCCTTGGCCATCTAGCTGGGACACTTGTCCTCCAACGAGTAAATCACTGAAGCTTGATCGGGGGACTTTCATCGTTTCGAGGTGAGCGTGCTTTGCTCAACGAAATATCACTTGGCCGGATGGAATAATGATGTGACTGACTTGTGGCTTGTTAGTTTACTGACTGTTACCCTGCACATCCTCGGATATCATCACTTCCATCATCAAATCCCCTTCCCGTCATGCATACACTATGTCTGTTCAAGCATGCATGACAAATTTTTTCTTCATTACTGGTTATCGTGGGCGAGACACATGCTTCAATTCTTCCAATGTGATTCTGTTGCAATGGTATCCAAACAAGATGATAGCTCTATATCACCTCTTTTTCTCCATCGCTCGCCCGCTGTCAAGTTTTGGAAATGACCATTTTTGTGTTCGTCTTGATTATTGTGGAACGACCTGACCTTCAAAGAACCATCGACCTCTCCGCTCCATTGAGTGGTCTGATGACCTCCATACTTTCGCACCATGTCACACAATCTCCAAGAGAGCCCCGGTGATGATGATCGTCGGCAATCCCAACCCACCGAAGCAGAACAGGGTAGTTCGAGATATGAAGACCGAGTTGATTCTGGTTTCGTGCAACAGCCTGAAAACACGGATGGCACACTACAGTCCAGCAAAGACAAGGAATCCCTCCGTAACAAGAAGTCTACGGAGCCGAGGAAGTTCTATCTCGTAACCCACAACTCGGGAGACGACGAGAGGCACCGTGGGAGCGAGTCTTCATACTCGTATAAGTCAGTGAATCTTGAACAACCCTTTCGCTTCGGCGAGTTCAATCCACTCGTCGGAGAGTCTTTACCTTCTCTGTCGATACGGGACAGTACTAGTGGTGAGCGCACATATGCTTCTCCAAGTTACATGAGCGCTTCTGCTAACCGTTCCAACAGCTCCCAGAGCCAGCTTTCCAGACCCGGCAACCATCCCCATCAGCGGACATGCCAGTTCTTCATCCTCGTTCCACGAAAAGCCAACCACTGTTGAGCCACGGGGAATTCCCTCCCAACTCCTGCCCCGAGCCAGCAGCATAACCAGCTTCGGCTTCATCGACGACGGTGAAGACACCATCATCTCCTGGGAAGAAAATGACCCAGAAAACCCGTACAACTGGTCCTCCGGCAGGAAAGCCGCCATCTTGCTGACGGCCGTCATGTTGATCCTCAACTCGTCCATGGGCAGCGCCCTGCCCAGCAACGCCATCCCCTTTATTGTGGAGGAGTGGAAGATCGAGTCGGAGCAGGAGACGGTCCTGCCCATTTCCATCTACCTGATCGGTGAGGCCTTGCAGTATTTTAGTTATTTCTCGCAAAGACTGACGGATTTAGGCTATGTGATGGGTCCGATCTTGTGGGCGCCGCTAAGCGAGCAGTATGGGCGCAGGAGACTGAGTATCGGGACGTTTGCCATGTTTACTTTGTTTACGTTGGCGTGTGCATTGGCTCCTCATTGGATTTCCTTTATCATTTTCAGACTGTTTTCGGGCATCTTTGCTAGTGCGCCTATTGCGCTGGTGCCGGGGATTATTGCGGATATTTACAATGAACCGAGGCAGCGTGGGAGAAGCATGGGGATTTTTATGGCTGTCAGTTTCCCTTGCCCCTTTCCCATCCACACAACCACTGACCACCCCCTTCCCTCACAGACTACAGTCTTCGGCCCTCTCATCGCCCCCATCATCTCCGGCTACGCCGCCACCACCATCGGCTGGCGCTGGGCCTTCTGGATCGGCCTCATGTACGCCGGCCTGACCCTCCTCCCTCTCTTCTTTTTGTTGCCCGAAACCTACGGCCCCATCCTCCTCCTCCGTCGCGCCCAGCACCTCCGGCTCACCAACCCCAACGCCCACGTCATCGCCCCCCGCGAACTCGAAGACACCCAACACTCCCTGTCCGAACTCACCACCATCGTCCTGACCCGGCCCATCCGCATGATCCTCATGGAACCCATCGTCTCCACCAGCTGCGCTTACATCTCCCTCTGCTACGCCATCTTCTACATGACCTTTGAAGCATACCCCTTCATCTTCATCGACCTGTACGGCCTCACCCCGGGCCAATGCGGGCTCACGTACCTCGCCATGGGCGTCGGCTGCTTGATTGCCTTGCCCATCTTCATGGCATGGGACTCCATCCTCACCCGCGCCCGGCACCGCAACGCAGCCTGGACTCGCCAGGAAGAATACCGTCGCTTGCCACTCGCTTGCCTCGGTGGCCCCATGTTCGTCGTCAGTCTCTTCTGGCTGGGCTTCACCTCCCGTTCCCCCTCCATCATCCCGTTCTGGATCCCCATGCTAAGCGGGATCCCCTTCGGCATGGGCTTCATGTGCGTTTTTCAAGCGCTGTTGAACTACCTAACAGACGCGTACGAGATCTTCGCTGCGTCAGCGAATGCAGCGGCTTCGTGCTCGCGGTCGTTGTTAGCGACGCTTTTACCGCTGGCGACGGCGCCCATGTTCCATCGCTTGGGGATTGCGGGCGCGTGTTCGTTGTTGGGTGGATTGAGTCTGTTGATGACGATGATGCCGTTTATTTTTCTGTGGCAGGGGGAGAAGATTAGAAGGAATTCCAAGTTTTGTTTGTTGTTGAGGGAACGGAGGGAGGAGATGGAGAGGAAGATTGAGGAGCAGAAGAGAAGGAGGACGGGGATCATGACAATGAGGATGAGTGGTGTGTCGGCTGCTGCTGCTGGCTTAAGATTCTCGGCTTATGGAGAGGGTTTGGCGAGGACGGAGACGAGGGGGGAGGCGGGGAGGGTGCTGGGAGGAGGAGGAGCTATGGGGGACATTACGGAGGAGGAGCAGCAAGGGACAAAGAAGGATGTGGAAAAGGGGGAGATGGACAAGGGGAAGGAGATGGAGATGGAGATGGAGATGGAAGGGAGGAAGAGTTCTTCAAGTGGCAGCAACTACTCAAGCCACAGTGAACGGGGGGGTATTCAGGCCCATGGGATTTTACATGCGGATGATGGTGGGAGGAGGACTGGCAATGTGGTGAATCATGCTTTTGAGCGCCCGGATTACGGAGGAGCTGATGAGGTGGGCGAGTCCTCATTCAGTCACGACCATGATCCTCCGCCTGGTTCAGGTTCAAGAAGTGGTGGCTCGTCAGCTACCGTGGCGATTAGTCCTCCGCCGCCTCGGATCACTGGTACACCTCATGATGATGATGGAGGGGGGAAGTTGAATGGAGATGGGCTTGTTGGTGGAGGTCGGGAGGGAAACGAAGGAAGAAGGATGAATGAATAATAGGATTCGCAGATGTTATGGTACAATAACTAAGAAAGATAGATACCAACCAAGGAAAGAAATTAAATAAAAAGAAATAGAAAAAAGGTGTTTAGCACCGGTTAGTAGTGTTCGAACGCGCACCACCTACCTAGAGGTATTCGTTCTACTTCCGCGAAGGAAGATACTACGACAACTTGAGTGATTTAATTGTAGGTAGAGAGGAAACAACGAGCATCATGGCGAGAAAAATGCGGGTGTTTGGTAACTTACACTTGATGGACAAATGTCACTGGTGTTCAATATGGAATGAAAGAAATCCTTGATGTACCTCTAGAGGATGACCTTTCGGCTGATAATCGCTCAAATACTACCTCTTGTTTTACTAACACAGCTGCTGTAAGTCGTTACATCCGAGAAAGCTTGTCATTACTTGTTTCCCATACCACAAGTAATGGCCAGTAACGCAAAGACAATGAAGCCCAGTTCCGCCTGGTTATAATCACACTCTTTCGGCGTGGTCATCAGGCCTTTCAACTTATGCAGAACCACCAAACACTAGAAATGCACGTTGAATCTCTGCTCCGCACAATAGCTAACACTTGAGAATCCATCATGTGATGAAGCTAAGAAGGCACGAAACAACAAAAATAAAGATATGCTTGCTCATTGAAAACCAGTGATGGTACACTTCTTCCCCTTTTCCCTACACATTGCCGGTGGCTATCTCCTGGATTGAAAGCGAGTTCTCCAGATGAGATCTACGCTTGTTGTTTTTGGGAAAAATTTGATCACTATTGTCTGACTCGTTTGCATCATCGTTAGTCTGCGAAGCTTTCGGACAACTCCAGGTATTGTACTTTGAGGAGCCAGAAGTGGCTGAATCACTCTGACACTGGCCATTTTCATCCGAAAATCTGACCTGATGCGTTCGCAGCACCAATGTTGTATCACTCTTGACCGAACTCAGGTCGGTAATTTTGATTTCTGGCACAACCGCTTTGTTCAAAATGGGGATAGACGACTGACGACTGGACTCTGGTGAGTACGACCGCGGAAAGGAGTGAAAAGAAGCATCGTTGAGGGAGGGAGAGCTGAGTGGCGTCGCAAACTTGTCAGTGGTAGCTGATGAATCCCCTCCACGACTTCCGGGGAAAGTCCCTGGCATAGTCAAATTCCGATGACTGCCGGCATTGGACTCATTTAGTTCATCATCTGAACCAACAGGGTTAACCACCCAAGGTCTGGGTCCGTCTTCCACCTCGTTCGACGCCAACCGCTTCAGGCGCCTGATTTCTCGGCCCAATGCTTCGAGTTCTCGATAACCAGCCTCGGTGGGATGGAGTGCAAGCTCTGGGTATTCCAGTGTGGCTCTTGCCTGGTCAAGATGCGATTCCCCGCACGAAACGTCTGATGATCTACGGGAATGAACAAGCTTGTTGAGGCCGGATTTAAGAGCCTTTCCGAATTTGCTTGACATTGAGTTCTTCTGTCTGTGACCCATGACCCCGTTACGGCGGCGGTTGGAATTATCCCCAGAGATCGCGGTCTGTGTAATCTCTTGGTTTGGCGATCTATGGGAAGCTGTTTGCTCGGGCCGAGCTTGGTCCGTATTCTCGTGGTCCTCATTTCGTTCTGCACGGTTGTACGAAGGAAACCTTGTCCATGCCTCTGGAAACTTTCGAGGCCTCTGTATCTCGGGTCCTGGGCTCTCGAGTGACGATCTGCGCACACCTGCGACGTTCGAAACATTATCGCTCGGCTCTGGATTGCTTTCAAGTGTCTTGGCAGAAAGTCCAGTGGAAATGGACACGGGACTGCTGCGTTGATCTTGGCCACCAGGGCGCGCTCCTGGGTACGGATAGGGGTAATAAGTTTTGGGTGGGACGTCATATGTCAAGGAAGAGAAACGGCCGTTGCTGCATTTCTTTTTGATACCTGTATGGCGTCTCCAGATCTCCTCTCGCACAGCAGATTGCCAAAGCTCTACTGTGCTATCATCACAGTCGGAGAATGGAAACTCGCTGCTTTGATGGAGCGTTTGCGGACCAACATCACTGAGTGCAGATTTCTTGTGTCTTTGCGAATCAACCGGGCGTGATGTAGAGGACAATGGAGTATTCTGCTCGTCGTCTACCTGACCGTCAAAGGAAGCCGGGGGCAGTTTGACTCGTCGAGGTAAGCTCAAATGTAATCTCGCCAGCAGTGAGCGCTTCGACGGTTCGGCGCGTAGTTTCATGGAATCGGTCGGTTTATCGAACCTTTTGGCGATATTGGACGGTGCCCCATGCCCTAGATGAAATCGAGCAAAGCTCCTCTCCATTATATTTAGCTTTGGTACCGACTGACGTTTGTTGATGGTATTTGATGCCACGCCCGATGAGATTAGCTCGGTCTGAGTGGCGGTGCCTCCATCAGTAGGACTATCGAGCGAGCTCCCTCCCGTGGCCATGTTCGAATGGCTTTCACCAAAAGGATTGGACGAAAGAAGCCCTGTGATCTATTAGCATCCGAACAGAAGTCGTTCATGGTGGACTACTCACATCGCAGTGGTGTCGCTGAAAGCAAGTTATGAGGACCCATGACACCTGACGGTAGATGCGAAGAAGAAGTTCCTGCGCTAGGATCGGCGCTATGTCCAGCTGAGGGATATGCCGATGATGGGTTGGTAATGAGGCCAGCCTGACCGTTGGGCTGTCTGTGTGATGTCTCGGATTCGTATGCAGCTGTCTGATCCGAGCTACCATGTCTCACAACATACCTACGAACTGTGTTTTGTTCCGACTCTGTATTTGCAGGGGATTCCTCAGGGGTGTTCAGAGTCTGTGTAGCAAGCTGCCGATGGATATCCATGTCATGAAGATGGACAATCTCAGGACGCTGAAGACCAATGTCACCACTAGGATGATTGGGAATTGAGCTGCATCTCTTGAGCATGACCACTTTAGCCTGTTCCACGCTTATTTCAGGATCACCGTCTCTATCCGAAGTCCTACCCAAGGAAAGTGACGGCGAACATGACCCAAGACCCTGGCTTCTGAGCCAAATACCCATTGGTGACTGATCCAACACGCATGGAGTTGCATTCCCAGGGGTGCGGGCTGAGGAAGAGCGTGGACGAGTCTCTGACTTGGACCGACGTAGTAGCGGTACTGAACGTGAGGTAACAACCTTCGAAGCTGCTGCTTTGAGGAAGGACTCGGCATCTTGGGAGGAACCATCTTGGTCGATGAAGCCCAGAAAGTCTTCGAGTTGAGTAGCGCTGTAAGAAAGCCTCCAAGAGCCCAAGGAGGAAGTGTCAATAGTATTGGAATAGCGCTGCGGAGCCAAGACCGGAGAGGCTGGCATTTCTGGGAGTGAACTGCGTTCTCGAATTGGCTTCTGGATAAATGCAATTGTTGGATATTTGAGACTGTTTGCTCGGGGGCAGCTGTTTTCCTTGTCTGAAAGGGGAGCCGCCTTTCCTAATGCCGAGACATCGGCACTGGACTTTGCAATGGATGAGGAGGTCGTATCGGAATGTGCCTCTCCCTCCTCTTTTTGGGCTACCGAGAACTCTAGTGCATCACGGGGCCCTCCACCTGGAAGGTAGTCAAGCGAAGAAGATCTGGGCGGTGGCAACACGGAGGAGACCTCACTCCGAGACCGCTCGTGGGATTGCTCAATGCGGAGTTCCTCTTGTATCCTTTTGTGCATCAGTCTCTTGAGCTCAGCCCGTCTTTGGATTTCCTCCTCGCTGCAGCCAACGGCTGAGCGAGACTTTTTCTTTGGCAAAGAGTCTTGGGACAAGTGACGACGAATATTCTCTCTGACGAGCTGGAGAGTGCTGGTACTCTTGCTTGGCTCGGTCGATCTGCCTGGTAGGTCGTCCTCCGAGTCTTCAACCACGAGATCGCTCAAGTCGGCTGGCCCAATCGGAACGATAACAGAAGATGTTGCCAGTTGTAGCGATGTACCAGACTTGCTGGAAGAGTCTGGATAGGCGTCAACGGCCAGCGGAATGGCGATGACTGGGTTGGATGTAAGTGGCCCTGCAACAGGTAAGCGAGCAGGAGGAGGAAGTGCCGGAAGTGCACGCGAGGGTTTCGGAGTTTGATTCCTGGGGCTCGGTGTCGACGGCGTCACTGTTCTGGGAGGGCGAGGTACCCCACAACAGCAGAAGCCCGTCATCGTCCAGGCTGCTATGTCGAGATGGAGCAATGGATCATTGGCTTTTCTTTCTCATGGGGGAGTAGCCCTGCTGGTGTTTTGAGGCTTGCTAATGTTGCAGTGTTTCCAAAAAGGGAGTGTTGTAGTTTTCGCTGTGATGGGCTGGACAACACAGGGCCATCAAGACCCATGAGAAGCAGATCAGAGTAAAGATGCGAAAGGGAACAGCTCCAACAGCAAGACGAGGGGTGGAAGAGAGAAGAAGCTGACAAGAAGAGCAACCTAAAGCAGTCACACAGAGCGACAGGTCAAAGTTGACGGGCGTAGATGCAACATTGGTCCAATTTCCTGGGAGGCGTGGTTCGAGCTATTCCTCTTGACGAGGAAGGTGAGGTAGTGTGTAAGTAGGTAAGTAGCGAAGGTGCGGAGGGGTTCAAGGTTCCTCAAGCCCAGGTTCCGAATCAATCGTGCGACTCTGAATAAGGTAAGACTGGACCTGTGATTGGATTACTAGGTACCAAAAAGGAAAGAACTTAAGATTCAGTGACGATTCCGAGTATGACCTTGGTAGTGTGATGGACCCCATGTTGGAAATCTCGAGCGTCAGATCCATCATCACTCTTTCCCTATTTGCTTATAACTTTCCTGCTTCACTGCTTCAGTAGAGAGGTTGCCTGCCTTCAGCGGTATAAGACATCTGCAGCGCTGTGGAAGGTGCAACAACTTTAACAACGTGAACGGCAAGTGCAGCTCACCATGACATGGGGGTAGAGATGAATAACGGAAGTCGCGTGCTAGCATTTGCTCGAGTGACAGACCTGCAACACCAAACCAGCTGCACCTAATATGCCTTAGTTAGCTCATCTAGAGATATCTCGGCATTGTCCCGGGCAGGAATCATAGAGCGTAACCATCTCAGTTCGCCACGGCTGGCTTGTAAATAGGCATGTTCTTGTCTCCATCAAACACCTTCCCGCTCCCATCATACGGCGTATCCCACGGCACTCCATCTTCAATATGCCAGGTCTTCTCGACCGCTGGCAAGGCACCCTTTCCACCAGCACCCACGAGCCTCCAATTCGGGATCGGGATGGGTAACCAACTTTCGTTGTGTAGAAAGCCCGGATAAGACAGCGAGTTGTTGAGTGTCGCCAGGTTCGTCGGGTCCCTGTTTCCCCCGTACCTGGCCGTCTCCGCCGCGAATCGGAACACATTGGCTCCGACGTCGTACCTACCCAGATGGGGCAGTCCCCAGTTGTTTTGCACCGAAGACAGGATGCTGTAGTGCGTGTAAAAGGTGTCGTCCTGTGTGCCCCTGAGCTCCTTGGGGACGGCATTGCCCAGCAGCAGGGAGACAATGTGGTTCGGCTCCCCGTAGTTCTCGGACTCGTCGAACGTGAGCAGGATGAGCGTCCGCTCGTCAAAGGCCTTGTCGTCCAACAAGGGCTTCAAGAACTCATGCGACCACTCGGTTGCCGTCTCAAGCGACGTGTTGTGTCCGTCGTGCATCATGTTGGGCGACATAAACACAAATTGCGGCACTCGCTTGGCCACAAAGTCGTCATGGAATTCGTTGAAGGACTGCAGGCAGAGCAGACGCGTTCCGTTGGCCGTGACGCTGTCAAACGACACAAAGGGACTGAAAGATAACGGGTTAGTTTGGTGTTATGGTTACATGAGAGGGGGAGAGGGGATCTTGTGCAATGTAGGTAAGAAGGTGTCGGTTTACTTGTGCTTGCGGACATAATCCCACCCGCCGTTGTGCGTGGAACCATCGCTGTAGTTACCCATGAAGCCGGGGCCGGGCATGTCCTCAAAGTATCCGCCCCATGAGATGCCACGGGTATCGAGCAGGTCAACTACCGTTGATACATTCTCTGGGACTCTGACTTCGTAGTCATGGTTGAGTCCGAAATAGTCACCGGCAATGGCAGCGAGATAGTTTGGCTGGCTTGGGTGTGTTTGCGCATAGTATCTCGAGAGCAGGACTCCCTGCTTCTTCAGGTCGGCAATGCTTTTGTCTACCGCAACCTTGGCGAAGTCCTATGTGAAGAGTCAGTAAACCTGTTGATGAAATATATCAGGTCAAGACGACTGGACTGACCTGATTCTCCAGCCAAATGGTGATGAATCTGTCAAAGACCTTTCCCTTGACAACATCAGCTGCAGCACCCACAGTGTGCAAAGCTGCAAGGCCGCAAAGGGCGAAAAAGGAATTCCGCATTGCGAGGCTCTTGTTGGTGGTCTTTTCAGCATACGCCCACTTCCTGATCAGGACTGAGTGAGGTGAGATAATCTCAGTTGATCCCTCTCATGCTCTCATGAATCTCGTGATAAAACGGTAGGAAAAACCACGTCGCAGTCGGCAGCAGAGCACTTGCTGCCAAGCATCCTGCAAGATTCTGGACCCATTGTCGGCCGCCTTACCACAGTTGTGTTAATGGCGTTAGTATGGCACAGCATGGTGCATTTACGACTCGGACAGCCGACCCCGACCCCGACCCCGAGTCAGTCGTTCCTGGTTGCCGGTGTCACCTGGGACACTTTATGATCTACACCGAAACGATCCAAAAGGGAACATGGAACATTATCGTGTTATCGGAGCTCACAGTGAACAAGATAGTATGATCTTTATCCTGGAGATCACTCCATCCATGCTCTGTCGTGACCGTTTCTCCGAAGCGAACCTGAAGAGTGGTCTCCCTCAACCTGAACCCCTGGACTGGACTTCCATGTCTCTGAACGGGATATCTCACCTCAAAAAGATCCAAGACAAAGACGCTAACAGATCTACATTGGGTTTCACCGCCATTACTGTTAACGACAAGGCCTGATGTCGTCATTCTGACTGCCCGTTTGGACCCCTATCAGGCACACTTTCCAAGCTGGAACAGCGATCCCCTGTAACAACTGGGCAGCACTGACTGACCTGCACTGCACCCCCCGCATTGTATTCGGTTCCATGCCCCAGATCCACCCCCCCTCCCCCGACAACCTGAAGTGCCGTCCGTGGAAGATCCATCCATCCGCCCACAGTCGCGTCGTCGCGTCTTCCCCCCC